AGGATTCAGAACATTTCTAATTTAGGTCTAAGATCAGGTCAGCAAAGATTGACCTGGGGATTTGGGACTTACAACCTAGTAGTTCAATGAGAGCAGAGTAAGAAAAAACTATTTCCCCTTTTTGGCTTTCCCTTTCTTGAAAGCTCAGATTCAACACGTCCAATTCTACTAGACTTCTATATATGACTGTATTTGCTTTCTCTTTCCAAGGTGCTGAATTTCACTATTTCACTTTTATAAATCTTATTATACATATGCTACTGGAAATTAGAAGTAGAAGTAGTAGTAATAGTATCTACCTCATAAAGTTTTTATAAGGATCAAATTGGTTCATACATATTGAGTACTAGGTTTGGGGCATACAGTTTTTCAAAACATTGATTGATTATTATTGTTTGGTTTACTTTGTGAATAGTACTTAGATAAGTGCTGATGGCACAACTAATTAACATTTCCTGGCAAATCATTACTTTGACTGGATTAACTGGCTTTGGAACCAGAGTAACATAAATTAACTTCAGAGGGTGACTACAGGTCCCAGATGTCTGGGTAGGACTTGTCACTTTATCACTATAGCTTCTTATTTTCTTTTATATCTTTGCTTATTTTTCTCAATACACCTTTAACATTCCTTATTTTTCTTTATAGTCAACTTGTCTGCTTTTAGAAAATGTTTACTTAAATTCACTTATTGAGAATTCCACCGTAATAAATACAATGCCAGAACCAGTTGTCTAAAGTAAAAGGAGCTGGTAAAATTTTATATATATATATATATATATATATATATATATATATATATATACTTCTCCAGATTTTGAAGGTACACTCAATACTTGGGAAGGCTAGACTAGAGGCTCCCTCTGCCTCATACTTAACACACAGTGGAAACATTCTCTGAGCACACTTTTAAGGCACCACTAGATCCCCTTCCTGGGTGCCTGCTCTCACACCAAGGCCCAGAAATCCCCTCTCCTCCTTCCCTGCCCTGGCAGCCTCCACAGTTCACCACTGACTCAGGTGGGGCACCAGGTAGACAAGACCTACCAGCTGAACATCATGAGCAGGAGGGGGAACAGGCCAGAGAGCACTAGCCCCACAGCATGGTTGCCAGATGCTATTGGAGGAAGCCTGTGTTCACTTGGGGGACTGAACCACACACAGTCTGGAAGTGGGCTAGGACTCCCCAGGCGGGTACTGTGATCCCTAATGAGAAAACTGTTGAGAGGTGCTACTGCAGGTGGGACTAATGTGTTCATGGGAGGAGGAGAGGGACACCTCACTTGAGGGTAGTCATCTTGCATGATGTATGATATACCCATTGGCCAAGATTCACACCATCTTCCCTGGATTTGTGGGTCCCTGCTGGGGTGGCCCTTTCCCCAGACTTCAAAAAGCCTGTAGGCAAGGCTCACAGGCCACTTCCTCCCACCTGACCTCATAGCCAGCATGTGCCACAGCCAATTCACCTTCTCTTGGCCATTTTTTTCAAATTGTGAAAATATAATCTAGTGGAAACCTTCCTATCTAGATAAGTACAGTGCCTAATATTTGGTTTTACTCTGCTATAAATGACTTCCATTCTCGGACATACAGCAATACAAGGTTCTCAAACCAACCTCCCCTTTGGTTATGTAAATAGAACTCTAATACGGAACTTTTTTGTTCCAAACCCAATAATCAACAGAGAAAATTTTTTTTTAATTTATTTATTATTTTTGGGCCTCCCCTGTGGCGCAGCGGTTGAGCGCTGGGTTGCGAAACTGCCCGCAGCCTCTGCAGCGCTGGTTGGATCCCCGGCTGTTCCCCTGCCACCGGAGGAGGGTCCCACATGGCGTGCAGACCTCTCCTGCCGCCCGCTGCTCCCCTCAGCAGTGTACTTCGTCAGTCTGCCTGCTCTGCTCCCCGCTCTGGCTCTGGTGAATTCTCTCACCCTCCCACGCTTCTGACTGTACCCAGTGCTTGTATAAATAAATAAATAAATAAATAAATAAATAAATAAACAAACAAACAAATAAATAAATAAATAAATAAATCTTAAAAAAAAAGATTTATTATTTTTATATAAGAGCTGGGGTACAGGCCAGGAACACGGGAGGGTGAGAGGATTCAACAGAGACAGAGCAGGGAGCAGAATAGGCAGATCTACTGAAATACACTGCTGAGGGGAGCAGTGGGCATGACAGGAGAGGTCTGCTGTGCCATGTGGGATTCTGGCCGGCCGGCTGGGATCGAACACACGCTGCAGAGGCTGTGGACAGCTTCACAGCACTGGGCTCAACCCACTGCGCCACTGGGGAGGTCCCAGAGAAAAAATTTAGAAAAGTCTTTAAGCACCAATCTTACATTTGTATTTTGGGACAACTCCCAGGTTGGGGGAAAGAAACCTATACATATATCCTTTGCAAGTTGGAGAAGTGAGGAAGGAAGGCAAAAGGGAGAGGTGGTGTGAAAAAGAGTGTTCTTGCATTTTTGTGATGGGTAAACTTTAAAATCTGAGACTTATTTTACAGTTACTTGTCAATCTTTCCATTAAGACAAAAATATAGGGGGAGAGAGGCGGGGAGAGGAAAGACTATGGTCAAAATAAGGGGTGGGGGTTTACAATTGTGTGGGGAATATAACCAAAATGAAAATGCATTCATTGTGCAAAAATGAAAAATGATGTAAGAATTATATAAAATAAAATATTAAAAAAGACAAAAATATAGAATATTGAGTTTTTCTGACATTCTTGTATATCTTCTCTCTTATTACACATTCCCTTTACTTAAAACTCTGCAGTTGCAGGGGGAAAACTTCACAAGGTTGGAGTCAGGCTTGCCAAGCAAATAAATGAAAAAATAAGATTTTAGCTATCTCTCCAGGGGAAAGTCAAGGGATTGTGACCTCCTGTTTCTTGGAGTAGATTGAAATTCATTAACATCTTTAGCAATAAAAATCTTTGAGTACTAGAACCTGTTCATTTCTTCTTTGCTCAGTGTGAAATATTTGGACCTGTTCCCTCTGTCTGGGCCACACACTTTTGGATATAGATTTCAGAATATTTTCAGTGTTTCAGTGTAGTCAGGTAGCTCCATGCAGTCTTTCCTGGGGGCATACACCTCAGATTCACAATGCACAGAAGAGAATAGAAGATGTGCAGGGTTTGAGGCAGGCAGATTGAGAGAGATTTATTATCAGCTTGGATGGAGACAAGAATGCTGTTCATTCTTCATTCTGGTGTCAACTGCTGACCTCTGACCATCACAGCACTCTCCCTGATGACATCAAGAGGGTCTTGTTGTTTGTTGGGGGGAATGAGCCATGTCAGCAAACATTTAGTCATGTCAGTGGGTACTGTTTTAGTTCTTCCTTTTTCGGTTTTATGGCACTGGCTCTCAAAAAGCAGATGGGGAGAACAAGAGATCCGCCTAGTGTATTTGTCCCAGATCCTTCATATCTGTAATGATCATCTTAAGTGAGGTAGCCAAAGTCCAAGCACAAATAAATTTTCCTCCTGACAGATAGCTTATCTATTGCAAAGAGCTGGGTTTTCTAAGATTTCTCTCCTGTTTGCTGCTACTCTTAACAGGCTAGATAACACTCTGATTCTAGGAGCTCCAGCACACTGGGAAGGAAGGGGGTTGTTTGTTGGACTCAACTGGCTTCTTGTTTCTCTTGAGGGGAGAATTCCAGAGTTGTGTGATCTTTTTTGAAGGCACATTTGCAATGCATATGATCTCAGTGATGAAAGGACAGTAATAACCCTAAACACTGACTTACATTTGGACTATTAATTAATAAAATGCAATTCAGAAAAAATTAAAAATTTGGTCAGCTGTTTTAAAATGCCCTCTATTTAAAATATATAATTGATTATATGTAACTTTAGTAACACAGATATTTAGCAGACTAGTTTTGAGCTTCTGGAGATGAGAAGATTTGGCTTATTTTTTGCTATACGAAAGTGGGAAAAGATAATTTGTGAGGACATCTTTTTGGGGGAAAAGTTTATACAGCTTCAGCACAGAATTTTGCTTCTGCTTGATGGAGACTTTGGGATTATCCAAGGAATTATCTGAAGTATCTGTCCATGCCTGTAAGTCCTCAAATTGGATTCTTAAATGGAAAATTGAGGCCTCAAAGTGGAATTGTGCTGTCTGGTCTTTAAGATCTTAACTGCAACATACCTTTTCCTTAAAAATAAATCTGAAGATAATCTGAGAATCATTATGAAAACAATCTTTAATGAAGAAAAAAAAATCAAAGCAAGAATGAGGTTATATTTGTGCAGAGGACAGTAAAAGACCACAAAATGCAGATGTTCAAATATTTTTAAAAGTTCTCTAACTGAAATGTTTACCTGTGATAAATAAGTCAATTGAGGATAAACAGAATTGAGGATTCTAAAATTAGTTAAGCAGGTTCCTTGATCTCCGAGGAGGAAACAGAAAAACAACCTATGAAATAAAGACTACAGTTAGAAATCACGAGAGATGTATTCTGAGTCTGGGGAAGCACAGAGAAGGGACTGATAACACCTTGTTCTGCAAGGGACATTCTAATTTTTGCACTGCAGCCTTGAATGCTAGGATTAAATATCTGGCTAATAACAGTGAGGTGACCATATGTACCTAATGTGGTAACAGTATTTGTGTGGTGATTCATTCATATCCTAGGATCTTATTTGTATTATAAAAGGAAAACTTTGTTTTGAAATAAGTTAAATTCCTTCTTATACTTCAGGTCTGAGCCCACAAATCACTTCTTTAGGGGGAACTTCCCTGACACTCTCACAGTTCCCCATACTTCCCACATGAGCACTTAACCCTGTGTGTATTTTGTGTTTGCACCATTATTTGTTTATTGGCTTCCCCCTAGTCTACCTGAAATCAGAGACCATGTCTCTTCCATTTACCAATAAATACCTAGCATTTAGTGTCTACTGTATAGTAGTCACTCGAGAAGTGTTGGCTGAAGCAATGTCTTAAGTTTGTGTACTATTTCCATTCTTTTAGAATATCCCACCTGTGAGCAGCTTACTTGTGCCAATGGAGCCTGCTATAACACCAGTCAGAAATGTGATGGGAAAGCTGATTGCAGAGACTTATCTGATGAACGCAACTGTAGTAAGTAACATGCCCAAGACATGTAGTAGAGTGTTGAAGGTGGATTATACTGGTCAATTGTATTACATCTCTTCTCAAATTCATGCTCAATGAATTCATGTTGGTAGCTTAAAGTCACTCATGGGAATATTTACACTATGGAAATTGTCAATCACTACAAATCAGGGCCTTTTTGCTCCTGGAGAACAAAAAGATAAACATTTACCAATACATTGCTGTATGCTAAGAACCTTGCTTTAAACTTGTGGCAGAATCCTCCTATGAGATCCAATGGCTACAGAGGAATTGAAATTCTCTCTTTTCTCCCCCTTGTGTTCCAGCTGTGGTATGCTTTGAGTTTCAGTGTGATAGTGGGGAGTGTGTGCCTAATACCTACGTCTGTGACCATGAGCCCGATTGTGAAGATGGCAGTGATGAGCGCTCTTGCAGTACGGTGATTTCCTTAAGCTGATTCATGTTATTAGTAGTGTTTTCTTTTTATGGCACCAATGTAACATTCTTTTCAAACAAAAGGTCACTATGTCTGGTGGCAGATGGAGCCAGAAGTTCATTTAGGGCCTAAGGCATGAGCCTCAGCAGTGTTGCTGGACCTGGGCTCCTTTATCTTCCAAGGATCTGTATAAAATTGAAGGATTGCTGATGGACAGTTTGCATTCTTTCCCTAGGCTACAAGGGTACAGGGTGTACTGTGTCAGTGGCCTCTCAAATTACCCATACCTCAGGAATGAGTCTGATAACCTTGACAGTAGAATAAGAGAATGACTCCAAAGGGAGAGAAGGTCCCTAATAGCAGCAAATCTCCATCCCCTCTTTACTTTGAATTTCCTACCACAGTAAACTTGGAAGGTCAGGAAAGTTTCAGTGTGGTGCAGGTGCTTTTTATTGCCTCCTCTTTTCACCCTGACCTCCCTTTTCCTTCCACTCTGTTGTCTGCAATTCAAACCACCTTCTTTTTCCTGTTGCCACCTCAGGGTTCACTTTATTGGAATAAGTAGTTAGAAGTCTCCATAAGAGAGTTTTATTGATGCCAATAAGTTGGCAGCCTTTTGTGATCATTTATTTATTAGAAGGTATGATTTTTTTTCCCTCCATATCCATTTGCTTGCTCGGTACCCATGATGTGTAGGGGTTGTTAAATATTTTAATACCAGTCTCATTTTCTATGTGCCATTTCTTTCTTTCTCTTCTCTGTCTTCCTATATGATACCGCTTTGGTTTTAATCTTGGCACCTGAGATCATTTCCTGGACCCAAAGCTGCTATGATCTTCTTCTCCTCTACTTTTTCCTTCTCTCTCTCTCTCTACCTTTTTTTTTTTTTTCCACTTTTGCCAAGAAACTTAAGGGACTCAAATGACACAGGAATCTTAGTTTCTAGGCAGTGAGGTGAGCACTTGGATGTTTTCTAAGTGATTTGTGCCTTGTAGCGCAGCTCTTGTTTCCTTTCCAGCCTATCAAACCTGCAGAGGTGACCAGTTCACCTGCCCCAACAGCTACTGCATTAATCAAAATTGGGTTTGCGATGGCGAGGCTGACTGTAAAGATAATGCAGATGAAGATGGATGCGGTAAGAAGGGGAAGGGATTCTCTCTGAAAAGCATCTTCTTACAGTGTTTTCAGACTGTGCTTTTATTCTTTCCTTGTTAGACATTATCTTTGTGACAAAAGAATCTCAGGATTGGCTGTATTTTAACAGGCTTAGTGGTTGGTGGTTGGGAAAGAAAGAGGTGACCTCACTATCTTTTCCTCAAAAGACCTAGAAATCAAATATAACATATATTATAATCCCCCTTTTCCTATAATTATGGCAAATAGGGCTATCTTTCTCCCTTCTATAACTCTTTCTGACTTTTCCCCCTTTAAGACTGGTTTTTTAAAATGTATTTATCTATATAAAAGAAGAAGGCTAGAGAAGAAAAAATAGGGGGAAGTGTGATGTGTGTTAGACTTTATAACCTTTAAAAATGATTTTGAACCTCAGTAACACTTCAGTTCGATTTTGTTTTCTTTTTCTTTTTTAAGATTTATTTATTTATGCATACAAGAGCTGGGGTGTAGGCCAGAGGTGTGTGTATGTGGGAGAGCAGGGGATGAGAGGATTCACCAGACACACAGTGGGGAGCAGAACAGGCAGATTGACTGAAATACACTGCTGAGGGGAGCAGCGGGCGAGACAGGAGAGGTTTGCTGCACCAAGTGGGTTAGCTCCCTGACTAGATCAAACTCTCAGTGGCTGCAGATAGCTTCACAGTGCTGAGACTTAACCCCTTGTGCCACCAGGGAGGCCCAAGATTTTGTTTTCAAATTTCTATTTCCTAATGAGTCAATGACATCCCATGGTGGCAGAATGGCTATATGGAGAACATGTGAGATAGAGCTAGGGATTGGCATTTGCAGGCAAGGCTGCAATCCAGGGAAGTGTTTAAAGGTCTATGGGAGGGAAGTTCCTAATGACATATTCCCCTTCCTTCTGCAGTTTTAATCAGCAGTACCTCCAATATTTCAGCAGTTAGCAACATTCACACTGTAAAGCAAGTTACCAGCCCCAGATATAAGAAGAGTGATGCTTGTTCTGGGAATATCCAGTAGTTTCTTGTTTTGATGTTATAAAAAGTAATTTCCTGTATTTGGATTATAGTTTTTCTTACAATGTTGATATTTTTCTAAAAAAATAAACAACCAAAAAAATAAAACAAAACAAAAGAAAAACTTAAAAATACTAGTGTAGTCTTGATAGTCTTAGTTCTGTAATTCATGATTTAATTAGCTGACTCTTCTAGGACTATTAATCTACTTTGTTGATAGTTCAGACCCATGTATGCTTCTTATGCTTAAAAAATGGCTAAGACCTACCTCCTTTAGAACAAGTGGAATTTAACTTCCTTTTGCTACTCAATAAAATACCAACAGTAGAGTTAGAAACTTTTAGTTCATTGTAAAATGTTGGTCATTTGCAGACTTCTCTTGTCTACCTGATCTATGTCCTCTCTTAATCATGGATTAAAAAAGAGCTGGCTCCATCTCTCAGGTGGCCTGTAACTCTTACTTTCCTCCACAGAAAGCAATTCTCACCATACTGATAACTGTTACCCAAGCCAGTGGGCTTGCCCACAGTCTGGAAAATGCATCCCAATTGAAAAAATTTGTGATGGAATTATAGACTGCCCAGCAGGAGAGGATGAAAACAATGCCACCGAGCAAAGACATTGTGGTGAGTGTGGACATTTATCTGGATAACTTTAAGATAAAGATATTTCTGTTTTTCTGTAACAAATTTCCAAATACAGAGAGTATCAGTTGGCATTTATATGACAAACCACTACAAGACTTAGTGGCTTAAACCAACAAGCAGTTATTGTTTCATAGAGGTCTGAAGGTTTCATATAGGTCTGAAGATAGTTTTCAGGCCTAAACCAGTTCACTGAATGATGCAATGAAAACTTAAGTTAGCCCAGGCTTGTTTACATGGAAAGAACAAATCTTAGTACACATTCACTTTTAAGCTTCTGCTTGTGTCATGTTTGCTAAATGTCTTATTGTCTAAATCAAGTCACCTGGCCAAATCCAGAGTCCATGGATTGAAGAACAGGCTCCATCTCATGACAGAAAGGAATCCAAAGTATCTGTGACTTCCCCTCTCTCTTTCCCACTTGCCTCAATGGTTTTTTAATGGTAATTTTGATGACTCTAAAGTGTTTTGGTGATTTTTATTCCCTGCCTTATATTTATGGATAAAAAAGATTTTATTATTTATTTATTTTTTATTAAAATAGATTTTTAAAATATTTATTTATTTATTTATTTAAGCACTGGGTACAGTCAGAAGCGCGGGAGGGTGAGAGAATTCACCAGAGCCAGAGCAGGGAGCAGAGCAGGCAGAAGGACCGAAGTACACTGCTGAGGGGAGCAGCGGGTGGCAGGAGAGGTCTGCGCGCCATGTGGGACCCTCCTCCAGTGGCCGGGGAACAGCTGGGGATCGAACCGGTGCTGCAGAGGCTGCGGGCAGCTTCGCAACCAACGCGCTCAACCGCTGCACTACCGGGGAGGCCCGGATAAAAAAGATTTTATCTGGCTATACTCAAAATAAAATCTTCTGATTCCTAGGATATAATTTTCCAATGGTGAAACCGAGGTGGCCATGTACAGTGGTGGTAGTGTTGTCTTGTATGGAAACTAGTTGTAGGGCTTTTTTTCCCCTCCCCTTTTTTGTGGTTGTAGAATATTCCTCCCACCTTAAGACAATCAACACTGTGGACAGCTGACTGTCCTGTAATAAAATACAGTTTATGATCTTGATTTCATGAAGTACACTCTCTGAATTACCCAGGACTTGCCTAGAAGTGACCATGTATCTGTAACCCTAAGATTTTGTCTTTCTTTCCTGAAAGAACTTGTAATATTTAAATTAGGTAAAGACTAAATTATGGCCTTTTTCCTTTTTTTTTTTTTTCCATTCATTTTAGGAACCCTTTTTCAAAGATTTAAAAATTAACAAGAGATATATAAACTATAGAATAAATAAAAGTTAGAAAATAAAAATTGACAGAAAGAAAAAATATTATAGTCACATGAAATCCCACCACTTGAAGCTAGCCAGGTTATTAATGTCTTAGTGTTATTCTCAATCCAGTTGCTTGGGAATTCTTGACACTTTCTATTATGTAGACATAAAGGTAAGCATATGACCTGATTTGTTTATAAATAGTCATCTTATGATGATATATACTTACATATAATTATACCTTTTAAAAGTACTTTAAAAAAATGAGTTCCACATTTAGTGTACAATTTTGTAGTCAGGTTTGAATGGTCAAAGATTTTCTGTGCCTCTACTATATGTTTACTTAGCTTTTGAAAGAAGTAAAAAAGCTCTTGTTTCACATATAAATCAGTCTTGTCCACAGGTCTTCGTTCATTTGACAAAGTGCTTTTCTCTGTTTAGATGCTTCTTTGTGCCCTGTCTTGGGCTGTGAGTCCCAATGCCACGAATCCCCACATGGAGGAGTGTGTTACTGTCCCCCAGGTTTCATCGTCAATCACAATAACACCCGTAACTGTGTTGGTAAGTGAATGGCCTGGACTTTCATCACAGTGCTTGTAGCCCAAATGGATTTCGTGATCTCTGGCACTGAGGTGTTTGCATTTGTGGATAGGGTGATGGTATTTATAAAAAAGACAACACAATCCTCACAGGAAACTTGGACGGTATGAATTTTTAACTGAGAAGCTTCTGTGAGGTGCACATTGCAAAAGAGTGACTTTGTGATGAGCAAACTGACCTGTTACATGGTGCCTGTCTACTACGTGATGATGGAAGTAGTGTTTTTGTGTTTTCATTCTAAGTTTTTAGCAGCTAGGTTGGTGTAGCTATGCTGATTGTTAAGTACTACTGTACTGGCATGCAGTTGGTAAATACCGCCTGCCTTTACCCATCAAGTACCCACCATGTTCACTTGGACTCTTCTCTAGGAGGCTCATACCTCCTCAGGATCCAACAGTTAAAGAGCAACCATCTGACTCAGCAGAGGATCACCAGGTCACTGCTCTGCCGACCACATGACCAGTCAGTGCCGGTGCCATGGTGATTTTTTTTTTTTTTTGAAATTCCTTTCTCTTTTTTTTTTTTTTAATAGAGGCATGTTTTATTTATTTGTTTGTTTGTTTATACATGCACTGGGTACAGTCAGAAGTGCGGGAGGGCGAGAGAATCCCATTGATTATAACCCCTGGTTGATGCTCACATTCAAGAAGAACATGTTGCTTCCAACTGATGGCTGGCATTGAAGCAGACACCAGTGGACCAAACATTTCCTCACATCTCTTCAGTCTGAATTACAAGAATAATTTCCACTCTCCATTCCTTACCTTTTACCCTTGGGGAAATTTTTTATTCTGATCTAAGCCAGCTTTGCATTCCACTGTGATTAAATGGTGGTCTTATGATAGAAGAATTAGACATGGCCAACTATTACTAGTTTTCAGTGTTTTTAAGATTTGAACAAAGAATTTTTAATTCTCTGATTTCATTTTCCTTCTTTCTAATTTCTGATATGTATACAACAAACATGTTAACAGGAAGTAAACACAAGGTTTTAAGAGGAAAACTGTTTTTATTGGTGTTGGGAAAAAGCATCTGGAACTGTTCATTAAAATTTGGTAGTCTTCTGTAGGTCTTCAAAAGAAAATGGATAGTTCAGAATTTTCCTAGGATATTTGTGTTCTTTTTATATTTATTAAAAATTTTGGGTTCCTTGGGGTTCTCTGGATTAAAAAAATTATACATAGAAATACTTTTAGAAAAAATTTTTCTTCTGAAATAATTTATAAAATATTTATATGATTTGGTGAATGATATTGAATTTGGGTAAACCTAATAAAGTTATTCACGCTTTGGCCTCAGCTCATGGCTCCAACTTAATGATATTTTACCAAATATAGTTGATCTTAATGACTACTCATTGCCAGAGAAAATTTTAATACTAGAAATAAATTCTTGTTTATAAATTAATCTTTGAGTTCTCAAGGTCTATTTTTCAGTGTTATTTTGAATTGTAATAGTGGGGCCTATTTACAAGTCATATGCCAAGAAAAAATTGGATTTTTTAATATGATAAAGCAGCCCAATTGGGTTGGCCTTGTGGTTTTCAAAGTAAGTAGTTTTAGGTTTCAAATATCAGGACCAAGTCCAAAAGTTTGCCCAAGATATGATTAATCCTCTTAAGTAACTAGACGTGTTAAGTTTAGGTGCTTTATGCATATCAAGCATGAAAGATCCTGAAGTCTCAAAGAGGACTCCAAATAACTTAAAAGAACTCCTAAATTTCTAATCATTTCATAAATGGTAAAACACTGTGATCTGAACCTGGCATTAAGTGAGAGTGCAGGGCACTTTTTGTGCTTTATTACATACAGTGGGGTTGCATTAAAGTAATTTAACCATACTTTTCACACAAACATACTCATTAGTTAGGTGGTTTGGAAACCTCTGCTTATGCTTCCTGGCATCTCTTCAAGGGCAGCATCCTTTTTACCTTGCAGTAGTGCTCATGTAGGGGTATGAGAAAGTACTCTATTGTCTTTGGCAAATGTCAGGCTTTTCTTTTCCCCTTTACTGCCACCCATCTGCCAATCCGATTTTCAATCTTTCAGTCCTTTAGGCATTTCCCCTTTCTCTTAGTAGAAAAGAAATTCCAATAGAAATACCAGAAGGCACATTCCTAGTATTACATCAGCTTTTCTCTTTTTTATCCTCTCTCTCAACCCTCAAAGGGGAGTTAGGGCTGGGGTGCCTTGCAGTTAAGAACTTGATAGGCCAGAAAGTCTTTTCAGTAAAAATGATTTTCCCTTCTAGAAGCTCTAGTCTTGTGATATCCCACAATCCATTCTCAGTCTTTTCCTTTCTAAACCTAGAATTCAGATAGCACATTTTCCAAATATCTTTTCCAATATCTAAGTCTATAGTGAGTTGGGGTTCTATTTCCAGGCATCTAGGGCTTGCTCATTTAGTTTTGCAGTCTTTAAGAAATGAAAAACTGTTATAGGTTTCTACACTTACCTATTAATAAATGTAGTACAGAAAATTGCAGTAATATGTTGTCTGTGCAGCAGTCATTTCAGGATTTATAAAGCACATTTGGTTCTTAGCACACTGCAAATAGTGTGCTCTGATACTGTGGCACTAGTTTTAAATTCATGATTCATATCTTTCAGTTCCTTTAATAAGTGCCTGGGTCTCTAGTACAGATGTTCTCTGGGAGATAAGCTCAAAAGTCTATCTTCAAGGGCCTCCGTGAATGTTAGGCCCCCCCACTGCCACCTGCAGAGATCTTTCCTGTGACCTTCTCTGTCCTTCAAGAATCTATCATTTGCCCCTCAGTTTTGAAACTGGATTAACATCTATTTCACTTTTTTTTTTTTTTTGTGGAAGACTATATTTTGCTCTCATTGTAAAGAGACCTCATTAGTTTCAGTCCGTGACATTACAAAACCAGTTACACATGTTTCAGCTGATTTTTTCGGGGAACTATTTTGGTTTGCTCTTTCAAGCATTTCTATTCAACAAATACTCTCTGTATGGCTGTAATCCTCTGCATGGCTGACTCAGTACAAAGACGTCAGGTGTTGGAAATGTATGCAATATTTATCATCTTTGACATGGCTCCCCAGTGAATGCTTCTGTGGTAATTAAGAATAAAACGGGATAATCCTGACACGAAATCTTGTGTCTTTCTACCATTCATCTGGCCCTGGCAGTCTTGACCTGGCTGGGGAGCCTGTGCAGCATACTGAAGCAGTTTACCCGGGTTATTGTTTCTGATTGACAGGACATGCTGTTTGTTGATGGAGTGACATCGTGGTGCAGAGTTAGGGCAGCAAGGTCATTCAGCATGGTGGGATTCACACAGCCAGACGGATCAGATGGTGACCAAGAGGGCTAAGTGAAAAAAGTGTTTTGAATTATTTTCTAACAGTTTTTGTTGAAAGGAGGGAACAAAGAATAAAAATAAAGTTAACAGGGTGGGAAGAGGTATTTTAAAACTGTGTTTTATTGTGTTACACAGTTTCCACTCCTTTTCCTACTCATGAAGAATGTCTACCTTCAGTTTTTTTGTCTTCACTTAGGCACTCATTCATTCCTTCAAAGTGCTTGTGTCCCAGGTGGTAGGGAGACCACTTGTCCCCAACAAGTCCTAGTTATGACTTCTCTACCTTTGATTTTCTTCTGTTTGCCATCAGAACTCTTAGTCCCAGAGTGACTCTAGACCTTGAGCATAGTCTTGCATTCAAAATGAGGTCATGACATTCTGGGAGTTTGAGGGCAAACATCCTGTACTTTCATTCCTATTAAAAGGAAGCCACAGCTGGTACTTTCTCAGAGGGCACAGAAGAGATTGATCCATGAGATCAATTTGTTTAAGCTCACACTCCATTTTACCTTGTTAGGTCCAAATCAGATTGATATTTTATGGATATAATTGACAAAAATAATTATGCTAGTTTCAGATATATAACATAATGATCAGATATTTGTATACATTGCAATACAGTCACACACATCTGTCACTATATATAGTTAACAATTTTTTTTCTTATGATATGAACTTTTATGACCTACTCTGGAGCAAGTTTCAAGTAAATACAATATTATTAATTATAGTCTCCATGCTCTACATTGCATCCTCATGACTTATTTTGTAACTGGAAATTTGCCTTTTTGAATCCATTTTTCATCCCCTCCCCCCCCCCCCGCCCCCACTGCCCATCTTGGCAACTACTAATTTGTTCTCTATTATGAGTTTGGCTGGCTTCCCCCCACCCCCCGTCTTTTTTTTCACTTTTTTTTTTTAAAGATTTATTTATTTATTTATACATGCACTGGGTACAGTCAGAAACACGGGAGGATGAGAGAATTCACCAGAGCCAGAGCAGGGAGCAGAGCAGGCAGAAGGACCCAAGTACGCTGCTGAGGGGAGCAGCGGGTGGCAGGAGAGGTCTGCACGCCATGTGGGACCCTCACCCAGTGGCCGGGGAGGAGCCGGGAGCAGCTGGGGATCGAACCGGCACTGCAGAGGCAGGCAGCTTCGCAACCCAGCGCTCAACCGCTGTGCCACAGGGGAGGCCCTCACATTTTTTTTTTATATAAGTGAGATTATATGGTATTTGTCTTTTCGAGTGTGTAATGCTCTCAAGGTCCGTGATGTAATTGCAAATAGCAAGATTTCATTTTTGTCACTGAATAATATTATACATGCCACAATTTATTTATTTATTCCAAATGGATTTTTTTTTTTTTGCTTAGTCATAGTCATTGGAAAGCAAGATGCTAGCCCATGTTGTTGTATTTTGTTGGGAGGTAAAATTGGAGTCAGTATTTTGATCCCAGGACCTTTTTGGGTTTTGCAGTTGTGAAGTCATAAGATGGTGGGCGAGTCAGCAGGTGTGGTACAGCTCTGACATTAATTGCAAATGTAATCAGATCCTTGAAATCTGAAGAACTTTAGACCAGAGATTATGATACTTTCAGAAATTATAATTTACTTGACAATTTCCTGAGGTCTGAAGAATGGGAATCTTTCCAGAGTGGAGGTCATTTTCCCAGGGAAGAGCAAGGTGAAGGAAGGTGAAATGTATGTAAACTTGTAGTGTCCAGCAAAATATTTGGTACCAATCTACCAAGGATAGGATGATTTTCTGCACACTTGAAGTTTTATTATCGCTAAGAGACTCTTTATATCTTGTGTTGTACTCGCTTTTTGTTTTTCTTATATGTTGGTTGCATTGAATCTCATTTTACACATTATAACTGGGATTACTATGCAATGAACTGTCAAGTAATGGATTTTCAATAACAATGAATAAATAAAAGTTAATGAATAAGTAAGAGAAGATATTTTTCCTTCTTAAATAATTCAAATTTAATTTTACTTAGGAAAAGCAGGTAGATAAATTGATCTTTCAAAAACTTTATTACAGTCAGATTTGTGTCTTTTTGAGGGCCTGGGTGTAAGGCAGGTCTTACTTTATTCTGAAGTGGCATTGTCCAGTAGAACTTTCTGCAGTGATAGAAACGTTGGATATCTGCATTGTCCTTAATGATAACCACTAATAACATGTGTCTATTAAGCATTGAAATGTGGTGTGACTGAGATATTCATTTTTATTAAATGTAAATTTAAGAAACTATAACCATAGTTTTAAAGGGATACATTTGCACACAATTTAAGATATTTTGTAAACCAGTATAAAACAGTCAAATGCAATACCACAGGACTATCTACCCAAGCATCTTCTTTAGTTTTCCTTCATATAGATTAAGAAAAAAACCCAACTGTTTAAATGCTCATGGGTTTTCCCTTGTATGAAGATGCCTGTTTCCCATTTATTATTTTATGCCTAAGATCTGTGCTAACAGGGACATCAGTGTATCCCTGTACAGCTTAAGATTTTGTCAGAGAATGCCCAATAAATGTTGGCAAACATGATTGCAAACATTTATTTCCCATGTGGCAGATTTTGATGATTGCCAGATTTGGGGAATTTGTGACCAGATGTGTGAAGATCGAATTGGCCACCACCGGTGCCACTGTGCAGAAGGGTATGTCTTGGAGCATGAGCGACATTGCAAAGCTAATTCTTCCTGTGAGTATATAAAGGACACTTGTCATACTTTTGAACAGTAGAATTCTGACTAACAGCCTTCTTTCATAGCAGATGACAAAAGCATCTTTGCAGGGTTTTATCATCACAGACCAGGAGTTGCCTCTGCTGCTGCTGGAATGGGTCAACATTAATTTCGTATTTGGATTAGCAGGAACCAATTTGTAGGTTAATAATGACCATTATTAACTGTTCTTTTTAAAAATGAATACCTGTTCCCTTTTGACCTGGGCTATTATATCTTCTGTTGCATTTAGTTGTGAAATACATTTTATGCCTATGTGTGATTTAGACATTTAACTTTTTTTTTCCCTCGGACATTTAACTTTTAATTAATTTAACTACCACAAATGTTGGTGACAGAATTAGAAATAACATTGGCCTTGTTGATGCAAAATTTGGGAGTGACTCAAAATGGACCTGCTAAATTTGGTCCATTTTGTGACAAAGTCTTTATTTTGGGTATTTTTTTGGAATCAAAGAGTACTGTAACAGCAAAAAATCATGGGGAAATCTATTTAAAAAGATGATCTCCACAAACTATTTTTGTCAGTGTGGATTTCTGGGTAAGAAAATGACTTTACTCCTTTTTTTCCCAGTTTTTCTACACTTAATTTTGAAGGGTCTTTCTGAAATTTATTTGCTTACATGATTGGCACCCATTTTAAGTTTGTTTTGTATAGAAATACCTAATTTGTTGTGTACTAACATTATTTACAGTTGAATTTTAGTAATTACATTTATTTAATTTTGAACATACAATATAGTCATATGTTAAAAAATTGTAATTATTCAAATTGTGTAGTAAATGTCTTCCCTGATCTTTGTTCCTCTCTTCCCAGGTTCTACTTTCTCCGTGAAATAGTCACTGTTTATTTCAATTCTAGATATTGTGCAAGTAAAACTATGCAAATGTAGATATTAAACCCTAGTTTTGCATATGTGGAATAAATTCTAAACCCATTTCTTCATCTTGCTAATTTTATGTAATATATTTTCAAGAACTCTCCATATCAACACAGAGAGATAATTTCTCATTCTTTTTCTATGGTATTTTTTTATATAATCCATTTTTTGGATATAGATATTTTAACTAGTCCCCAACTGATAGACTTTTATGCCACCTCTTGTCATTTGCTATTGCAAACAAGACTGTGATGAATAACCTTATTCATTTGGCATGCTTGTGAGTATACAGGTACACTGGATTTGGATCCACCATTGACATGCTTTCTACAGAGTGATTCTCAGTAACCCATAGAATATGTTTTGAGTTTAATACAATCTTAAGTTGTACATGGGGTAAGGTGTACATATAGTCAAGGATTCTTGGAAATACCTGATGTATTCCCCTCAATGTCATTGAAAGTGCATTGGAGTAGCAGTTAAGACACTTGAATTCTTCACCACCTCTTTTCCTAACTTGTGATTTTGACACTCCATTTAACATTGTTGTGTCTCAGCTTGCCCATCTGTGAAATGGGTACACCAGCACCTATATGCCTGCCTCAGATGTTTACTTTAAAATCAAATCAGATAACACAGAAGAAAATGTCTGAAAAAGTAGAGAGTATATCAGTTTAAGTTACTCATCATCTTTGTTCATTTGGAGGAGTGATAATGCTTTCCTTCTTCATATTTAGCGGGTGAGGCCTCCCTTATCTTCTCTGATGGTTGGAATTTGCTAATTGGTGATATTCATGGAAGGAACTTGAAAGTCCTGGTAGAGTCTCAAAATCGTGGACTACCTGTGGGTGTGGATTTTCATTATCATCTGCGCAGAGTCTTTTGGACTGACTATGTGCAAAATAAGGTAAGTAGAAATTTCAGGAGCAGCAGTTTGGGAGCTCATAGAACCTCAGGCATAAAGTGCTGATAGATAGCTTTTCATTTTTGGTGGAGTAAAGGGGAAAGTTCCTTTGTTTTCTAACAAAAAAGGCCCTTGAGATATTTTATGTTAATCAGCACCTTTTCCTTGCTATACTATTACATGTGACCTATTAAACAAAGCAGTCTATTATATGGATTAGCCTTGAGCAACTTTTAATTTTACTTGAAATGGAGTCCAAAAACCTAATTAAAAGAAATAGTAGACAGCCTTTCAAAACTGGATAGATATTTGGTAGTAATTTTTGAAACCTGATCACTTAAAATGTAAAAAAAGTACTCTGCTTTCATGGATGATAAAAATCAGATTTTACCCGCATCTTCTAAATGGAACCATAATTGAGGATTGGGTAACAAATATTGACAGTATTTTGTTTAACAGCCAAAATTTTACTACATGGACTTATTTGGAAAGTGTTATGGATTTGATTTCTATTTTGAGTAATGCAATGTAGGTTTTTAAAACATGAATTTAAGAGACTCCTAAAGAGTTGTAGAATTTATTTCTTTATCTTCATTTCCTATACCATTAATAAAATTTTAACCCAAGTAAGTGATTGCATGGATAAAATTTCCAAAAATTGAGAATTTGAATTACTAATGATTATGGTTTAATTGCACTAAAAATCAAAACTAAGCACTATCAACTCCTTCACCATATTTGATTAAATTATCAAAAATGACCAAGAATTGGAAATAGAAACTTTAAAAAAAATCCAATGTTTTATATTTGCCTCATATATATTTTTAAAACCTCTCTTCCCACCAGTAATCCATGATGTAAAATAGGAAATTTTTTTTCCAGATGACTGATTTTTACAACATAGGGTAATACAACTAATGATGTATAAACATCATTGGAAATGAGGAAAACAGTGCCCACGGTTAGTTAGACTTAAGAAGCATAATTTTTGTTTTTATTTCAGGTTTTTTCAGTTGGCATTAATGGTTTAAATATCCAAGAAGTTCTCAGTGTTTCTATTGATGATCCAGAGAATCTGGCTGTGGACTGGGTTAATAATAAACTTTATGTGGTGGAGACTAAAGTAAACCGCATAGATATGGTGAATTTGGATGGAAGCTACCGGGTTGTCCTTATAACTGAAAACTTAGGGCATCCTAGAGGAATTGCCTTGGACCCAACTGTTGGGTAAGTGATTTGAAAACCTACTGACTCCTGTATTTCTAGAGCTTCATTCCCTTCCTCACATATACCATCCATTGGATTAATTGAGGTTAATTCTAATCTCCTGTAAGTGCTACACTTAGAACCCATATTTATGTTATACCTCTATTCACATAGAAGCTTTAAAGGTGTTGACTAAATATAAATATAATCCCATGAGGAGATATAATATGATCATACGTACTGGCATACTAAAATATGTGATGTTTGGGGGGTATGGCCCAGAGATTGAACTCTGTGTTCTGACTCCATTTAATATTGCTACTACTAAATATTATTTTTGTTTTACCATTATTAAGGTAATTGCCATAACATGAATTAGCTGTAAAGTTTCTTAAAGAGGGGAAAAAGATTGAAATTATCTCTTTTACCACTTTCCTGTTATGGATTGGGATTGAGAGGTCAATGCTAAAACTACATTACAAGTTGTTTATTGTAAATCCATCCAACTAGTTTGATAATGTCTCCTTTTCTCCAGGTATAAATTAAAATTCTCCTGATCTCCACATTTGAGAATAGTTACAGGAGACCTTATTTTCTCTTAGATTTTCACAACTGCATCTTAGGACCCTCGGGTGACCTTTAGGCTACTTAAGTATTGGTGAATGGTGATTGTATATTTCTACTTCATGGTATCAGCTGTGCTTCCTTGAAAGTGATGGATTGTTTTCTAGAGTATGCCTCAGAATGGTGTATTTGCGAGGGAAGTGACTTGACAGTTTACTTAAAAATATATTTGTAAGTTTTCCTGGATGTAAAAAAGCGAAAGACAGAGCTAGAGAAGGGGGAGGAAAGAAGATAAATGTGAATTTTCAGGCTGCCAGAGTAGTGCATTTTAATAGATGCTATTTAGTGTTGTTGTTGACTCTCCTAATCAGTCCTGTAGTCTCTGATTCTTAATACTTTTTTATTTCCTTTATTTCCTTATTTATTATACTCCCATGGTTCTCTAATAAGCTGGAGGAAATTTTCATTGACCCAAGCAATCTGACAGTATATCTTTCAGGTACATTTGTAAAATAACTGAATCTTTTAACTTTTGTTTTTCTTTTATAGTTATTTATTTTTCTCAGATTGGGAGAGCCTTTCTGGAGAACCTAAGTTGGAAAGGGCTTTCATGGATGGCACCAACCGTAAAGACTTGGTGAAAACAAAACTGGGCTGGCCTGCTGGGATAACTCTGGATATGGTATTGAAGCGTGTATACTGGGTTGACTGCCGCTATGATTACATTGAGACTGTAACTTATGATGGAACTCAAAGGTAAGAAGAATTTTTGTAGCTTTAAAAGTTTGGAGGCATGTACATATAATTTATGAAGAAAGATACTGCAAGAATAGAATTAAAACTGCTTTGTTGGTTGACATTATAACTTGAATGAGTTTTGTATTTGCATGAAGTGACCTACTCCAAGTTTTGTTATTTTGTCTTATGTTCCATAGTAACAGCCATTAAATGTTACTGAGAATCTGTTCTTTGATTTCTCCTCTCTAACCCTTCCTCCAATCCCAGATCAAGCATATTATTTTCATTAACTCCTGAGTTATTGAATTTGGGTTGTTTCCAAAGATCATTTTATCTTTTGTCTTTGTAACTTTTCCCCAATAAATAAATAAGTTTTTTTTACTTGCCATTATCTAGTGATAATTTATTGGATTTTACTCTGCCCTTATATATTTAAAATTTTGAAGAGAAATTTGGATTTTTATTTTACCCTATATATACTTAAAACAGAATATTTGAAAGTAAAATATGGCATACTTTTTTCTTCATCTCAAGCCTGACTAGAGCTAACTATAAATTAAATTGTTAACTACTATTGACCACATCCTTTTGGCATTTCAAAACATTGGTTAAAACATGTTTTTCAAATCTTGAGCAAGAAAAATTACTCTTTATAGGTTCAGCAAATAACAAACTGGTCAATTTAATTTTTTCAAATAACTTGATCTCATTGTTTTTCTCAATGAAGGTAATATTATAGCTTTGTTTTCGCCTTTATCTCTGTTTTGAAATAAAATATCACAGTTTGCCACTGGGTTTTATATTCTTAGATCAACCTCTGCTTGGTTAAGTGAAGTGATTATGTACTAAGATTGACTTCTTATCACTTTAACTGCTTCCCATAGTGAGAATATTAATTGCTTTAATAAAAAAAAAATCAGTCAATTTGTCAAGTCATATAAAAATAATTGAGATATTGCCTGCATTTTTTTTTGCCTCTTTCATGGGTGTTTCAGCATTTTATAGTCTAAATATATGTTGAGGTTAAAGTAAAACCTAAAAGATAGAAATCAATGGATTTTCAGAAAGATTTGAATGGTTGGCTGGCATGAAGAAACATCAGAGATATTAATGTATATGCCACAGCTGAAATCATAAAGTCATTGCCCCTTGCTTTACCAGCAGGTGGCATTCAGGGTTCTGGAATTTCCTAGCAGAAAGAAAACCATTCTCTAATGCTAATATACCAGGCCATAATTGAGTGTTTCAAAGTGTGTGCTAACCTGCCCCTTAGGTGTCTTCGTTTTTTGTTTTTGTTTTTAGTTTTTTTGGCCCTTAGTGTGTTTGACAGTGTTAGAATCTTCAAGGCTTTTCTGAGCGCTCTCTTACACTTTTTGTTGTCAGAAGTTCCTGAAATTTTTCTTTGCATTCTTTCTATTATGCAAAGAGAGAATGTAGAGGGCAGGAATGGAACACAGTGCAGGTTTTCTGTGATCCAGCAGACCGGGTAAAGGAGGAGTCAGAGTCTTCAGTGGCTATTTTGCAGGCTTTTATTGGGATTTACCCGGGACACAGCAGGTAGGGATGCTGGGGGTCCGGGATGACGTTCTCTCTCTTGGCATCTGCTGCTTCTGCTTCTCTCAGCTTCTGCTTCGCTTGCTTCTCTCTGCTTCTGCTGGTGTCCCCGTGACACTGCCCTTAAAAGCCCAGTCTTAGCCCAGGTGAATCCCATCTACCTATGCTCACACCCTACTCCAGGTGCCCGCCATCAGGCATGCATTCAGGACCGCAGGGTTCCGTCATCTATCCTGATGGCGGGAGGGCAGAAAAGCCTGACATTTTCTTTACCCTACAGAGAACAAAGATGGGTTTTTTCTTATAAGCCATCCTTTAACTTACTTTTTTTTTTGTGGTCTAACTGAATCATTGTTTATGAAGGTGTAGTCATGGCAAGCACTGTTGAGTTCTTCCCTTTTAATTCTATTTTATTTTCACTTAAGTAGCTTGGAACACTCTATGACCATTACAAGTATAATCTGTTGACAGTTTCATCAAGTAGCACCATAACAGTGGCTATGCTGCTTTCTGCTCTCCCTAGAGTGATAGCAGAAATAGGCCTGTGCATTTTCTATGGGTTTGAACTTTATCATATCAGCCCGTTTTTTGTGGGGCAATCTTAAAAGAATGAAGAGCAGGTGAGAAAGCAACAATGACTCAGGAAAGTGGCATTTAAGTTTTAAGGGTCTTTTCCATGAGATATCATGGAAATCCATATATCAAATATAGATGGAACTATATCTCCATCTTAAAATACAGTTTTTCTGTATATTCCAATAAGAAATTATTTCACTTTGAAAGCATTTAATTAAACTAATTCATCCTTTAATCAAAACAAAGGAAAACAAATAAAACATTGCATGATATCTGTCTTTTGTAACAGGAAGACAGTAGTTCATGGAGGCTCACGGATTCCTCATCCTTTTGGAATAAGCTTATTTGAAGATCACGTGTTCTATACTGATTGGACAAAGATGGCTGTAATGAAGGCAAACAAATTCACTGAGACCAACCCACAAATATACCACCAGCTTTCCCTGAAGCCCTTTGGATTGACTGTTTACCATTCCCTCAGGCAGCCCTATGGTAAGCCCCAAAATAATGGACACCATGCTTGGCACTGGCCTCCATGGAAAAATTGTCTCAAAGTTGTGGGTGTTAATACTGAGGGATCCCTCAGAGATATGAGTGAACTTCTTCAATATATGAAGAGTTATCATGTATATCCTGGACAAATCAATGTATTTCGGAGTTAAAAAATGCCAAATCTACAAAGAATTTAGAGATTCATTTAACAGATATTTGACACTTGCAATGTGTCTACGTACTTGGGATACAGCAGCAAACAAACCAAACCCCTGCTTATTTAGTCTTCTAATATTAAAGTTGAAGAAACTAAGGGCCAGAGGAAGAAAATGCCTAATTGCTTATTATAAGGGTGTCTCACAGGTTTTTTATTTTTTTATATTGGGTAAGTATGACATCTGTTCTTTGGTTTGCATTAGGTCTGTCACAGGCCAACTGAGTTTGGTGTCCCTGTGGCTGGTTACTTACCAAAGAAAAGAAATATTTTGATTTAAACATTATCTAGTCTTCTGTTATTTTACAGTAAATTATGGGTTTCAAGATTTTAAATTGACATGACTATCTCAACTGCATATGACTCTTCTATATTTGCATGTATCACAGAAAAGACATACAATAAACTGTTGGTAGAAAGATTAATATTAATGAACAGCAATGTAGAAGCAGACATTAGTATTTAGACTCGAATACTAATGGATGTGTCTGACTTTAGGGGTATGATAAAATAATTAGGTTGATTTAAACAAACCAACAAACAAAACAAAACAAACAAAGAAAGCAATAGAACTGATACATTCAGATGAAATTCCTTTAATGTAGTCATCCTGGGTAAACATATACTTTATTTGAAAATATATACTGTATCTAAAACCATTTTGAAAATCTCTTTTTGGAAGAGTGAGTTCATCAGCTACCAAATTCACACCTGCCCTTGACCAAAATATCAGCCAATGTTTCATCCAAATTATGTCTGTTATTCCACTCAGAATGGTACAGGACTATTGTTTCCTCAAATCCACCTGAGAAGGTAAAGAGCAGCCTTGTGTTTAGTGAGCTTACTGAGTTCCCTGCTTTGAGAGTGGTTTTGGGAAGTACAAAATGGTTTGTGTTGCAGACGCATAGGTTTTGGAATCAGATCTGGTTTTGAATCCTAGATTAGCTATTTAGCCACTGAATTACGTTGGGCAAGATGTGTAGCTTTTTTTTTTTTTAAAGATTTTTTAAAATTTATTTATGTATACAAGAACTGGGTGTGGTGTGTGTGTGTGTGTGTGTGTGTGTGTGTGTGAGAGAGAGAGAGAGAGAGAGAGGATTCATCAGAGAGAGAGTGGGGAGCAGAACAGCCGGATTTAGGGGTGAACTACACTGCCGAGGGTAGCAGCGGGAAAGACAGGAGAGGTCTGCTTGCCATGTGGGTTAGCTCCCTGGCCCGGGATTGAACTCAGGATGCAGGGGCAATTGCATGGTAGCTCTGAGGCTTAACTATGCCACCAGGGAGGCCCAGATGTGTTGCTTTTTGGAACTTGGTTTCCTCTTCATCTCAGTAAAACTGGGATGATAATACATAACCATTAGAATCACTGATTAAATTGGCTTGCTTACAAAGTAAGGATCAAATGAGTGCTAGTTGCTTATTATAGATTTATATATAATGGTATGTATTTATATATGGTAAAAAATCATTAAATATCATTATATATATATATATGGTAAAAATTATCATTAAAGTATTTTGGCAGAGGTAGCAGTTATTTTCTAATAATTGAGGCTAGCAGATACTTTGGTATAGTTATGCGGAAAAAGTGTGGGAATCCTGTTTTTTGCCACTGCCATGTAAGACAGCAATGAAATTGGGAGGGCCAGTTATGCCAGATATGGACGCATATAGCAGCAACTGGTATTGGTTTCTCTTGAGTTTCAAACCCATATTCTGTCTTACCTACAGGATTCAAAGTAGCTTCACACATCTTGGGTAATTATACATTTCTAATTGAGATTTCATCCTGTGCATTTTTGCCCTCCAGTTAACAATCCATGTGGATATAACAATGGGGACTGTGAGCAGGTCTGTGTTCTCAGCCACGTAACAGATAATGATGGTTTGGGTTACCGCTGTAAGTGCACGCTGGGCTTCGATCTGGATGTGGATGGACGCCACTGTGTGGGTAAGAAATCTATTTGGGGCTATGCTTTGGGCAGGGAGCTGTGGTTATGTGCTACCCCTGGACTGGACCAGTTCCCTGTCATACTTCTTCGGTGAGAATAAGCTTTCAGTAGCTCACTCCCTTTACACAGCTACACGTTTGAAAACGTTTATTTCAGTCCTTTGAGCCTTTCCTTTAATCCCATCTCTGGGGTTTCCTTGTGCTCTCTTTCTTCTTTGTGTCCTTCCTGAAATCTTTGTCTCTTTTTGTTAACTGTGTTCTTGAAATTCCACCGAATTTAATTTTGAGTTTGTAGTGTGTACCCCTTTTCTACTTTAGATGTTAGCCTTCGCTTTCATGGAAGGCCTTCCTGCCACTAACATTGTTTCTAACTATTGTATCAACACTACATTGTCTAATAATATTGCTTTAAAATTTCTTTTACAGTTTTTATCTTTGTTTTTGGTATACCTTCTTCATCTCTCTTTTTGATTTCCTGACATGCTGCCACTGTCACCTTCTTTGATTTAAATCTCACTCCTTCTTTGTTATTTCTTCCCTCTCCTTTTTACACTCCCTCCTTTATTTTTTCCAAGTAATTTACCTGATTGCTGCTGATTCTTCTCTTTTCCTGGTCTTAATGCTTAAAAAATTAATCTAACTTGAGAGATTTGATGAAATTACCATGAAATTCAGTTAATATTGCTTTAGAAATTCAGCACATGGACACCATCTTTTGCATAAATAAATTGTAAGGTTAAATTTCTTGGGAAGAAGAAAGATGCTGCTTGTATTACTTACATAGATACTTTTCTTTTTCCTTCCTCACATTATTTCTAACATTATTTCCTCACATTATTTCTATGTTTTCCACAGGTTGACATTTTTGTGTTTATTTCAGAATTATAAAGTCTGCTTTATGGATGTATTAGTAATGTCTCCAGAATTTGGAGAAAGTAAGAACCATGCCGGGACTAATTGCACTGTGTTTTTCTTCCTACAGCTGTTAAGCATTTCTTGATTTTTTCATCTGAAGTGAGTGTTCGTGGGATTCCGTTCAATCTTTCTACCCAGGAAGATGTCATGGTTCCAGTGACAGGAAGTCCTTCTTTCTTTGTTGGGCTGGATTTCGATGCCCAGGAGAACACTATCTTTTTTTCAGACATATCGAAAAAAATGATTTACAAACAAAAAATTGATGGCACGGGTGAGAAAGGATCTTAACTTTTTTTTATCTTTTGTCCATTTTCAGTAATAATACTGCTCATCTCCACAATCAGAGTTTGCATTCATTTCATTTCTTTAAATATTTTATTTATTTATTTATCAAAAGATTTATTTATCTATTAATTAAAAGATTTATTTATTTATTTATTTATTTCTACAAGCACTGGGTACAGTCAGAAGAGCGGGAGGGTGAGAGAATTCACCAGAGCCAGAGCAGGGAGCAGAGCAGGCAGAAGGACTGAAGCACACTGCTGAGGGGAGCAGCCGGCGGCAGGAGAGGTCTGCGCGCCATGTGGGATCCTCCTCTGGTGGCCTGGGAGCAGCTGGGGATAGAACCAGCGTTGCAGAGGCTGCGGGCAGCTTTGCAACCCAGCACTCAACCGCTGCGCCACGGGGGAGGCCCCAATATTTATTTTGTTTATACAAGAGCTGGTGTACAGGCCGGAGTCGCGGGAGGGTGAGAGGATTCGCCAGAGACAGAGCGGGGAGCAGAACAGGCAGACAGACCGAAAACACTGCTGAGGGGAGCAGCGGGTGAGACAGGAGAGGTCTGCTGCGCCATGTGGGCAGCTCCCTAGACGGCTGGGAATCAAACTGGTGCTTCAGAGGCTGCGGACAGCTTCACGGCTCTACGTTCAACCCGCTGCGCCACTGGGGAGGCCCTGCATTCATTTTTTTTAATAGACTTTTTTTTAAATTTTATATATTTTTTACATCATTTTTCATTTTTGCACAATGTATGTATTTTCATCTTGGTTATACTCACCATATAATTCCCCCCCCCCTTGTTTTGATCCTACTCCCTCCTCCCCCTGTAGTGTGTCTCTGGTTTACAGTTACTTGTTGATTTTGATTTTTACTTTATTATAATTAGTCTTTTTCCTGGTCCCACAATGCTAAGCTTACAATATACTTTTAAGTTAGGAAAAGAAATCTATTGTTTTCCTTAAGAATTAAGGAAAATTAAGTTAAAAAGAATACTTTCCCTTAACTTAATTTGGACTAATAAATGAAAAACACCTAGAATAATGCCTGAAATAGTCAATAAATGTCAACTATTACTATAGTTGTTGTCAATGAAAAACCATGTTACACTGCTCCACACTACCCCCAACCCAAACCTGCATTACAGAGGTAATTGCTTGCCATTTTTTTTAGCTGTTCCTTCATTATTTGTCTCCATGTTTCTAAATACTTTGTTTAAACTATTTCTTGATAAGTCATTTTAGATATTTATTTCTTTGTTATCCATGAAGATTTTATTATTTAGCATTTCTCTCCCCCAAATTCTCTCCCTCATTATCTCTAAAAGAATTAGATTGTGATTTTGATTAAGTTAATTAGATTCTCAGCTTGATTAAGTTAATAGTGACTATTTACATGACTGATATAAATATAATGTTATTTTTCGTTAAGACAGCTAGTATTCTGTGATGGCATTTCTTGAATGATTTTTTTAAATTTTTTCCCTGGAAATTAACAATTGCTCGATTTTTATTTGCTTACTTTTCTATAAAATTATTATATATTTTCACCAAGTGCTCCAACTTATCTCTCAAATTATCTATCTATCTATCTATCTATCTATCTATCTATCTATCTATGTATCTCTCTATTTATCATCTAATGCAAATGATATAATTTTTTTCCCCTGTGGTTGAAATCCCTTGTTTCCTTTGGGACTCATTACTTTCTGGATATGGTACATTGCTTTTGTCTTTCAGCTTCCCTGGATCTTCTGTTTCTGGCAAGTCATTTTTATTTCCAGATTTATTAACTTACTTGGCTGAAACACATTATATAGTAGCTTCTTATGAAGAATGGGTAGGGTGGCATATTGTTTGAATCTTTGAATGTCTGACAGTGTTTTTACTTGGCCCTCTCTTTGATGATTTGTCTGGGTATAGAGTTGTAGGGTGAAATTTTATTTCAGAAGCTTGAAGACATTGCTCCACTGTGTTTAGTATCTTGTTGAGAGTCCAGTGCCATTTAGAAACACCATGTCTATGTATGTGACCTTTTTCTTGTTGCTTATTTTCATTCTTTTCTGGAGATAGCTAATTTTTCCTTAGTAGGTACTTCCATTATCCTTCTAGATTTGGGAAGCAGAGAGGCATAGCTGGCAGTACAAGAAACAGGGAGTAGAGGACCCATCAGTTCAGTATTCACATCACCCCCCTGTACTCAGTTCTGTGTCCACCCTGAGCTTCCATTGTGCATCATGTTCTGATCCCACAGCCTTACTGCCTTTGTTCCTCCAGAGAAGAAATTCTCTCTGGTGTGACTGAGAACATAGATGGAGGGAAGTGGCACAGAAGGTCAGGGCCTGGGAGGGACCAGAATTCTAATTGCTTCTTGTAACAACTATTTACTAAGTCCCTCGGTTGCTCACTGCTGCCTTCTGCAGAATCAGATCCTGCTGAATAAGTATATGATGAGAGATCTACACACACTTTGGAAGAGACAGGGAGTAGGGGGTGGTAACTCTCTAAATGCTGAGAGAGGGAAGGCTGACATCCATCTATGTAGAGGCCGCCACATATTTTTCTGAATATTCCAATCAATTTGAGCTCTTATCAAAAGGCAGTATTTGGTTTCTAAGCTGCACACCAATTGTCTCCTATAGATACCCTCACAGGCCAGCTTCCCTTACTTTGTCAAACTGGAATTCTCATTATGTTTTTTTTTTTTAATTAATTTCAAGTTCACATTATGAGCAGTTTACCTTTTAAAATATTCTTATAGTCAGTGTTTAAACACTCCATGTTGTAGTGAAGAATGGATTACACTGCTCTGCTCTTTCAAGTGAGAATATTGTCAATGAATATACAGAAAATGAGTGTTTAAAAACAAAACTCAAGATTGACTGAATGAAACTTTCAGTATTCTCCAACGATTATCCTTTCTCTTTTCAAAATTATTATTATTATTATTATTTTTACTGATGTCCCCAGTGATCCATTCTCACCCATCCTTCTACTCTTCAGTTCCAGCCCTCTCTCTACTTCACTTCATGGGCAAACTTCTTGAAAGATTGCTTTATGCTCTCCCTATTTCCACATTTCTCACTTATTCCTTACTTAAGGAATTTGGCTGTAAGATCTCTGGAAACCCTGTCATCCCAGTCACCTCCAACCTCTTTGTTAAGAGCTTTCAGTCTCTGTCTTTGGTACTTTAGTCATCTTCTTAAAGTGTTTTATATTTCTTGACCATTCTTTCTAGTATTCCTTAAAGGTCTTTCTCTTTGCCCATCCTATACAGAACTGATCTTTAGTGTTCAATATGGGTCCTCTTTCCTTCTGCATTTTCAGCAGAATTTCACACATTTCATATTTTTTAATTACCATCTAGTTAGCGATAATAAATCAGTGTTGGGAGACTTATGATAGAGCATTTTGGAACGTTTTCCCTCCTAAGATGAGGAATGAGAGAAAGGTCAGGGAAGACTTCTTGCAGGTGATCCAAGCTCTTTTTCTGAGGCTCAGCACTAGCTGCCCTTTGGGATCTCACCTAGGTATATACCCCAATCACCTCAAAAGCAATATGTCTAAACATATTGCTATTTCTCAGAGACGTCATCATGCCTTCCTCCTATTTCTCATAGACTTCATGCCTTTCTCTTCCCCATTACCCTTAGAAATCTGGTGGTCACCTGAATTTCTCTCTCTCTCTCTCTCTCTCTCACCCTTTTTCCCTCTCCTTTTCTTGGCCTCTATCATTAGCTCATTAACTTCTAGCTGTGCTCTGGAGTATGTGAAGTTCCCCAGATTTGCCATTTTCTTTGGGAAATCTCCACCTAGACCTCCACCTTCCTATGTGCTCCATCCTGAGCCTGTTCCTTCATGCCACCTGCTGCCTGGTGCCCACCACCATCACAGCATCCACGACTCTTTAATTTTTGCCTCTTGACCTAATTAGGCTTCCTCCTCTCTTTCCCACTTTATTATATATACGTTGGAGGAAATGTCCACATCTGTCAAGATGCTTCAACTTCTCTATGCCTCAAGTTCCTTATATGTATTGTGAGTTGCTATTGTGAGGATGGATGAATCCATATAAAATACTGGGTCCAGTTCCCAGTTGATAGTAAGTGCTCATTGTAAGCTATTTATATTAATATTGTTGGCGATATCATGCTTCTTAAATATCTATTGTGATGCTGAGCACAGAGAGGGTTTTCTTTTAACAATTTGCTGAATAAATAATGGGAAAAGCACCTGATTTTTTTCCTTTCTACTTCACAAGAAAGAGATGTGATTTATTTGGTTCAGATTTTCTTTAGTGGAAAAAGAAAAAAAGGCCTGAGGGTTAGGGGGAGGCTTGAAAATTTTACAAAGAGGAAAGTGGTCTTTTTTTCCCTCTTGTACCTACTTTTAATTTTCTTTCTGGTATCTTTGCTGGTCTTTTCCAAACTTGGCAACTTTGTGTCTATGAAAAACTGTTGATGGAGAGGGTTGGGCGGTAATGCATCAGAGATACCCCCTGGTAGTACCTGGCAGTGTCAGCTTATCAGAGCTGTCTGTGGGTAGTGTTTGTGAGTATGTGAACTCAGGTATCTCTTCTTCAGATGTTCTGCAATGAAAAAATTTTTTCTGGAAGGTTGAACAAGGGAGTAAATCCAGGCCATACCACTCCTGGGGCTGTTTATCAGAATCATATCTATTCTTTGAGATCCAAATTTTGGGGAATGGATAGATACTTGGTTTATCTCATGTTGTTGCTCAGCAGTTTAATTTTTTAAAAAGAATTCTACATATGTTACTGAAATATGTTCAAAAATATGAAACAAAATTTAAATATGTTACAGTAGGACAATGTGTATCTTACAAAATATGCTTAGCTTGAAATATGTCCATAATTTGATTGCAGGAAGAGAAATTCTCACAGCTAACAAGGTGGAAAGTGTTGAAAGTTTGACTTTTGACTGGATTTCAAAGAATCTCTACTGGACAGATGCTTTTTATAGGGATGTCAGTGTCATGAGGCTAACTGATAAATCCAGGCGCCAAATAATCCAGAATTTAAATAACCCACGATCAATTGTAGTTCATCCTGTTGCTGGGTAAGTGTTTTTCTGAGAGTTTGAAGGTAGGTCTTTTAAAGCCATTGAAAGATGACTGTAAGTATTTGGCAAGTTCAGCAAATATAAATTAAACTATATACATTGAAATTACCTTATATTTTATCCCTTTAGCATAAGTTTAAGTAATTACTTTACCTACTTCAAAAAAACTTTCTCCTATGTTTGGACATTCCCAGTTTTGTTTTGTTTTTTTTTTCCCCGCAGTTGCCAAGGATTAAATAATGTAATACATATTCAGTAGGGAAGGAATAACTGGCCAGGAGATTTATCAGGAAAGATTAATATTCTTTTCCTGCTGTAGTATATTGATATAAAACTTAACAAAACTTTAATCATTCAGTAGTTTTCAGAATGAAGTCTCTCATTTCAAAAAGTTTCATATTTAACCATTCCATAATTGATGGTGTCAGACAAAAAAAGCATTCCAATATTCATTCTAGTTTCTGACCTGATTTAAATATGTTTAATAGCTAACATGTTTATTTGGAACAAGACTGAGTTAGGTAGTCATATTTGAATGGAATAATTGAAAAAAAGATGACTGGTAATTCGCTAAAGTCTGATTCGCAGAGGACTAATAGTGAACCCTTTACATATATAACCTCATGCAATACAAAAGCTAGTTTGTGAGTGATATATATAGATATAAATACATGTCTTAGAGATAATGAATCAAGCCTTAGATAAAATAACTTGCTTAAGGACCTATAGCTATTAAGCAATAGTTAATATTCAAATTCAAGGCCTGTCTTAATGCAAAGCCTGTGGATCTAACAACTCTGCATACTGCTTTTAGAGTGTCTATTTTTTTTTAAAGATTTATTTTATTTATACAAGAGCTGGGGTACGGGCCAGAGGTGCAGGAGGGTAAAAGGATTCACCAGAGACAGAGTGGGGAGCAGAACAGGCAGACAGACTGAAAGGACTGCTGAGGGGAGCAGTGGACGAGACAGAAGAGGTCTGCTGCACCATGTGGGACTCTCTCTGGACGGCTGGGAATCGAACTGCACCGCAGAGGCTGCAGACAGCTTCACAGGGCTATGTTCAACCCTCTGTGCCACCACGGAGGCTCCTTCTAGTGTCTATTTTATGTTATTTAAACATTTTTTTTAAATTGAAGTAACATTAAGTTATAACATTATGTAAGTTTCAGGTGTGCATCATTATAAATCAAGGTCTATATATACTACATTAGGTTCACAACTAAAATTCTATCCCTTACCATAAAATTAACCTCATTTACCTGATTTACAACACCACCCCCACTCTCTTCCCGACTAATACCCTTCCCCAAACCATTAATTTGATCTTATGGTTTATTTTGTTTTATTTAGTTCATTTTTGGGGTTTCTTTTTATGCCACACATAAATAAAATCATACCATGTTTGCCTTTCTCTGATTTATTTCACTAAACATAATGCCCTCTACATCCATTGTTGCTAATAACAGAATTTTATCTTTTTTTATAGCTGAGTAGTTTTATATTTTAGTTTTCTCCTTGTGATAAAACAAACATTTAAAAAATGATGACATTGCTGGTGAGAAATTTTGTTGCCTTATTTGTAGTTAAATAGTTGATTTCCTAATGAATTTATCTTAAAATAAATCTTGGTGTTTGGTTTTGAAAAGCTGTTAAATTTTTTTTTTAATGATTTAAGATAATATTAAATTAATCACATTTCAGAAAGTTGCATGTTGGAAAGGGCTAATTTTCTTTCCTAAAGCTTCTTATGAAGCTTTCTCCTGTGCCCACTAGGCTTGGATAATATATTGTTTGATTTGTATGCATTCTTCTTCAGGCATGAAAGACTTTCCTGAAAATTTAACAATTCCTTATAGAGGATGACTAAGAACAAACTAGAGATAAGAGAGATTAAAATCTGTAAATCTGTTTTCTTGTTCTTAAGTTTATTGTCATTTCAGCAACATGGAGTTTTAAAAGTGTTGCCTGTTTCTTTTCAAAGAATCTACCTGGTTTCAATAGTTTTAGATCCTCAAGTCTAGAACAGATCTTCTCAGTTCTGGATGTCCATTTTAATGCCATTTGTTTGTAAGTTTGATTATATGTTGGTAGCTGAACTTTTTGTGTGTGTGTGTGTAGAAGAACTGGGGTGTAGGTCAGAGGTGCAGAGGGGTGAGAGGATTCACCAGAGACAGAGTGGGGAGCAGAACAAGCAGATTAACTGAAATACACTGCTAAGGGGAGCAGTGGGTGAGACAGGAGAGGTCTGCTGTGCCATGTGGGTTAGCTCCCTGGCCAGGGATAAAACTCAGGCTATAATTGTAATAGCACTGAGACTTAACCCCTAGGCTACTATGGAGCCCTGATAGCTGAGCTTCCAATTAAGAATTAAATCAGGTGTAAATATGCTAATAAGCATTTTTTTTTTCTGTGTAAATCCTCTAACATATACCGATAATGAAATAAATTTCTCAGTGTCTAGAGAATCTAGGTTTGTGTCATCTCTCTCTAAATCCTGTAGTTTGTCTCAGTGTTAATATCTTTGATTTAATCCCTCTTTTTCTAGATATATATTCTTCACTGATTGGTTCCGTCCTGCTAAAATTATGAGAGCATGGTGTGATGGATCTCACCTTTTGCCTATAGTAAACACTACTCTTGGATGGCCCAATGGGCTGGCCATTGATTGGGGGTAAGTAGAAACCATTCTGAATTCCTGAGTTCCCACTTACTGTGGAATACATAGGAGGCAATATATGTATTATGATGGAGTGAGGAAACTAATTCTACTCACCCTCAGATATTTTAATGTCATTGGTGACGGGAGAGGATGTAGAATACAAACATAGTTGGCGGTTTCTGCTGGGACAAAAGCTAATGCTTTCCTGAATATTCGGAGGAAGGTCAGCATGGAGGAGGCAAATCCAAGCCCCATTTGAAATAGGTTAGAGATTGATGAAGTGCAGGTGATGTGTAATTTAGTCCACAGGGCATTTTGGGTTAGGAAATCTTCATCAATTAGCAAAAAAATTTATATTTGCCTAAATGCACTTTTGGAGAATTTTTGATATATGTTACAGTTCTCAAAACATTGAACTATCTAGGAATACAAGAAGAGGTAACAGAGTAAAAAAAGTTACAGATATAAATTACCTAAGTAGTTTGTGGGAGAGAAAAAAAATACATTGAACCTTTCAAATGTTGATTTAAAAACGCTGATAAAATTTCAAAATATTGGGCCTCCCCGGTGGCGCAGCGGTTGAGCGCTGGGTTGCGAAGCTGCCCGCAGCCTCTGCAGTGCCGGTTCGATCCCCGGCTGCTCCCCGGCCACCGGAGGAGGGTCCCACATGGCGTGCAGACCTCTCCTGCCGCCCGCTGCTCCCCTCAGCAGTGTACTTCGGTCCTTCTGCCTTCTCTGCTCCCTCTTCTGGTGAATTCTCTCACCCTCCCACACTTCTGACTGTACCCGGTGCTTGTATGTATAAACAAACAATTAAATCTTTAAAAAAAAAAAATTTCAAAATATTGGTTACTATCAACATTTTTCATAGCGTGTTGATTTCGCAAGAAGCTTTCTAAAGCAGTTTATTGAAAATCACTTTATGATATGGGCAAGTGTGGTTTTGTGGAAAGTGAGTGTAACATACGCATCTGGAAAAAATGTCAGAACAATATAGTCTATGAAAAGAGTTAACCATAAAAAAAAACCCATTAAAAAAGTTAATCAGAAAGAAAGAAAGAAAGAAGGAAGGAAGAAAGGAAGGAAAGAAAATCATAAAATTATTAAAATTTATTGAATATAATTTAAATTTTAAAAATTTTGTTTAATAAATGTGTCCTCTGATCATACTGTTTTTGAATGACCTCAGAGTATAGGGTTCTTTTCTGGTTTCTGAATAACAGATAACTAAGTATTTTATTATTTTAGTGCTTTACGATTATACTGGGTGGATGCCTTTTTTGATAAAATTGAGCACAGCACCTTTGATGGTTTAGATAGAAGGACCCTGGACCATATACAGCAGATGACACATCCATTTGGACTCACTGTCTTTGAAGGTAAATTTTGAAGCAATAGAACTGTGTGGTGTTTTTATATTTTGCAAATTGTAACAGAAGACTCATTTGGTCATCTCATAACTCCAGAAAAGCTGGTCACTTTAGCATACAAAAAATGGAAAAAATGCTATTCTGTATAAACAAACATTTGGTTTATTGACTGATTCTTACTTTTAGAATGTATTTTGGTGTCGGGCACTTTTAGATAATATTAACCATTGATATGGGTATAGGTATAACACTTTGTAGATTATATTTTATAAAATTATACAGTTTAATATCCCAGATACTCTGTGGTATAAGTGTCCTATGAGGAAATAGCAAATTACTGCCTTCATCATTTTCAAGAATAAAATAAAAAGAGTTGTCTGAAGTAACTATTGTAGAATTTCATTTTCTGATATTGGAAAGACCTTCACAGTCCTTGTGGAAAAATGATTGCACCTGTCATCAATTGTATACTCACTGAATGACTGAAGTTTTGTAGTTACAATGTTGTGTATGTGACAGAACCTTAGTTACACAGACTTGTTAGGATATGGCTTGTGAAGTACAGCAAGTCTTTGTTGTTTTTTTTCATCAGCCTTTCCAAATAATTTAATGCTACTTGTTAAAATTGTTGGGAGCAAGAGATTCTGGGATACTGCAATAACAAAATCACACCAATGTATCAGTTTTCCTTCTCCCAACATCCCTCTTCAGGATAGGCATGCTGTTGTGAGTTGAGTTGCTGGGATTAAGAATGTAGTTTAATACTGGATTTGTTTAATCTTGAACAAAGTTTCTGTAGCCACTGCACTGCACTGAAGTGCCAGGCTGAGAGAAGAGGGACTACACCTATCTTGGTTCTGCCTGACAAACCATACTTAGTCTAGTAAGAGGGTTGCTGTTCAGTGACTCACCAAAGGTCCTATTCATATACATATGCTTGTTAAAATCTCTTATTCTGAGTATTTAGCATTGTGCTTTCAAAAACTAGAAATTGACTATAAATCAAAGGCTTTCTTGCACACATAGTGTGGAATGAATAGTAAATATATTGCCTATTCCATCCTGCTGTCTATTTATTTGTGGAGGAGTGGATGGTATTTAAAAATATTTTAAAAATGCTCTTGTGAGATTTTTGATAAGATGAGTCAATTATAAATATTCATTTCTCCCAGCCCCAATACATTCACTCCCTTTTCACTAATGATGTCAGACACAGGCTATTTGCTGTCAAGTAGCAACATTATTAAGAATGTAAAGTTTTCTTACGTTTTTTGGGAATATTTTTGGAGTTGAATAGAGGTGGTTTCACTACATTTTGGTTCCATCAGTATGACAAAAATTGAGCACAGTGAAACATTCACAAAATTGAAGAAATAATGATAATAGTAACAACAGCTAGTTTCTTCTGACGCTGCCCTTCATTTTGAATTTTTTATAGAAAGTTCTTTATTACACAACACAATGGAAATTATGCATCTTTTTAATGAAAGATTAGAACTGCTTGACTATCTGTGCACCACACGAGCTGGACAGCATGTTGAAATCCTTATCTGTTTAAGTATTGTAAGATACCTTACTGAGAATTAAAATATTACCAGTTAGTCTGTATAACTTGATTAGTTATTGATTAGATTATTGATAGTGCAATTAATGAAAAGTTAGTGACCTCTTAGACATTTTCTGTTTAGTTGTGATTTTTTGTTAGTTCAGCTATTGTTTAAGAGAAAATCCACTTGGATTCAATCCTTTCTTTTAAAAACTCTGTTGAAACATGTATATTTACTTTCCTGATTTGGTAGTGAGTGTAAAGTGAATATGATTTGATTTCTAATGTTTAGAATCTTGCACTACCTCTATGTTACCATTTAAGTTTCATGGAACAGTATTGTGATTGTCAGTATAGGCACACTTCTGTGGATGATTTTATTGATCTCCAAACATACACTGAAAATTTCTTTTGGGTTTGAGCTGACCCTTCCTTTTCAACAGCTTCTTTAATTAGAGTTGAATTAAAACAATTCATGTTCTCATTAAGACATGACATGTGGAATGTTTGACCTGGAAAGGCACTCAGAGATGGTTTAGTCTAGTTCCTGAAATTTACTAGAAGTATTTGCCTCAGAGCACTCAGCAGGTTAGTGCTCTAAGTTCCCACTTAGAAGTTAGTGCTCTAAGTTCCCACTTAGTGCTTTAAGTTCCCACCTGTGTAGCACCATCTACACTCCGTTATTCAATTACCTTGAGGTTATTTATTTATTTATTTATTTATTTTTTGTGGGACCCTCGCCAGCGGCCAGGGAATGAACTGGTGCTGCAGAGGCTGCCGGCAGCCTCGCAGCCCAGCACTCAACCACTGTGCCACCAGGGGAGGCCCTAGCTTGAGGTTATTTTTAGTTTTACCCATAGAAGTCTAAACCTAATTGTTATTAAGTTTCATCACTATACTCTATACATGCTTGTCTGAACCTGGACTCTGGTATCATTGGATGTAATGTAATCATAGAAAATGATTACAGAAACACATTGCAGATCTGTAGAAGAAAAGCTCACATTTGCAAGAAGCCTCGCAGGTCTATTGCATTTTTCCAAGTGATTTGTAAGTGAGGTGTGACCAAAAATACTCATCTTCTGTGTTCCTTCTTAGACTTTGTATTTTTTACTGACTGGAGACTGGGTGCTATTGTTCGAGTCAGGAAAATGAATGGTGGAGATATGACAGTTATCCGAAGTGGCATCAGACGTATAATGCATGTGAAATCATATGATGCCAACACTCAGACTGGTGAGTGAGATGGCCATGCTCTTTTATATTGATGCATTTATTTAACATGGTGGCTCCTTTTTCCTTCAAGTACCTATTATTTAATGTAACCCCTGATAGTTTTATATTCCTGTAACACAAATCACTTAACAATGTGACTTAAAATCTCTGTTTAACTCTGCAAATCCTAAAATTGTCGGGAAAAACACCTTTGTTTAACTGAATGTTGCATTTTGCATGCTAGTTTCTAAGAGTATGCTACTTTTTAGTATTGAGTCTGAAAAATGTTTGTTCCCATTTGTTTTTCATGACAAACCAAACCTAATGGAGATGTGCATCACTTATTATCTAAGGACATTGCTTTTTCAGGTTCTAACTACTGTAATCGGCCCACCCACCCGAATGGTGACTGCAGCCACTTCTGCTTCCCAGTGCCAAATTTCCAGCGGGTTTGTGGTTGCCCTTATGGAATGAGGCTGACTTCCAATCACTTGACATGTGTGGAAGACCAGACCCATGAACCACCCGTTGAGCTGTGTGGCTCTTCATCCTTCCTCTGTGACAATGGCAAATGTGTGCCTAATCATTTCCGCTGTGATGGAGTCAATGACTGTCACGATAATAGTGACGAACATCTGTGTGGCACATTTAGTAAGTGATTTATACACTGGACAAACTTTCTGGAATTAGTAGAATAGAAAGAGATGCATTTAAAAAAGAGTTCGGGGCTACCTCTCTGGGAAAAATCTTTTACAATAGATTTCCTACTTGTTCCTGTACTCCAAAGCTTTTAGGAAGAAGGCAATAAATATTATTCACAGACAATGTTACAAATGATTTCTAGCATTGATTTGGATTATCTTTAATAAAATTTCTCTCTGACCTTGGGTGTTGAGTCTAAGAAACAGTTATCACATCTTGGCAACTCAAAATCAAAATAAATTGGATATAATCTTTATTATCTGAGAGAATAGTTTAACAGAATAGATACTAGCAATAATAGCTTTTGAAAAATCTCATGTGCTATGTTTTCCCCCTATTTGGTGTAAATTAGGAGTGAAATAGAGGCTTTAACCTTTACATTGTACTTTTGATATGAATTCAATCTAGAAAATTTGTAGACTAGTGAATATTATTGTAGAAGACAAAAGTATTCCATTAGAATAAGATTTAGAAAAGAGGACAGTTGGTATTTCAGAGATCTCTATCAAGGTGAGGTTAAAGTAATAATAACCTGTGTTTTAAAGAGACAAATGATAGATTTGAAAATAAAAATACCCATTTGTACTTTTTCCTAAAATTTCTAAAATTTCTTTCCTTTATTGTATTATCTTTCTGTTTCTAAAAGGGCTAATTTTTACCTGAATAGTGTATCAACTTGCATTTTTTCAGTTCACCCATTTTCAATATTACTATAGATTGTTTGTGGTGATGATTGGAGAAAGTAGAGCTTAGAAACCAAGAATGGGCCTTCGAGGCACACCAACTACAACATGGATCTTGAGGAGTTTCCCAAATCCCTCAGTCTCAGTTTCCTCATCTGTAAAATTCAGATAATTATATGTACCTTACAGTATTATAGCCATTAAGAGAGAAAATTAAGAGAGAAAAATATATTGAAGGCATTTATAAAAGTACCTTGTTTATGATTAAGTGCTAAATAAATATCAGCCAATGATGATGATGGTGATGTTGATGATAACTTTTACAATTCTTAGTTTGTCTAATGCTCCTATTAAAAAGGATTGGGCCTTTACATGGTAATAACTCATTGAAAAGATTGCAGAAACAAATGTCATCACGACCAGTTTGTTTCTGTTGTAGATAATACCTGTGCATCGTCAGCATTCACCTGTGGCCATGGAGGAGAGTGCATCCCTGCACATTGGCGCTGTGATGAGCACAATGACTGTGCAGATGGCAGTGATGAGCAGAACTGCCCCACCCATGCCCCCACTTCTTGCCATGAGTCCCTCTTCACCTGTAATAATAGCCGGTGTATCCCAAGGAACTGGCTGTGTGACACAGATAACGATTGTGGGGATGGATCTGATGAAACTAATTGCGGTCAGTTTTAAACTAGTTTCTCTTGGTGTTATCAGTGTAGGAAATAGCTTTGATCCATCAGTAAGCCTGGCACACTTTCCTTTAAGGCTCACACTATTTTCATTGTATCTTAGCCACCTCTGTTCTACCTGCCAGTAGACTAGGAGAGCAAAGACAAAGGATGTTTAGGGTCTTAAATATTGAATTCTATGGAAACAAATCAGAGACTGTGTCTGAAGTTTAAAGATTTATTTATTTATACATACAAGTACTGGGGTACAGGCCAGAGGTGGGGGGGGGGTGAGAGGATTCACCAGAGACAGAGTGGGAAACAGAACAGGCAGATTGACTGAATTACACTGCTAAGGGGAGCAGCGGGCGAGTCAGGAAAGATCTGCTGTACCATGTGGGTCTCCTCCCTGGCTGGGGATTGAACTTGTGCTGCAGTGGCTGTGGGTAGCTTCATAGTGCTCTGCCTTAACCCCTTGCCCCACCAGGGAGGCCCCTGTGTCAGAAGTTTAATATGCAGATAGAAGCTGAGAAAAACCCCTCACCCAACCAGTTATATATTTAGAACAATTTTTCCCCTAAATCATGCAAGTATACTAAATATTTGGCTATTGTTTTTTCTTTTTATTTGATACAAGTGAAAGGAAATATCCTAAAGAGGCTAGAACAACATCCTAGTAACCTTAGATACCTGTTTTTCATCTTGCCAGTTCTGATTTCCTCTACGTTTTTTATTTTCATGGATCACATTTCCCTGGACTAAGTTCTAGTGTTGGTCACATGACTAAGCAAGTCACTTTTCACAAGTCATAAGTCATTTATGTTTCATATGGCTTGATTTTGCATTTAGGGCAGCCAGCACAATTGACTCTAAGGCTGTGTCTCTTTAGTAAAGTAGGACTGTGAGTTTTAGGATTGTTCTGCTTAGACTTTGGATTAAATCTACTTATCATGATCTACTGACTGTTGCTTCGAGACATATGTTCATGCTTACCATGCAGCTCAATTGGACTCCATAGCTTGGCTATAGTGGAGAGTCATGAGCTTAATAGTATTGATGAAATATAGTCTAGTCCAAGCCCGTGATATTTATTTTCTAAGAATGGCCTTTTAAGGCCTAATCCCAGTTTTGACTGTGCCCTATAACCTTTTTTTTTCCTGTTTCCAAAATGGTTCTAGCTTTGAGTGCTCTTTGGCAATGTGGCAGACTTAATGAATTTTGAACACGCATACAACTGAGATAACATCTATTTCTTTAGCATTTTTCAGTTTGGCTCTGGTACATATTGAACAAGAAATAAACTGTCCCTTGGTTTTGTCTTCGAATGACACTAGGATCAACAGAGATGTGCCTATCTAGTCAGTTTCAGTGCCCTGACCATCGATGTATTGACTTATCTTTTGTCTGTGATGGATCCAAGGACTGTGTTGATGGATCTGATGAGAAAGACTGTGGTAAGTGGATTGCTTTATTTTTATTGATGGTGTTTAGTAAAGTCTCAATGTTTATTCATTTTTCTCCTGGAGAAAATTTCTAATTCTTTTCTTTTTCATTCTTAGTTGTTAATTGCACTACTTTACAATTCAAATGTGCCTCTGAGAATCGGTGTATTAGCAACATATATCGCTGTGATGGTGTTTTTGACTGTACTGACAACTCTGATGAGATGAGCTGTCGTAAGTACCATCAAGTGTGTTTCAGATGAAGAGATTATTTCATTTTTACTAGAATTCGTGTTACCACAGATTTTCTCTCAAATTGGAGGGAGGGCGGCCTAAATTACAAAGTATTATCAAAGAATGAAGGCAGTGTTAAACATGTAATAAAGTTGACTAGGCATTATCAAGTAATGATTTATAATAGTAAATCAAGTGGTTGTATAAATGAGCATTTTCATATAGTCCTATAGGTAGGTTAAATATTTCTCAGATTTTTTTTCAAACTATATTTTTCTTACAACTTCCCCAATTAGTGGGTTTCACATTTTTGAGACTTAATATATCTAGAAAGATATTTTAATAGTTTCTTTTAAACCTCAGAAAGAAGATCAAATCATGGTACAGATAAGGTGCTTGATATGACTCTAGTGGACTTGTTCTTTCAACTATTATTTGTTGGGTAGATAGTAAGATGTTATAAGTGGTTGTTGTCTTTGTTCTAGTAAGAGAATCATTAGAATAATGAGAATAATTAAAGCAAGTAGACAGTTACTAGGAACTTAGAAATGATATAGATAAAATTAGTTGGAACTTCTAAGAAAAGAAATCCCTTCTAGTCATGTGATTCAGGGAGGGCTTCATGGAAAATAAGTCTGATGGATTTGTAATCTCTACAGGCTCTCACTTTTTGTGTGTTAACTAGATTTCAGATTTGTGAGAATGTTCAGTGAGATGGGTCATTTGTGAATAATGGTATTTTGGATCATAAATACAGCTTTCTATCAATTCTCCTTCCCAATCAGAAAATAAGTGTTTAAATGTAAGGATAAAAAGAGGAGTGAAATAAAATGCTTACATACTTCATAGGTATGTGCCATACCCCAAAAATTGTTAATCAGTGATTTCCCCATTTCACATTGAAAACATGGAATTTTTCTGTGATCTGAGGGTAAACTACTAATTGCCACTGACTTAACTTATGAGGTCTCTGGGAGGGAGTTTGGTTTTACCCCTGTGAAATTGTCAAGCAATCTTATCTGTCTTTTGAGGATTGTTTGATGAGTAGTGTGTGAAGAGTTTGCAAGAAATTAAAGATTTACTGTCATCCTTTGTTTATTTAATGTGTGCTGGTTTCATTGGATATAGCTCATTTGAAGGGAAATTATAACATCCAAATATCTGATATTAAACACACACGTGACTTCAAAGTAATAATGACTATTTAGGCTCTATAGCAATGCTCTCTGATTCTTTAGGAAAGAGAGATATCTCTTATTATTTAATCTGTAATTGAATGAACATTCAAACTGCAGGACACAGTTTGTTTTCAGATCGACTAATTAAATATGTAAAGATTTTTGTATCGGAGAGTACCCTATATCATATTGGATTTTATTTTATTTTATTTTTTTTAATTTTTTTTTATATATATAGAGGCATGTTTTCTTTCTTTCTTTCTTTATTTGTTTGTTTTTGTTTATACACGCACTGGGTACAGTCAGAAGCGCGGGAGGGTGAGAGAATTCACCAGAGCCAGAGCGGAGAGCAGAGCAGGCAGAAGGACCGAAGTACACTGCTGAGGGGAGCAGCGGGCGGCAGGAGAGGTCTGCGCGCCATGCGGGACCCTCCTCTGGTGGCCGGGGAGCAGCCGGGGATCGAACCGGCGCCGCAGAGGCCGCGGGCAGCTTCGCAACCCAGCGCTCAACCGCTGCGCCACCGGGGAGGCCCCATATTGGATTTTAATATTAGGTTTCTCATAGCTGTCACTATCAACCTATTATTAACCTCACATAATTTTTTGTGAGTCTAGGAGTTATATAGTAGGCACTATTGTATTCACAAGCCCATTTTCCCTATGCTTTTCTCTTAGCATCCAGACCTCCTGGCATGTGCCACCCAGATGAATTTCAGTGCCAAGCAGATGGTATCTGCATCCCGGGGGGTTGGGAGTGTGATGGGCACGTAGACTGCATCTCTGGATCCGATGAGCATCATGGCTGTGTCCCCAGAACGTGCCCTCCATCTCATTTTTTATGCGACAATGGACTCTGCGTCAACAAAATGTGGCTCTGTGATGGGGACAATGACTGCAGGGATATGAGTGATGAGAAGGACTGCCCTACTCAGGCCTTTCACTGTCCCAGTTGGCAATGGCACTGCGTTGGCTCTAACATCTGTTTGAATCTGACTGCAGTGTGTGATGGCATCTCTGACTGCCCCAATGGGACTGATGAGTCCCCACTTTGCAGTAAGTTTCCTGACCACAGTTTACTGGCCATGAATTCATTCTGTGTGGCCTGCTATGCATCACCATTGTCATAGTCACAATGTAGCTTTTGAGAAAGGGATCTCAGTTCTTTTATGAGTTCAAATCTGTGTAGGGATAATCATTATGGAATTCAAATAAATCACTGGATCATATTTCTCATTAAATTCTTTGCACTTGGTTCTGTGTTTTTACTTCTTTTTGTATCATTGATTAATTAGAAAATGAGATGAAATAAGGCCATTAGATTTTCAATTAAATTTGGTTCTGTTTGTAATATGATCGCAAATTTTTCTAACTTTAATATTTTCTAATTTCAATCAGAACTTGCCACAAAACAAATGAAGTCTGGGGATTTGTGTATACTGTGATTAAAATCCTATGATTGGCATGTAATCCTAATTACTGTCCTTTCTTTCTTTCCTCTTTAATCAATGCTCACTCTCAGATGAACCTCCACCAGGTATGACTGTGAAATATTTACATGTGTTGTGCTTGTGCTGAAAATGTCCTAATCATTTTGACTTGCTTCCCTTTCTAGTGTATGTTCTGTATTGACACTTATGAATAAGTCAGAGTACACATGGAAATAGAGGGCATTTGTATCCACAGGCATTTCAGTTATCTTTGGGTGATTTCAGTCATTGCTGTTCTCACCCTGAGAGTAAGAATGATGGCATGTTAGTGGACCTGTGTCTTCTGTTCTTTCGTTTTCCATTTATTCACTTTTATATCTTACTCTTAAATGTCAAAGTCTTATCATTCATTTCTGTATGGGTGGAGAATGACAGGACGCAAGAGGGTAATAATTTAAGTCTCTTTGCATCTTTATCAATGACATGTGTTTTTGGATGTCAGTGGTATTTCCCCAAGTCTCTTTCATTGCACTAAATGGAGTTAACTAGAGAGGTGTAGTGCACAGAGGGGTCCAACTCCAGTGGATGTGAAGGATAGTAAATCCTCAGCAAACTAGAGCAGACACTGAATAGACTTTAGAGCTCATCTAGGTGAATGCTGCTCTTACATCTTACCTGGGTATTACCTTGAAGGTGGTCTAAGACTTCATGACAAATATTACAATGGGGTGAACCAGAGGAGCTGATTGCTGACATTCTGCCTTTGTGATTTTCTTTCTTTACTCTAGATCAACACAGTTGCTTAAATTCCAATGCTGGCTGTACCCACACATGTATTCAAGGGCCCTTTGGGGCTTACTGCCTGTGTCCATCAGGATACCTACTCGCCAATGATTCTAAGACCTGTGAAGACATAGATGAATGTGATATTCCAGGCTTTTGTAGTCAGCACTGCCACAATTTGAGAGGTTCATTTCGGTGTTGGTGTGATCAAGAATACATGTTAGACTCTGATGAGAGGACTTGTAAAGTTACAGGTAATGACTGAACTTGAAAGTTAACTGACTCCAGCCAATGTAAATAGCACACTCCAGAACTTAAGATTAAAATGCCATATTGTATGCATTGACAGTGTTGATTAGGAATCAAATGGACTCAAATCTGGATAGAGCCTCTTTAAAACCTCAATTTCTGAGGATTAAATGAGTGAATACACATAAAGATTTTGGTGTATTTTTGGAAACAGAGGTTAAAACACATATGGGCAAGAGATGATTTCTAAAAAAATTGTTTTAAATAATATCCAAGTGTTTTTTATATTATTTAAAAATGACTCCTATATCATATTATTTAAAATGTCTTTATATCATGCTTAGTGAAATCAATTCAGTCATATTAATTCAAACTCAATAGCTGATTTCAACTTAATTAAAAACAACCATATATTTAAAAGTGACACATTATGGTGATCATGATGAAATATATACAGATGTCAAATTATAAATTATATAATGTGATAAACCAGTGTTACTTCAATAAAAATTTAAGAAAACAGGATAAATCAACAGTAAAATATGTGACCAAGGGAAGGTGGTTTATACAAAATAGACAGTTTCATTTTTTTCTCAAGTAGAAGCCTGAATGGCTCAGGTGCTAAATTTGGTCTTTATCCTCATTGCTTGTTTTCCATTATGGATCCAGTGGTATTGCTCTAGTCTTTGTCTTCTTTCAGAAAGTAGGAAAGGAAAAGAGAGAGTGGAGGACAAGTAACTTCCTTTTAAGGATGTGACCTGAAATTTGATATATCCTTTGTGCTCACATCCTATTGGTCAGAGCTTCATCATATAGTCTCTCCAAGCTGAAATGGGTGCAGAGAAATGTCTTTAGCTGGGTGGTGATGTGTCACACTAAATCTTGGCATGAATTATTAGTAAAAAGGATGAAAAGTAGATTTTGGAAGACAATTAGAAGTCTCTGCCACAGCTGAATACCTTGAGGTACACAAAATTTTTAAGACACTACTCTTATTATCAAGAAGCCTACAGTCTAAGAAGGATGACAAGGAAAGTACAAAAGTAACTACTGTAACACGAAGAATGCAAGTGTAGCTCATTCCATGTTGACATTTTAGACAAAGAAAATATAGAAAGATATTTATGTAAAAGCACTTTTAAATATGAAAATCAGCTATTAAAATAAGGAATGAAGTGATTAAAATCATTTTTATGGGGACTTCCCCCCATTACTATAGTTTGGAATTTCATCTTTTTTGTTACCAAAAGTGTTGCGTCAAATTTAAGAGATACTTTGTGTTTTCTCTCAGAATCACTGACATTTTTGCATTTTCCTCTTGGACAGCATCTGAAAATCTACTCTTACTTGTGGCAAGTCAGAACCAAATTGTTGCTGACAGTATCACTCCCCAGCTCCAACATATCTATTCACTTATTCAAGAAGATTCTCGTATTGTTGCTATTGATTTTGATTCAGTCAGTGATCGGGTGTTTTGGTCTGATGGAACTCAGGGGAAAATCTGGAGTGCATTTCAAAATGGAACAGACAGAAAAGCAGTAAGTTCATTTCTACTAACTTAGGCCTGACTAATTCCTCTGTCTTTGTCTATTTACTATAACCTGTGAGAGAAGGCCCTACCTTATCCTGGGTGTCTCTTATATTGCCCCTTGGACATAACACACCTAAGGGGACTGATGTTCATAACTCCTAATCTATGGATGGCCATACCTTCAGAGTATGGCCCCCTGAATCTGTTATTCTAAGTTTCAGGCTACATTATATAAAGACTTCACAAAATCTCTCAGGTTCCTTTTGCAATATTTCCCAGTGGATAAAAGCAGGGAAGTTTATGGGGCTCCTTTCTTAGTTTTAATTTAGTTATGCTTTTCAGCTTATCTCTCAGAGTTTCAGTTTCTTGACTAATGGTTATGCTTCCTCTGCCCCTTAGATATTTATTGCTGGCATTTAATAAAGATAACATTTTTGGCATGCAGACGTTATAAAATTTCATAGGGATGCCAACTTATGAATGGATAAAGCTGAATCACAAAATTTAGTTGCACAAAACTGAGCCTGAAAGAAATGATATGCTAATCCAATGTGTTATCTTACAGTTTTCAATCTGTGAAATCTTGTATATTTTTCTTAGAGAAATCTACTATTGATTTGGTGGTTAACTATGTGGGAAGGCATAATTTTCTGATTCTCACAAACTATCAAAAACCCAGTTAGATGCTTTATTCTAGATTTTCATGGAATTCCCTGAATTTCATCGCTTTAGAATTCACTCTTGATTTACTTTTGTCTTTAGATACTTGAGAGCAGTACCACCCTGACAGAAAGTATTGCTGTGGATTGGATAGGCCGCAATCTCTACTGGACTGACTACGCTCTGGAAACGATTGAAGTCTCTAAACTGGATGGGAGTCACAGGACTGTGCTAATTAGTAACAACGTCACAAATCCCAGGGGACTAGCATTAGACCCCAGAATTAAGTAAGCCCTTTTGAAAAAAAAAATTATGTTACCTTGATAAAGTTGTATAATGAGGGAAAAATAACAGTAACATGATTTGACTGGTATGCATGACACAAAATTTTAAATGATCCCTTGTTTAAACATCTCTGTAGACATGGTAAGCATCCAATTGGCTGTTTCTAGCCTTCCTTTGCCTAAATAATCTTCTTCATAAAGTACACAAAAGCAATTGAGTGTTCACTTAATTTTTAGATCATGTTGATTTGTTAACTTGCAATACAAATGATTGTTGTAGAGCAATATGATTAAGTTTGAGTGAATGCATACAGTAATATTCCATAGATGGACCAGTTTGCTGTAGCTTTTATACTTTGTGGTAATCTAACAAAAAGCCTGATTTTTCCTGTTTCAGTTTCATGTTGTGTATTAGAGCGCCCTTTTATATCATACAGGGATGAAAACTTTTGCCTATTACCCTAAATGGAAGAAGTAGAAATTCTCCCATGTGCGTGGGAATATTTGAGGCCTTCTTTTTTTTTACTTAGTTCTTTAATTGAGATTTTTTTTCTGCAGGATGGTAACAGGCAAATTCTGTTCAGTGCAATGCAGATTTTCTAGGTATTATACAGTATTACATACCAGTATAACTTATGATGAATAAGTTGACTCTGTTATCTTAAACATGACAGGATAGACAAATAAGGATAAATAGATTTTTCTAGATAAACCAGTTGTGGATTGAACAGAAATATGAATTTGGCATTGAGACATTTCAGAATGTACTGCATATTTTAGTACATTATAGGACACTAATGACTTGTGATTGCCTGATGATTACAGTTTTATTTTGGAACACTCAGGAAATAATACTTTCTGTACCTATATCCTGAAGTGGAGATGATTTGTTTTAAGTAGAGCTTAAACATGATGTTCTATTATTTCAGGTGACAGTTATTTTCCATATCGACACATATCCCTTCCAACTGGTAACTAGTTTCTTTTCACAGTGACCACGTGATGTTCTGGTCTGACTGGGGCCATCACCCTCGTATTGAGCGAGCCAGTATGGATGGCACTTTGCGCACTGTCATTGTCCAGGACAAGATTTTCTGGCCCAATGGCATAACTATTGACTACCCCAACAGACTGCTCTACTTCATGGATGGCTATCTTGATTATATTGACTTCTGTGATTATAATGGAAACCATCGGAAACAGGTGGTAGCCAGTGATTTGGTAAGTTGGTAGTGAGGACAACTAAACTAAAATCACAAACATTACTTAATAGAAAGATGATAGAGTAACAAGAAAACTAATAAATTAATTTTTGTGTCATAGACATTACAAGGTCATCCAGGAAATATCAAGTGTGAGGGCCAATGTGTCTTTTGTTACTAATAGAAAATAATTATTTTTATTTCCATTCAAGTTCAGATTGTGGTAGGTTCATAGTTCATGTGATTTAGCTGCTCTATAAATGCTAATTTGTTGCTTCTATACCTTTAAGTGTGTTATGCAATGAATCATAGCCTGTTATATTTTTATTCAAGAAATTCCAAAATTTCAGGAAATTTTCATAAGTCAAATGAGAAAATACAGAAACTATATATTTTACCAAAGAGCTATTATTGACTTCCATTTAAGATTGTCATTATTTATAGTTCTGAAAAGACCCTGGGAGGGCCTCCCTACCTTCAGGAAATATGCATCTCAGCTATATTAGATTTATGTGAACCAGTTTGCTGCAGAACAAGATAGCAGAATAGCATGAGACACAGAGTGGTGATATTGGGTTGGGGGCTAGGATTTGGGAGCAGGGATGAGAAACAACCAGATAGATAATCCAGAGAAGTTACCTTACTTTCTGCACTTTGGTTTTCTTTCATTTGTAAAATGGATGCCAAATGTAATTACCAGAGTGAAAATGAAGATTAAATGATACAAGTACTGTGAATAGTATAGTGGGAAAGGAGTCAAACAGTATATATTTTTGTCTGTTTCTTGAACAATGGCTCCCTGTGTCTTTATTGAAATGCTAAAAAACAAACAAAAACCCATCTTCTTGGCCAGATGGGTTGTTCACCTTGACTTTTATTTCCGAAGAAGCTCTCACTGTTCTCTTCTGCTTCACAGATTCTGCGGCATCCTTATGCCCTAACTCTCTTTGAAGATTCTGTGTACTGGACTGACCGCAGTACTCAAAAAGTTATGCAGGCCAACAAGTGGCACGGAGGAAACCAGTCAGTCATAATGAATAATGTCGCCCATCCCCTTGGGATTGTTGCGGTTCATTCTTCAAAACAACCGATTTGTAAGTGACACACTCAGCCATCCTATTTGGGAATAGTTTAAAAAAAGTTACTGTGGAAATGCTGAATGCACACTGTTTCAGATCTATTTGTTTGGGCAATACATTTTCCTTCCCTCTTACTAACCACCCCAGTACCACCATTTCCATTCATTTTATTTACCAGGGAAAACTCAAACCTTATATGTAACAACAGCACATCTAAATTTTATTCAGCAATTGACTAGTGGCTTTGTGACCTTTCTTTGAGTCTCAGTTTCCTCAGAGACAAATACAGTATAGACTAGACAGTACCTTAGATCCTTTTATTGCTACCATTCTCCAGTTTAAAGCAGTTTAAGGATCCCCTTATTACAACATTGATGTCTTGTCAGTCCTCTGCTGTGTCACACTACAGCGTATCCTGTGGATAGTCTAGGTGATTTAAAAATATGGCTTTGGTAGGGAAATAAATCAGTTGATCTTCACTTAATCTTTTCTCACCAAACTCTGCAGTGGTATCTCATCAGACATCAGATTCGGGTAGTTGAAATCTCCCTGAGCTCTTCTCCCACTTAGTCTTGCTAGATCTGGCTTCATTATTGTGTGGAAGCACACCATCCTACTTCCTGCCTCAGAACTTTTGCATTAATTCTTCCCTCTGCCTAGAATATCCTTCCTCTAGATCTAGTTTTTCCTTCATGTCGTTTAGGATTCTACTCAAAGCCCCTTGGTGGACTTTGACTACGCTATCAAAAATATCCTCCTCTTCTCATTTCTTTTGCTCTTTACCCTCATATTTTAAAATCATACAATTTATGAATTTAGTTTTGTCTCCTTTGGTTAGAATATATGTTCCATGTTTACAGTATTCCTCTTACTTAGAATGGTGTTTGATTAAATGAGAATATCCTGTGAGTTTGGGAAGCACACAGGATCCATTTCCCCCCTAAATCAGAGACCCACAAAAGTGTCATCAATAGAAAAATTAAAGATTATTATGGCCCCCAAACTTGGACTGTGGGTGAATGTCAAGGTCACATAGCAAACATATACCTTGGTTTCATTTAATGTAAAAAGATCCCTTTAATGTCAGGCAAGGAGTCACATATTATTTAGTATTGTATTTCTGTTACTAAGCTCCAAATTATCCAGCCATTGTTGATAAGCAGGTTTAGACTGGATTGATCATTGGGTAAATCCTTCCCTCTTGTATATATCTTACAAATTTTATTTTGGAGCATGATGCCAGGGAGAGGTAAAGGACTTTAGAAAAAACAAACAAACAAACAACAAACAAACCAGTAAACAACAGTTGTAACACAAAGTACTGTTATCTGCAAACTTTGGGGGGCTTTCGGGGAAGACAATTACAGCATGGCCTGTGAAGATTAATGAGGAAGATTTTCCATCCACTAAAGCTTTCTTCTCTTTCTATTACAGCTATAAATTCGTGTGCCTCTGCCTCCTGTAGCCATCTATGTCTGCTTTCCTCACAGAGGCCACAGCTTTACTCTTGTGCCTGTCCTTCAGGATGGAGTCTCTCTCATGATTCTGTGACTTGCTTAAGAGGTACAGTATACCCTTTAAGTATGCCCTGAAGTTAGAGCTTGCCAAAGTTTGTGCAAGGCAGGGTAAGCCCTTAACCACTTGCAGCCTGAGTTTATGCTGTGTTCCCCTCGATTTAGGTGTATTTGGAGTATGTGCTATCTGATGGTTTAATTTGGTACTTCAGTTGTAATAGGGTTTTTGTATGGGGGCTATATTTTGATCTCACAATTTTTCTTTCTTAGTTACAGTTATATTAGCTATGATAATGGGAGGTTCTAAATTCTGCACTGCAGAAGTGAAAAATTCTTGACATTAATATATGGTTTCATTTTTCAGCTTCATTATCTTATTTTTAATTCTCAGTGATTGAGTGTTCTAGGCTAATCTTATGACTCCAATTTCAGAATATTTACTGTTACTATCTGATAGTAAAAAAATGAAAGTTCTCTGTGTGAAATATCTTAAGTGATTATTTGTACAATTTAGTCTTTATCTCCCAGAGATTCTTTACTGGGTTGATTAAAGAGTATGTGGATTGTTATTCTAAGTACTTTGGAAAATAAGAAAGGGAGGAGAAGATACAGTCAACCCACAAAAGAGGTTTTTTTTCTAGAGTATGTACTTTTAGTGTATATACTTGAAGTATAATAAACTTTCAAAAACTCATTAAACTATAAATATTCACTTTTGCTTAAAAATCTAAAAAAAGCATTCTAGACTCTTTCATTTTCAGTGAAGAGAATTTGGTGTGTTTCATACTGATAAAAATGGCCATGATAAGCTAAAATAAAATGTTTAATTATTAAAAATTGTTTCTAAATTAAGAATAAAGTCCTAATGTAGAGGGAAATTTAATTTTCAAATGGAAAATATGTATAGAATGCAGGCATTTATAGATTATGCAGATGTAGGCTTACTGAAATTCTAACTCCATCAGCATGTAATATTTTGCAATGATACTTTCATGTTGAAAGATTTTAATTATTGGTAATGCTTACAAAGGGATTAGCATTTGTCATTTTCTTCAGTGACTTGTTATGGATCTAATCCTTGATGACATTGTTTAATTTAGTGTGTCCTCATAGTCTTTCAGCAAAAGATTAAAAAGAGCTATAGACATTTTGGATACAAAGCTTTCTTTTATCACACACAGATGGTTGAACTGTGCATTAGTGTAATCAATATTACTGACAGTGATGGATAAGTGTTAATTCTAAATAGTACCTTTTGTTAGTTCACAAATAATTCCACTAGTTAGTCTTTTCATGGGATGACTTCACTGAGGTAGAACATTTTCAATATTTCCCACTGCTTTTTCATTACCAGTTGGGTAAACAAGTGATGATATATGTTAAATGAAAACAGTTGCACTTTTTTTTTTTAACAAGAAGCTTAGAAGACTTGTTAGCATTTATTGATAAAATTATTTTACATGATTTAAATGTTCAACAGTCTTTAAAATGGTGTTTACTAAGTATCTAGAGTATCTCTGGAAGTGCATATGTGATAAGGTTAAGAAAAAAAACATAATGTCTAATATTGTTCATATAAAAGTGTGCACTAGGAGAATTTGGAAGGCAACACACCAGTGTCAGTAGTGGTTACAATTGGGTAGGAGAATTGCAGGATATTACTACTTTTTTTTCTAATTTTGTGTTACAAAATTTAAAAATGAGAACTTTCTCTGTATGAATACTTTTTATTCTATAGATGTTTCTCACAATGACAAAAACAAATACAAACAAACAAAACTCAAATATCTTCCCAGTAACTTCTAAAATAAAAACTTCAAATGCAAATTATACATGTGACTCAGTTTGAGGGACACAGGCAATTGCTTCAGTGATTATGTGCACAACAGGAGGGAAGCATTCCATGCCCACACTCTTGGAAAGGTTGTGGTGCCGATCAGTTTGGTCAAGGTCTGAGCAGAGGAGGACCAAGGTTTGGGAGTTGTAAATGTCACCAAATACTTATGGTTCATGTTTCATTTCTCACGGTACATCTCTTCTCTGTTCCAATACTGACCTTAAAGGGAACTTGACATGAAACATAAAAATCAAAAAATTTTTAAGATGATCTTCCATTTCAAAACTGAGACACAACATAAGGCAACTCAAATAGCACCTCCTTCTTAACCTCTTTCCACCCAAGCATGGCGCTTCTGTGCCTTACTCCTTCATGACCAGAACTTTGTGAGTCATAAGGGCCCATATACTTTGCCACACACTCTAGACTCTAAATTCCCTGAGGGTAAAGCCTTTACAACATGCTTTTTTGCCTTGGCACATAGTAAATGTTAAGTGAATAACAAGTTCTCCAGCGTTTCTTTGCTCCTTCTTCTGTGTTTTTCACCTAATTGCTCCTTTACAGGCACACAGTGTCATAAAATCACTTCTTTCTTTCCACAGAGCACTTTTTTACATCCTTCCATGCCACTATTGTTTCAGTGGTCACTTCCTTTCTGGTGTTTCTCTGGCATCACTTTCACTTTGGCTCTTACATTTAACAGCATAGATGTAGGATATTAAATGATATCCCACCATTGTCCACAATTGGTTGCAAGCCCTCTCAAATGTACTAACAATGATCAGATGATCAGATAAAGGGCCTGAGATTCATCCTCAAGGAGCAATGGTCCAGAAAGGAGGAGTAGAGCTGAGTAGTGCTTAAGGGAAAAAGTTCCTTGAGGAATCAGGTAGGCCTGTGTTTGATGGGTGAGAAATGTCAAATATTTAAGCTCCTAATGGTGCTTTGGCTGAGAATTACTCTAAGTATTTGGGACATAAAAGAATCCTCCAGTATTTCTTGAGTTTTTCTAGGCTGTTAAATAAACAAACAGACATCAAATAGATTGATAAGAGAAAATCCATATAGAAGTTTAATAATAATCCTATATACTTGGGAGAGATCCAGCATGACTTAATTGACCACATGACTTTAGATGCTATCTTAAATAGTCTGGCTAAGACAAAGGAGATTGGAGAATTAAGGGGAAGTTCAGTTACAGGAATAAAGGATGAAGATTTAGGTTCTGCCTTCTCTACAAAAAGAGATAATGAGATAGGGTCTTCCTGGGAGTCTTTACAGATTGAAGTTTATAAAAAAATATCAAACGCAACTTCCACCCAGTCTTCAGAGTCCATCCCGTGACATGAACATCTAGTGGAATACATGCTTTAGGGTGGCAGAGTTTTGTTCTCCTAGATAAGTAAAAGGAAATTCACCCATTAAAAAGGTCAGTTTTGAACTGGTAAAATTTAAAATTTCCCCTGTGAAATTGTTCTTGGTTTTACTGAACCAGTGAGTATTTATAACTTATAATCAGTAATTAAATACCATTTCAATATAATTTTATTTATTTATTTATTTTAAAGATTTATTTATTCATTTATACAAGCACTGGGTACAGTCAGAAGTGTGGGAGGGTAAGAGAATTCACCAGACCCAGAGCAGGGAACAGAACAGGCAGACTGACGGAACACACTGCTGAGGGGAGCAGTGGGCGGCAGGAGAGGTCTGTTGCACCATGTGGGATGGGGATGGAGCTGATGCTGCAGAGGCTGCGGGCAGTTTCACAGCCCAGCGCTCAACTGCTGCGCCACCAGGGGAGGGCCCATTTCAATATAATTTTAAAGTACATTTGAATCTCATAATATTACTTTCATTTTTATTACTGCAGATAAGTGAATTAGTAGTGATTTGATATTCAGTAAGTGTTACCTAGCTTGCACTTTTTGCAGAATAGTGATTAAGAACATAGCTTTTGGAGTCTAAGAGACCTGGCTGTATGACTTTGGTTATATTGCTTAATTTCTTGGTACTTAATTTGAAAGTTTGGCAGAGAGGATACTTATCCAATAAACAAGGTGATGAAACTTTTGGGAGAAAAGTTAAGTGAAAGAATATTTGATTGGTGCATACTGTGTGGCACATAATCATGAGGGTGACTGTTGTGGCTATTGCAGTTGTTGAATGTGGAATGTGGAGCAATTAACAGAGGAATGACTTAAGAGTCTCTTTCTGAGTTTTTTCTTGCAGAAATCATGTAGCTCTTGTAAGGTCCATTTGCCTCATTTGAAAACAACTTCACAGTCTTGTAAAAGACTAAATCCTTATCATAATACTTTGTAGAATATAAGGCATTGGTAGTTGCAAACTTTAAGTTTTAAGTTCATAAATGCTGAGTTGTTACTTCAATATAAGAAAGGTCAGTAATAAGGAAAAGCTAATGAAACTGAAAATATGTAGAGAAAAATGTCTCAAAATAACCTCACTGGAGATGTAAAACTTCCCTGATTACTAAACTAATGATAACATTATTTATAGTTCATGAAAATTATACATGGATTATTTTATATTTTGTCTTACTATATAATATATCTTATATGTGTCTCAATAACACAAAACTCACATTCTAAAGTTCTTCTTCCTCAGAGGAATTATAAAATAAAACCCCACTCTTGATTTCATTAATTTGGATTTTTTTTTGGATAATGGTACTACAGCTAGGATAAAGATTATCTTTGAAAAAGGACTTTTTATTATCTATTAAGAAAGCTGAATTAACAGTGCAGATACTTTTGAGAACTTTAAAAGATTCTATTTACATATTCACTTACATGTCCATCCATGTCTTCAGTTATTCATTTAGTTAGCAAATATTTATTAGGCAATGATTGTATCTAAGATTTGGGAACATAATGATCAATGAGCTGAGGCATGAAAACTTGCTAGGAGCCCAAGCTCCTTATGGAAGCTTAAGGAGGGGGATGGAAGATGTTAGGCAGGTCCCTAAGAACTGAGACAGAAGGAGAAACCTGAAACTCACAGTGTACCTTATATCTACCATGAGGTCGAGATGGTGACTGCCATCATCTTGTCTACCTGCTAAAGTGCTAGAGTGTCAGGAGTAGCCTCCATATTAGATATAGATATAGATATAGATATAGATATAGATATAGATATAGATATAGATATAGATATAGATCCTCCTTGCTTCTTCCTTCTTCCCAAATGCCCTCCCATTCAGGAAGTCCAGAAATGCCAGAAATTGTAATCCAAGGTTTTGGCAGCATGGAAGTGGGGGGTTGGGAAAATGGTACAATTCTCCTCCCCCCTTTTGTGGTGACACATCCTATAACAGTTTTATTTTGTGAACATAAAGCTAGTAAACTGCTGTTGACCAAGCATTAATCTTTTCCCTGAGTTATTCAGTATTACTTAAGTTTACTGCATGCAGAAATGAAATAATTTCTTAACAATGAAGCTTACTAAACTTCATAGTCAAGTTTGGTTGACTTATGGGTTATCAGCATAAATAAGGGATTAATAGAAGACAGGTAAATAATGATCAGCCTTGGGAAAATCCAGAAGCACTATTGTGGAGTTGGAAAACTGTTGTCCCAAAAATCCACTAAACTCAATAGAAGGTTCCAGATTGTTTGATGAAGTACCTACCATGTATAATGTTTATTGCTGCAATCTGTAATCACATTTTATCCCTTAAGATGATAATCCATTTCCTTCTATTTCTCTAAATGTCTTGGAATAGTGGGATGTAATTTTGACTGATATTCTGCTATTTTCACAGATGATCAACCTTTCTTAATAACTGTAAGATACAGTATAATTTTTGGAATTTCTCTTAATCCTGAGGTGAAGAGCAATGATGGCATGGTTCCCATATCAGGGATAAGGAATGGTTATGATGTTGAATTTGATGACTCAGAGCAATTCATCTATTGGGTTGAGAATCCAGTAAGTTTTGAATAACAATTATGGAACGTGTTCTTGAAAAGCCTATACACTAATGCCTTCTTACAGAAAAAATTTTGCTGGGTGAATAGAAAGAAAATGGTATAGAAATAGGTTAATTTACCTCTACGCTTGCAGAGATCAGCTAATAAGCACATTTAAGCTAATGTGTATTATTTATTCAGCAAAGATTTATTAAATATGCCTTGCACTAAACTACTTGCGTCCAACTACAGATATGTCAGAGACAGTAGTCACGAAGTTTGTTCTTACTTTGCTTTAAGCACTAGAAGAATTTTAACTAACATAAAAATAACTCAAGAAAAAGGCAGAAGTTCCCTGAGGGAATTCCACAAAGCCATTTGATAAGGCTGCTGGTGCCTTCATTCAGAATCTTTGCTTCCAGGATAAGAACATTCCTCCAGTTCCCTTCCTGTCGGATCCCCTTTCCTCACCCTTTAGAGAAGAAACCTGTAAGGATGTAGAAAGGGCAAAGAGAATACAAATGAGGCAGAGGAAAGATCTTGGTGTTTGATGCTTGTCACTCTGTGTGAAATGTACTCCTGGCCCCTTGATTCACACCTGTGACTGAGTTATTTTTATGACTTGCCTGTGGTTGTCAGAAATTAAATATTTGTAGTCAAGATAAAAAGACACCTCATGTATTTCTGTGGCACACTTAAAACTCTGTGTATTTCAAAATGGTGCAGTGTTAACCCACCCAGGGCTGAGCTTTCAACTTTTCTCCAAGTATGAGGAGTGTTGAAGAAACACAGCAGCTGTCGGCAGTCACTGTGAAGAAAGAGCTTTTGTGCAGAAATTGTGGCCTTGAAACAGCTCACCTGTCCTTGTCTTTCTTTCCAGGGGGAAATTCACAGAGTGAAGACAGATGGCACCCAAAGGACAGTGGTTGTTCCTCTCTCTAGTTTGGGGTCTTCTACGAGCCTGGCCTTAGACTGGATATCAAGAAACTTTTATTACACCAGTCCTGGAACTCAGTCTATTAAGGTAAGAGTTCCTTAAAACTATTTACACAAACACTGGTTTTTGATTTATGTGAGAGCTATTCTCAGGATTTTGAAATTATTTTAAATCCATGCTCTCATGGATTTTGAAATTATTTTAAAGCAAAAAGGAAGAGAGATTAGTATTGACTAGCAAAGTCTCTGAAACTGAGGAGAGAAACTAAGTTAAAAATAAATTGTTGGAACTTTCTACTGGCCTGCTATGCTTCCTTCTAAGTATTAATATTAAAGAGTTGAGGTAATTTATAAAAACATAAAAAGATAAATAAAAGATTATGTAAGGGATTCAGCATAAAGGGAAGATTATAGTAGGCAGGGAATTTTCATTATCTTTCCTCATCAAATTTTCAGTTCTGTTTCAGTTCTAAACCAAATTTATAGGTTATCTCTGTTTTTAGATGAAAATCTTTCAGTGGCTCTAATACAGTTTTTATAACAGTGAAACAGAAAGTAGAAATTTGATTCTAATTCCTTTGATGCTCTCCTTTTCATGATAAGTGTTCTTTCTACTCTAGTTCCCAGGAGAAATTCTAGATGGGGTATAGGTATGAAATCACATGAATAAATCAGAGGTAACTTGATAGTACTGGTTTGCTCCATTTTGAGACAATGTTAAAACATGTAAGGGATTATTAATTCATAATAATTTTGAAGATAAAAATTCCAAAAGCACCAGGAGTATCTTGTGAGATGGATGGTTAGCAGGGCTGTGTAGAGTGACTATCCACTGCCTAGAGGAGGTACGAGCTGTCTTTTGGGGGCATTCAGAAAGACAAGTGCTGAAGATGAGGAAGGCACACAGCAGCCAAGAGTTTATTTTCTAGCCTATTCAATAGACTTCATCAAAATAGTGCCTTACAGTTTACAAAGGCCTTCCACAAACACTGTCTTACTTAATCCTCACAGTCATCAGATTTTAACATGAGGGGAACCTGGGAGGTTCATCTGGTTCCTGTCCTTTGTTTTAAAATTTATTTTTATTTTTATTGAAGTACCAATAGTTTACATCCTTGTTAGTGTTTTGGATGTATAGGATTTCCTCTCTCAGGTATAGTCACCACAGAGCACCCACTACTGACAAACCTATAGTCCTCCACCATAGTCCATTGTGTTCTCTCTCCTCCCATTTCTTACCTCTTCTCCTCAACTCCCTCCCCCTCTGGATGCCTCAGTTCTATGATCAGCTTTCAAGGGTTGGTTTTAAAATTTATCTTTTTCTGACTCTTGGTTTGGTGTCTCTATATTCCACATGCAAGTGATACTGTTTGGCATTTACCTTTCTTACATTTTCCTTTCAAGCTTCTGTTCATATTGCTGTAAATGGCATGAGTTTATCTTTTTTGATAGTTGAGTAATATTCCATTGTATATATATACCACACATTCTTGTTCCACTCATCTGTTTTTTGACACTTAGGTTTTCATAGTCTTTAAGATAAGTACCTGAAGCCCCCAGAAGTTAAGAAAATTGGTTTAAACCATCACTGCCCTTGTTCCCAGATGGTATTCTATCATTGCCTTTTTACAAAGCACAACTCTAGAAACCCAGCCTGTGTTAACTCCCTTTGACAGAGATATTTTTCATTAATGCCCTTTCACAGAGATAGCAACAAAAAATATCACCTTATATCAAAACATAGGGAAAAAATGCTTTTACACCCTTAATACTAAACTCACATGTCTCTGGAGTCCACCCAGAATTAAGGCTGTCTTAATTCTGAAAGATAGTTAATATGTTTCTACTCTGTCTTTTGGTCTCTTGCTTTGCAAATAGATGTCTTCCCTTTTTTCAAAAGCAGGAATATGTCTCCTCCATCAGTGTTAGTTACAATGAAAAAGGTCCATTTAAAGAGCAAGTGAGTTTATATATATGCATGTATAAGTATGTTAAGTCCACTGTAGCCATATAGACCTAAAGCTTGTAATTCTGCCCACAATGCAGTGCAGATACAGAGGAAAGATAATTTGCACTGGAGTATGAAGACCTTGCTTTGAGTCTCATTTATCATTCAGTAAACAAACATTACTAACTGCTTTCTATGGCTCACACCTATAGGTTAGTCCTGATATTCAAAGATCCATAAAACGCTTTTTTTAATGCTTATAAGAAGCTCATGTATCTGAGAAGTAGGCACATGAAAAAAAAAAATTGCTCCAGTATGATAAGTGTGATACAAGCAGTGAATATAAAGTATTGTGTGACTGGGGCCAGAGGTAAAACTGAAGGGAGAGAGAATGGCAGGCTTTCCATAAGTTGTTACTCATGAACTGAGTCTTGAAGGATGACCAGTATTTATTTTTGACAAATGAAACAGGGAAAAGGCATCTCAGGCAGAGCAAAACACTTGAGTAAAGACCTTGAGATTAAAAAAAAAAAGCATTTTGTGACCGGGAGCAACACTCTTTTCCCTCTACTCACAGACTCTTTGAACTAGGAGCCTCTATTTTCTTATCTGTAAAATGGGGTTAATAACTCAGTAAGTGAAAGTACTTTTGTGACAGTAAGGTACCCTTTGCATACAGAGCCCTGATTCTATTACAAAGTTAATATTTTTAGAATGCCTGAAAGGGGCTAACTCTTATTTAAGAATAATGATGCAGAGGCAAATTGCCCTTTTAGTGTTTTTATTGGTTTTCTCCTTTGGTGATATCAATTAATGTTGAATGTTAAATTGCTTGAGAAAGCAGGTATAGTGCTCATTTACTGTTTACCTGTATAATGTCCCTTTCCGCATACTAGTAATTCACGTTCAATTCCAACTTGAAAATTAAAGAGAACATTGAAGAAGTTATTTTCCACTAGGGGTAGCTGTGTGCCCATTCACTAAAGGCAATTTTGTAGCTGAAAAATAAAACCTACAGAATGCGTGTGAGAGAGCTTAATTTATTCCCTCATCAAGGGAGGGAACTTGCTTTTAAACCAAAGAGATCCTTAGGTCTTGGAAAGGAGACAAATTTTAACAGGAAGAGGAAAATTGAAAGAGAAAAGCTAGCTTTGTCTAGTTATGACAGAAAGATACCGGTAGGAGAGAGGAATTTAGAAGTGAGAGGAAAACAAGGGAATAAAGTATGTGTGTATGTACATGTAGAGGCAGAAATAAAAGCATAAACATAGATACAAATCAGTACAAATCACCTATTTGTAATGAAAAACAACTTTATGGAAAAACTGCAAATCAGTAAGTATTTTCTAATCACTTACTAGTTGTTTTTGCTTATAGAATGTCTCAGATGCATGTGAAAATAGGATTGTTCCTGTAAGAAACTGCTTTTCATCTAGTAATCCATATTTCTCTGGATGTTTCAGGATTCTGATTGTGATTGTGGTTATAAAAATTATAACAATAATAATTAAAAATAGACAACATTGGGAAAGCCACTAAACTTCGAAGGGCCTCCTTTTCATCATCTGAAATATGGGCATAATGATGGTATCCATCTCACAGAATTATTGAGAGGATCAAATCTGATAATGCTTAGTATTTTGCCTGCCACATAGTAAGTGCCCCATAAATCAATAAAAAATAGGAAACATTTATTGAACACACTTAAGTGATTCACATGACAATCTCATAGTCCTGTGAGCTCTAAATAGAAAATTCATCATCATCATTTTTCACACCAAGAAGTGAATTTACTTACCTCAGGTCATATAGTCAGACATAGCAGGGCAGGAATTAGGACTCAAGTGTTTTAACTAAGGCTATTAATTTGGAATAGAATTCACATGACCCTTGAATGCGTTTAGCTCTCTTCGCAATAAAGGACCACTGGGTGCTAGCTGGGGTGTGACATTCCTATTTGTCTTCCAGATTTTCGGAAGGCCTTTGTATAGTTTCTCTCAGACAGTGATTCTCATGCTCTATAACATTGACCCATTTTTACCTTTCTTTTATTCATGAAAGTTTCCTTTCCTGAAATTTAGGTGAATTGAAAATAGGAATTTGAGAGGTGATTTTTGCTTTTCTTACTTATTTTCCATTGAGCTGATTTCTTCATAGGCCTGAAATACAACTGGGGATTATGTGAATCTCATGCAAACCCTCCATTCATCCCTAATTATGCTTTAGAATTTGTTATATACATTCTCCTCCATTTCAGCTTTCTTTGGTTTCTCCTTGTGAAACTCAGTTCTAACAATTGATTTTTATGCTGTAGGTTTTCACCCTGCGGGGAGATGTCAGGTACAGAAAAACACTGCTTACCAATGATGGGACGGCTCTTGGCGTTGGTTTTCCAGTTGGCATAACTGTTGATCCTGCTAGAGGGTGAGTGTTTATAAATGGCGCCATTCTTGTTAATGTTGTGGTCTGATAGAAGCGGAAGATTTCAAACTTAGGGTATTTTCTGACTTCATCTGCCAACATTTCAAAAACAGAAATCTCAGTGAGAAAAGGAAATGACTGAGTTATATTTAATATGAAGGATATGATTTGTGTTTTGTTCTATTTTCCTCAAATTAATAACACTGGAATTGAAATTAATTCTAAACAAGCAAGAATTTCAAGACTTTGAATGAATTTTGACTTTGATTTGAATGAATGTGGAAAATTTTAAGGAGGTAGGTAGGTAAAATTTAAAAGAGGTCTTAAGGAAACAGAAGATTTCCAATGGGTAGAGAATGGGTTGCAACTGCGAGAGCAGTGAAGGTCCAGAAACGTGGTGGTATGTAGAGTGGTTGTAAATAGAGAGGACTGGAACCAGAGATTTAGCAGAAGGAGCAGCTGACCATATGGGAGACAAAGCAGCTAATTTTTCCTTCATCAAATATTTTATTTTATTTTTATTTATTTTATTTTTCTTTAGGTGGTGTGAACTATTGAAAGAATAAATATCAAAATGTAATATGACAAAAATATATACAAGTTTGGGCAAAGGATAGGGGAAGCTCTACTCAGTTATTCAGGGAACCATGATTATGGGATCTTCAGGAAATTACAGGAATAAACTAATTACAGGAATACACTAGATGGTTTTTATGAGCCAGGCCTCCAAGTAGTGCATCCACTTTTGCTCATATGCCTTCATCTAGAATTCAGTCACATGGCCAGAGCTAACTGCAAGAAGGCAGGGAATGTAATTGAGCTTTTTACCCAGAAAGAAGAGGAAAACATTGAATGTGATAAGTGAAATCAGACTCTTACATGGCACCAAGGTGGGGGTATTTGGGCTACATACAAAGATGATTAAAAATCTATAACCTCGAGAATTCATAGCTCAGTAAGGAGAAGGTCTTTCAATAAATGCCAGTAACCCATAGGTGTACATTATTGAGCTGTAAGAGAGACTAAATGATGAGAGTTCTGCACAAAGACAAATTTTCAGCTTGAGGAATGTGATGCCATTTGCAATGGATCTTAAAAGATGCATAGTATTTCACTAAGCAGTGTGGACTTTGAGGATATCTCCAGTTTCATGAAAGAAGTCAAGAGCAAAGGAGCAGACAAGAGAGGGTACATTTAAGATTATGTTGGTTTATGATTATGATTATTAAGATTATGTTAAGATATTTAGACTAGTTGCATTGGAAATCAATGGGAACAGTTTAAAATTTTGCCAGAGAGAAACAGGACAGAGACTCATGGATATAATGTTTTGTACTTTTAGTAAAGAGTAAGTCTTGACAAAGTTATGGTCAATGTTATTAAATCAGTTGCTGCTGAAAAATATCACTGTGGATGATTGCTAATAAAGGATGGAGGCAATTATGATTTTTTTAGTTATTATAAAATTTGAGGCGGGATGTTTACTAGAAATATAATGGGGTTAAGAATAAAAGGAAGGTAAGAAACTATGACTATTCTCTTCAGGATATTCTAAAGAGAAGAAAGGTAAGATGAAACTATGACTATTATCTTTTGGTATTGAAAAAGAAAAACTAGGAAAAGATAAAAGTGTAGGTCAAAAATGTGACAGGGAAATTTTTTAAATAAGGAAATTAGAACATATTTTTAGGGGCAGATTAAAGATAAATGATGGAGAAATCATTGATTGAGAGCAAAAATAACAGGGCGGGAATTAGAAATTGATGAAGCATAGGAATGAAAAAGCCAATATGGAGAGCAAGACAAAAAAATCAGCTAAGGATAAGAGTTCTCGGTGAAGGTTTGGTAACAAATTTCTAATGAATTCAGAATTTATAAGAGCTTTGTGACTTTGCCCATCTGTCTTTTGGAGAGGAAAAAGAAAATAGCAGGAAACTAGCATTAGGTAAGCACAAGAGAATATGTAAAAATATTCTTAAAATAGTCTAAGCATAGAGGGCCTGAAGGCCTGGGAAGTCAGGCAAGGTTTAAGGGCAAAGAACATGTTCAACAGGAGAAATAAAATAGGAGGCAGGCAGAGATGGGAGAGTTTGGTCAAAGCAGAGTTTTTTAAGAGTTTGAGAACTGAGAGTCAGAAAAGTTGAAAGTTGGAGAGTAAGGTTATGGGATGGATTTACTGAATTGATGGTACAAAAAACATGCAGATAAAGATAATTGGAATTAAGGGGTCTGAGGACTTGAGAAAAAAGGAGTACAAGAGCCTGTGAATTAATATATTGAAACTATAACAGGAGGTGACATATAAAGGAATTAATACTTCAATTTAAGTCTAGAAGTTATGTCCTCAATGGAAATGGAAAGCAACTCTTCATATATATATATATATATATATATTTTAAAGATTTATTTATTTGTGCATACAAGAGCTGGGGCACAGGCCAGAGATGCGGGGTGGTGAGAGGACCCACCAGAGACAGAGTGGGGAACAGAACAGGCAGACCGGCCGAAATACACTGCTGAGGAGAGCAGAGGGTGAGACAGGAGAGGTCTGCTGTGCCATGTGGGTTACTTCCTGGCCAGCCGGGGATAGAACTTGTGCTGCAGAGGCTGTGGATTTCTTCATAGTGCAATGCTTAACCCCTTGAGCCACCAGGGAGGCCCCTTCATATATTTTTAATGAAATTTCCTATATCATGAATTTCACAATTGTGTGTGGTAACTAGAGTTCATGTATACAGATTAATGTGTCTAAGCTATTGGTTTTACTATGAAATAGAACATTAGAATAAAAGGTATATATATCCTGATATCAGCATGCTAAAAGCATTCCATTCTCAGAAAAGTGCATTAAATTACATCACAGATTTCAGACTGGATAAGAAAATTTTGTGGTAGATGATAATTGAAGAACTAAATAAGAGGCCTTAGAGGTATTTGGTGACTTTTACATTAGTTTTATCTTTCCTAGAATACTGGGCAGCACATGGCTCTTTGAAAGGGTTTGATTATTGATAGTCTGAAGCTTCTTAGTCATAAGCTTTCTGCCTGTGTGAGCTAAAAGATAACCCACTAATGGAAGATGCTAGCTTCCTATTTTAGATACTATTCCAAATGGCTTATACAGCAATAATCGCTAGGATATATATCTATACATTGATACAATACTGGCTAATTCTTCCTCCTCATCATGTGTAATAAGATACTGACTCTTGAGATTTCCTCCATTGAATTGTATGTATCTTGGGGATAATAAATACGCATTTTTCATTTAAACATTTAAATTATAGATGCCATTCATTCTAATCCACCTTATGTTTTATTAAATGTTGGTATTTTTCATGTTTATAGGAAACTATACTGGTCAGATCAAGGAACTGACAGTGGAGTTCCTGCTAAGATTGCAAGTGCTTACATGGATGGCTCAGCTTCACAAATCCTCTTCTCTGGGGAACTTGAACATCTGGAGTCTCTCACCCTTGACATTGAAGAGCAGAAACTCTACTGGGCAGTCACCAGCAGGGGTGTGGTAAGAAAGAACACTTTTCAGTCTGTTTATCTATATTGTTGAATGTATGTGGCTGATACTAGTTGTTCTGACTTGAGCATTCTGACTTAGCAACTTGTACCAGTGCTTTATTGCACTTTCTCCCAATAACTCTTTCCCCCAAGCATATCCTGAAGTCCAGTCCTTTATAATAAGTGTATAGTTCCTCATAGAATAATGCTTATTATTTTTTTCTCATTTGTTTTTCTTCATGATAAAATAATTGTTTTTCATTTTATTTTTTTCTGGTTTCACTTTTTTTTAAATTGAAATAGCATCGCATTATAATGCTATAACTTTCAAGTGTTCATCATTGAGAATCGGTATTTATATTTATATAGACTAAATAGATTCACTGCTAAAAGTCAAATTCTATCACTTCCACCCTTTATTTTAGGATTTAGTAATATCATTTCTTTTCATTCACAGCACTCTTCTCTCCAATTATAGAGACTAAGAAAAAAATACGACATGCTTTTGAGGTGTGTGTCCTCAAGTAGCTACATGTTCTTTTCTAGTGTCCTTATGTAGTTCACATGTATGTGAAAACTCCCTTTCCCAGTAATTTTAAACTTTAAGATGAATTCATTGAATACAGAATATGAAGAGGACTGTAATTTCATTCACTCACAGAATTTAAACTTTGCTGCTGTGCTGATGCAGTAGAGGTAGCATTAGACAGAAGGTGCTCAGTAATAATTATTGCTGAATTAAAATATTGCTTTGGATGCTGCACTGAATGAGTGCTAGTCTCTTCCTTGCTTCTTAAACAGTGGTGATTTCAGATCTGTCCTTGACTCTGTGTAGTTTTAACTATCATATTAGAAAATAGATATGAGAAAGCTCTGTCAAGTTTAGATAGCTATATAAATGTGAAGTATTATTTTAAAGGAGCATTATTTTTAAATGTTTCCCTCATTTCACCATGAATCAGTCAGACCTGAATATTTTTTTTTCTTTAAGATTGAAAGAGGAAATGTGGATGGTACAAATCGAATGATTCTGGTAAACCATCTTTCCCACCCCTGGGGAATTGCTGTCTATGGTCCCTTCCTTTATTATACTGATGCAGTCTATGAGGTCATTGAAAGAGTTGAAAAAGCCACTGGGGACAACAAAGTAGTGTTGAGAGATAATATTCCGAATCTGAGGGCCCTTCGGGTTTATCACAGATGGCAAGGTAAGTATTTATCACTGAAATATACACATTCATGGTTGAAGAATGTATATTCTCACATATATAAACACATGTCCACACAGAGACCCATGTTTGCTTGCAAGTGAAATTACCCAAAATATTTAGAAAATGATAACTGTCTTACGTGTGGCTCAATGTAAAACACTAACCTGGCACCTTGAAGTTTAGATTGACTTCAGAGTAAGCTTATTTCCATTACTTTAAACTCTGCTCCTTGCTTTTGTTTCATAGCACGTCCTGTTCTGTATATCGTCTTTGTTCTTTGTTAGAATGTAACCCTCACAAGCATTTTGTCTGTCTCTTGTAATTCTCTGCCATGTAACTAAAATAATTCTTCATATATGGAAGTGCTCAGTGATTATTTGTTAGAGACATGCTGGGAAAGTATTAAAACAGGATAGAATTTTTCATCTGGAAAGGAATACTGTAGACTTTCTCAATGTCTTTTTTTTTTCCAGAGATCAAAATTTACCCCTTTAATTTAGCATTATGTTCACTGGAGCTTTTAGTTTTGACATGTCATATATATATGTAATATAGAAGTAATTATATGTGTATGATTTGACTCCATCTTGCATAATTTGTGGAAGAAAAGCAATTGATGCCCTGTTCTCTATTATACAATATTTGTTGTCCTGTTTTAAAACCTTTAGGTGTTAGTTGTGTAAATGCTAGTGTTTCCAATATGGTTTTTAGGTTATTATCTCATGTTAATATATAGTTAATTTTCATAATGAAGTATTTGATTGCCCAAATAAAATTTGAGATGTTGTAGCAAGTAAATAGAGTCAAAAGTTAAAATTGATTTTGATTTCATTTAGACTCTACTGCATCCTCAAATGGCTGTAGCAACAACGTCAATGTCTGTGCACAAATATGCCTGCCTATACCAGGAGGACAGTTCTCCTGTGCCTGTGCCACTGGATTTAAACTCAATTCTGATCTTCGGACCTGCTCTCCATACGATTCCTTCATTGTTGTTTCCATGCTGTCTGCAATCAGAGGCTATAGCTTGGTACTGTCAGATCATTCAGAAGCAATGGTGCCAGTGGCAGGTCCAGGTATGCCAACTCCAATATAAATAAGATTTGAGTAAGATTTGACTCTATCTAGTGGCATGTTGAGATCCATGGTGCCATACAGCATTTTTCCATGTTTGTCACATAAAGAAACTTGACTTTCCTTTAAATAAAATAGCTTAACCTTGAGTGGTTCTCAAATGTTTTTGTGCGTCAGAATTGGAATGTTTGTTAAAACAGATTGGGGTATCATCCCCAGATTTTCTGATAATAGTAGTCTGGGGTAGGGTTGGAGAATCTGCAGTCCAACAGGTTCTTAGCGCAATACTGGTCTGAGGGCCACACCGAGAACCACAGCCCTAGAGCAAGAAAGAATGCAGTGTGAGACTGCAAAAGTATTTTCAGAGTTGGTGTTCAAAGAACTGTTGTGGAGATTTAGGGAGATGGTACTCTAACATTAGAATAATAGTGACATTGTCCACAATCTGATCTATTAACGTGTATTTGATGAAGTACATGAGTGAGTTGACAGTATTAGTCTAATTAATAGCTATTTATGTTTGTATACTATTAACAATTGAAATGATCCCTTGCTTCCTAGATGAACTGAGAGGTTTCTAAGTATATGTTACTACAAGAGGAACTAAGTGTTTTTACTAGCATTACAAGAAGCATTTCACAGGCTAATAATGATAGGAATGAAAGGTGCAGGAGATCTAAGAAGAGACAGAAAAGCATGTAGTGAAGGGGAAGGTGCTTCCAGCCCACACGCTCTGCTGCTTGGTGGCCATACTTTTCTACTTCATGACTTGTCTTTGCTTTCTGATGTCTAAAGAATTATGGATATAATTTGATTATAAAATCATTAATTTTGTCCTCAGTCCCTTATTTTGAAAAATTTCAAATGCATAAATGTTAAAGAAAATTATAATGAACATCCTGTATCCTTCACCTAGGTTGAGCAACTGTTAGCATTTCACAACATGCAAACTCTCAGTCTCTCTCTCTGTGAACTTTTAGAAAATAAATTGCAGCCACTGTGACACTTCACCCCTACAAATTTTAGCATGTTGCTTTAAAAAGCATTATCATTTAATATTCATATTTCTCCACTTGGCCTCAGAAAATGTTTTTAAATAGTTGTTACTTTGTTCCAGCTGGGATCTAATCAAGATTGATACATTATATTTGGAATGTCTCTGTAGTTTCTTTTAATCTCTGTGTTTGCCATAGTTATTTTGTTATAACATTGCTTTTTAAGACAAATGTTTGTTGTCTTTCTAAATCTCACTTTGGGGATTTGTCTTCTCATGTGCCTATTGGCCATCTGATATATCTTCTTTGGAGAAGTGTATTTAGATCCTCTTCCTAGGGAAATGGTTTTTATTTTTTTTTTTTTTTATTTTTTTTTTTAAAATATTAAATTTTATTTTTATATTCCCCCATACAATTGCAAACGCCCCATTCTGACCCCAATCCTTCCCCTCCCGCCCCCCACCCCCAAAAAGTGTCTCTGGTTCATAGTTTTTTTGTTGATTTTGATTTTCACTTTCTTATATTCATTTTCCTGGTCCCTTATTTAAGTTTTCTAGATTCCTGCTATGAGTGAGACCATCCGGTATTTTTCTTTTTCTTTTTGGCTTATTTCGCTGAGCATGATCCCTTCCAGCGCCATCCATGTTGCTGCAAATTGCATGTGTTTATCTTTTTTGAATGCTGAGTAATATTCCATGGTATATATGTACCACATCTTCTTGATCCAGTCATCTATTTTTGGGCATTTGGGTTGTTTCCAAAGCTTAGCTATTGTAAACAGTGCTGCTATAAACATAGGAGTGCAGGTGCTCTTTGGAATTGATGTTTCTGTGTCCTTTGGGTAAATACCTAGGAGTGGAATTGCTGGATCATATGGAAGCTCTATGTTTAGTAGGTCCAGAAATCTCCACACAGCTCTCCATAGTGGTTGGACCAGTTTGCACTCCCACCAACAGTGCACAAGAGTTCCTTTTTCTCCACATCCTCGCCAACATTTGTTGTTGCTAGTTTTTTTAATATGTGCCATTCTCACTGGTGTGAGATGGTATCTCATGGTAGTTTTGATTTGCATTTCCCTGATTACAAGTGATGTTGAACATTTTTTCATATGTCTGTTGGCCATTTTCATTTCCTCTTCAGAGAAGTTTCTTTTTAGCTCTTCTGCCCATTTTTTGACTGGATTATTTTCTTTGTTGTTGCTGAGTCTCATCAGCTCTTTGCAGATTTTTGTGATCAGTCCTTTATCATTAGTGTTGGGTGCAAAAATGTTCTCCCAGTTGGTGGGGTTTCTCTTTGTTTTTGTTATTGTCTCTTTTGCTGTGCAGAAGCTCTTTAATTTGATGTAGTCCCAGCTGTTTATCTTTCTCTTCACTATCACTGCTTTGGGTGATGTGTCTGTAAAGATGTCTTTGATGTGCAAATCCCGTAGTGTTTCGCCTATATTTCCTTCTATGTATTTTATGGTTTCAGGTCTTATGTCTAGCTCTTTAATCCATTTTGAGTTGATTTTTGTGTATGGTGTGAGGTAGTGGTCAAGCTTCATTCTTTTGCATGTAGCGACCCAGTTTTCCCAGCACCATTTATTGAACAAACTTTCTTTGCTCCAATGCATAGTCTTTGCTCCTTTGTCAAAGATTAGTTGACCATAAATCTGTGGGTTTATTTCTGGATTTTCTATTCGATTCCATTGGTCTGTATGTCTGTTCTTGTTCCAATACCATGCAGTTTTGATGATTATGGCTTTGTAGTATAGTTTGAAGTCTGGGAGTGTGATGCCTCCATTTCCTTCTTTTTTTTTCAGGAGAGCTTTGGCTATTCGGGGTTTTTGGTGATTCCATATGAATTTCATCAATAATTGTTCTATTTCTTTGAAGAATGCCATTGAGATTTTGATTGGAATAGCATTGAATCTGTATATTGCTTTTGGTAGGATGGCCATTTTAATAATGTTTATTCTTCCAATCCATGAGCAGGGGATGTCTTTCCATTTCTTTGTGTCTTCTTCTATTTCTTTTAACAGTGTTTTATAGTTTTCTTTGTATAGGTCCTTTACCTCTTTTGTTAGATTTATTCCCAAATATTTGATTTTTTTTGTTTCGATAATAAAAGGGGTGGTTTTTTTGATTTCTTCTTCTTCAGATTTATTGTTTGTGTATAGGAAGGCTACTGACTTTTGCGTGTTGATTTTGTATCCTGCCACTTTACTGAATTGATTGATGAGTTGAATTAGTTTTTCTGTGGAGATTTTGGGGTTCTCTATGTATATTATCATATCATCCGCAAATAGTGATAGTTTGACTTCTTCTTTTCCTATTTGGATTCCTTGGATGTCTTTCTCTTGTCTTATTGCCCTGGCTAGGACTTCCAGTATTATATTGAAAAGCAGTGGTGAGAGTGGACATCCTTGTCTTGTTCCAGATCTTAATGGAATTGCTTTCAGCTTTTCACCATTGAGAATGATACTGGCTGTTGGCTTGTCATAGATGGCCTTTATGATGTTGAGGTATGTCCCTTGTATCCCCAGAATTTCAAGGGCTTTTATCATGAATGGGTGTTGCACTTTGTCGAAAGCTTTCTCAGCATCTATTGATATTATCATATGGTTTTTATATTTCTTTTTGTTGATGTGTTGGATAACGTTGATTGATTTTCGGATGTTAAACCATCCTTGTGCCCCTGGAATGAATCCAACTTGGTCGTGGTGAATTATCTTATGGATACATTGTTGGATTCTGATAGCTAAAATTTTATTGAGGATTTTTGCATCAGTGTTCATTAGGGAGATTGGCCTGTAGTTTTCCTTTTTTGTGTTGTCCTTGTTCGGTTTTGGTATTAGTGTAATGTTGGCTTCATAAAACGTGTTTGGTATTGTCCCTTCCTTCTCAATTTTTTGGAAGAGTTTGTGAAGGATAGGCACTAATTCGTCTCTGAATGTTTGGTAGAATTCATTTGTAAATCCATCAGGTCCTGGGCTTTTGTTTTTGGGGAGGTTTTTGATTACCATTTCAATTTCACTAATTGTAATTGGTCTGTTTAGGTGTTCTATTTCTTCTTTATCTAGCTTTGGGTGATTGTAGAGTTGTAGGAATTTGTCCATCTCCTCTAGATTGTTGAACTTGTTTCCATATAACTGTTCATAGTAGTTACTGATTATTCTTTTGATTTCTGCTGTGTCCGTTGTGATTTCTCCTCTTTCATTTATGATTCTGTGTATTTGTGCTTTCTCCCTTTTTTCCTTTGTGAGCCTGGCTAGGGGTTTGTCTATTTTATTTATTTTTTCAAAGAACCAGCTCTTGGTTTCATTGATCTTTTGGATTGTTTTTTTAGTTTCAATTTCATTTATTTCTGCTTTGGTTTTTATTATTTCTTTTCTTCTACTGGTTCTGGGGTTTTTTTGTTGTTCTTTTTCTAGATCTTTGAGCTTCGAGATTAGGTTGTTTCTTTGAGTTCTTTCTTGTTTTTTGATGTGAGCTTCTATTGCTATATATTTTCCTCTTATTACTGCTTTTGCTGCATCCCATACATTTAGGATATTGGTGTCCTCCTTGTCATTCAATTCAAAGAATTTTTTAATTTCTTCTTTGATCTCCTCGTTAGTCCAGTGGTCTTCCAGTAGTGTGGCTTTTAATCTCCATGAGGTAGGATAGTACCTTGCCTTCTTTTTATGATTTATTTCTAGTTTGATGCCTTCGTGGTCAGAAAAGATGGTTGGTATGATTTCAATCTTGGTGTATCTGTTGATGTTTGTCTTGTGCCCCAGTATGTGATCGATCCTGGAGAATGATCCGTGTGCGCTTGAGAAAAATGTGTACTCCGTTTTTTTTGGGTTTAGTGTTCTATAGATGTCTGTTAAGCCCAAATGCTCTAGGTCCTTATTTAGAGCTTTAGTTTCTTTACTTATTTTTTGTCTTGTTGATCTATCCATTGTTGATAGTGGTGTGTTGAAGTCTCCCACTACATATGTGTTTTCTCTGATGTCTGTTTTCAGAGAGGACAACAGTTGTCTGATATATTTTGGTGCTCTTTCGTTTGGTGAGTATATGTTAATGAGTGTTATTTCTTCTTGAAGTATTGTCCCCTTAATCATAATGTAGTGACCATTGGGGTCTCTTTTTATTTTTTTGAGTTTGAAGTCTGTTTTATCTGATATAAGTATAGCTGTTCCTGCTTTCTTTTTTGGCCCATTTGCTTGTAGGATTGTTTTCCATCCTTTGACTTTGAGCCTATTTTTATCTTTTGTAGCTAAATGTGTTTCCTGGAGACAGCAAAAGGTTGGGTTTTGTTTCTTAATCCAGGCTGCAACTCTGTGTCTTTTTATTGAAGAGTTTAGTCCATTTACATTTAGAGTTAATATTGATATGTTAGCATCTGTATTTGGCATTATGTTTGTCTTTCCTTTGATTTTATTTATTTATTCTTTTAATAACTTTTTTTTTTTCCGGTCTTCTTTCGTTGTTATTCGTCCCTCTGAGGTTCTGGCTTTAGGATTCCTTGTAGTATTTTTTGGAGTGGGGGTTTAGTCGCAATGAAACTCCGGAGTTTCTCTTTGTCTGGGAAGGTCCATATTCTTTCTTCATGGAGGAAAGAGAGCTTTGCGGGATAGAGTATTCTTGGTTGGCATCTGTTTTCTTGGAGTCTGTTGACTATGTCCCTCCACTCTCTCCTTGCCCGTAGTGTTTCTTCAGAGAAGTCTGATGTCAGCCTGATTGGTTTTCCTTTGAATGTTATCTGTTTCTTCCCTCTTGTCAGCTTCATTATTTTTTCCTTGTCCTGGATTCTTGGGAGCTTTACTATTATGTGTCTTGCTGTGTTTTTCCTTTCGTCGTGGAAGTTTGGTGTTCTTCTTGCTTCTTGTATATCAATTTTCAGCTCCTTCTTCTCATTTGGGAAGTTCTCTTCAATTATATCCATGAATATTTTCTCTGTTCCTACATCTCTCTCCTCTCCTTCTGGAATTCCTATAACTCTTATATTTCCTTTCCTCATGGAGTCAGATAGTTCCCGAAGTCTTTCTTCATTCTTTTTCCTTCGTACTTCTCTTTCCTTTTCTGTTTTGGTTCTTTTTATTTCTGTGTCTTCAAGATTACTTATTCGTTCTTCCATTTCATCTATTCTGCTTTCATTGCTTTTCCCAGAGTTCTTTAGTTCCTCCATTAATTCTTTGATCTCCCGCATTTCTCTTACTTCCCTCTTTAGGGACTCAATTTCCTTCTTCTGATCTATCACTTTTTTAATCATGGCAATTTTAAATTCTCTTTCTGGAAGGCTCAGAAGTTCTTCCAAGTTGCTGTCGTTGCAATCTGGGGAGTGGTTTTCTTTTTGTGGTGTGCTTCTTTCCTGAGGAGTTTTTAGGTTGCGTGTGGTTCTTCTACTCCCTACTGTCTGTTTTCTAATTTGTCGTATGCGTTGGGACACTGTGTTGCTCGGACTGACTGACATCTTGGGTGAACTTCTCCGCTCCCCTCTGGCTCTTCCAGGAGCCATCTCTGTCTTCTGGGGGAGCTTTCTGCTGGTTTTAGGCAGTTTTTACTGAAGAAATGTCCCTGTTCTCAAATGGCGAAGCAGGATGCAGTCCCTGCGCCTCCGGTTTCAGGCACACTCTTCTGCGCACCCGGTCTGCCCCGGACGTGGGTGCCTGCTCCCTCTGTGGGCTCAGACTGCTGGTCGGAAGGGGCCTGGCGTGGAATAACTTCCCGGCTGGCCACTGGGTCCTCCAGAAACCTTCTGCCCTTTTCAAGCAGACTTAAGAAATGTCCTGTTTTATAGGGTGTTAGTGACTTTTTTTTTTCTGGTCGCTAGGTGGCGCCAGAGATCTCTCCTATTGTCCTTGGGGGGCTGTTTTTCGCCTCCCCCCACCCCGTGGGACAGAGAACAGAGCGGGAATGGTAGGGTACACCTCAACAGCTTTGGGGTGCTGTGTCTGCCTTGTGCCCCACCGTCGTGGAGAAACCACGCCCCGAATTTTCGTGCCCCGGGTCTCAGTTCAAAGCCCTCAGGTCCAGGACGCGGGCTGTAGCCCAGTTCAGTGGCGCGGGAATGGCGCCTTTTGCACCCGGCTCCCGTGCCTGGGCGCCTGGTTCCTGCTTACTCAGGGAGGGACCTTCACCTCAGTGAGGACCTCCGTGCGTCTCCCCGCAAGCCTAGGTCGTCTCCCCGCCAGCCTAGGTCACAGGCGCGGGGACCTGGGCAGCCGCGATCCCGGTCTGCACTTGCTTTTCAAGCGCGCCAGGCGCGCCGCGTTTCCCGCGCAGGCTTACCGGCAGCCCGGGCTGTGTGCGCGTCTCCCGGGGTCTTTGTTCTTCTCTAATGGCGCCCGGAGCCGTTCGCTCACCGCCGCGGCGGATCCTGCAGGGTTCGTCTCAGCTCCCGTTCACGGGGTGTGGTGGCTGCAATAGTTCCATTCCGCTCACAGTCCCGCTTGCTGCGTCGTTTGTTCTTGTCGGTTGTTTTGGTTTGTTGTTTCCTCCTCTCTGCTGGTCGGAGAGTGCCGCCTCTGTGGGCGGGGGAGGGGAGCAGGGTTCTGCGCTTCCCTCCCTTCTAGTCCTCTTTTATGGCCACTTTCTTCTTCGGGCAGTTCGCTGGCGTCACCCGTTTATCTTCCGTGTCCCAGTTCTCACTGGGACCTGCCGCTTTTCCTCCCTATTCACTTTTTTTAATGGGAGATCTTACTCGCAGCGTCTCCTCGCCGCCATGTTGCTCCGCCCCCTCCTCGGGAAATGGTTTTTAGAAACCATGTTCTGAGGTAGCAGTTGCTCATTGCAACTATAAACAAATAGTTTTATTTTGTAATGGGGGCATGGTCAGAGCAGAGGATTAGGACGAGAGCATGTGAGGAAGGGCAGATATTTAAAATTTCTAGTTCTAGCTAAAGCATCGTTTAATGATCTTTTCTTAAATGTTCCAGGACGAAATGCACTACACGTGGATGTTGATGTATCTTCTGGCTTTATTTATTGGTGTGATTTTAGCAGCTCTGTGCCATCAAATAATGCAATCCATAGAATCAAACCAGATGGGACTAATTTTACAAACATTATTACAAGTGGGATAGGAGAAAATGGAGTACGAGGTATTGCTGTGGATTGGGTAGCAGGTAAGAAGGCTGTATAGTGATTTGTGCTTTTAGACTAAGCTAAGTATTTGTTAAATTAATGATAAGGTGCTTCAACTGACAGATTCGTAACATATTATCTTACCTGCTTATTAGCATAAACAAAGCCATAAGCAAATGGCTAGAAATATTTAATTATGTGAATTTTTATGCACTTAGGTTAGCACCTAATTTCCAAGTTAGAAATATTTAAATTTTCAAAGAGAAAGGGATATTAAAGTATAATGTAAATCATAAAATGGCAATCATATATTTTAAAACAACAATTTCAGTTCCCAAATTCTTATTGCTTCCTCTTGTTGCTGTATAAAAACTTTTGATATTATATGTACTTACTCTGTTATAGTTATATGTTAACTTAGTTGTACTGATCTTGTAATTAATTTTGAATTACCTCTCGTTTTTAATGGTAACCTGAGAAACAAATGTTTCAATTTTATTATTATTTTTACAGCATACTCCCATTCTAGAAGTATAGGTATCCTGTGTATTATCAAACTTGGTAGACTCACTTAAAAATGTTAAAATGTATTTTGTAAATCTAGGTATTATAATAACAATAAATATGATATTATGATTAGATAAGGCTTTTAAATGGGATCCTAAATTCCATTCCTTATTACAGATTTATTACATTATTTTTAAGGGTATAGATAAAGCAGAGGTCAGTAATCTAAGATCTATGGGCCAATGCATCCCACTGCTATTATTGTAGGTATAGTTTTACTGGACCCATTCATTTATGTTTTGTCTATGGCTGCTTTCATGATTCATTGGCAGAGTTGAGTGCTTGTGAAAGAAACCATATTCTCTGCAAAGTCTAAAATATTTATTATCTGATCTTTCACAGAAAGTTTGCCAATCCTGTATTAAAGGACTGGAATATACATACAGTGCAGTTAGAGATGGGAAATAAAAAGAGTAGGTCAGTAACATGCTGCATATTGGCCTGATTTCTCTAGAGTTGTTTTGAATCAGATTTAGGAATAAAATAGATGGCAATTTATTGATAGCAATATTGATAGCAATATTGCTTTGATAGCAATATTGAAAGTTCAATGTCCTTGAAATCAACTTTGGATCAATCTCTACTCATTATACTATCTTCATACCATGTAACACCCGAGACCATGGACTTTTGTTTTGGTAGCTTTAGAAGGTTCATGGGGTAAAAACATCTATACTAATGAGAAAACCTAGGGGAAAAAAAATCTCACATTAATGCTAAGTACAAAGAGCACTGGATCACATTGACAAACTGAGATACTTTCGGGTCTCCCTCTTTGCTCCTTTCATCATGTTGGAGTAGAAGTTGATCATATATAATTTAGTCTTTGAAGATTTATGGTTAAACATTCAGATAGAAGACAAGTCCATTCTGAAAAAGAGATTACATTTTATTATAAATTATGTATATATTAGAATGTTTGTTGTAACTTTTTATCTGTTTTAGAAGCTAAATTCTCTTTAAATTTGAATAATCTCTTTAGTTCCTAAGAGTAAATATATATTTTCCTAAGTCTAAACTAAGACATTTATTTATCATCTTGGAAAATACGCCATATACTAACCCAAACCTCAACCGACATGTTTTGTTCTGGATTTGAAAAGATATTCTCTTTCATTCTTCTTAGTTTTCCATTTATCATTTTTCTGCAGGAAATATTTATTTTACGAATGCATTTGTGTCTGAAACACTGGTAGAAGTTCTGCGGATCAATACTACCTACCGTCGTGTTCTCCTTAAAACCACAGTGGATATGCCCAGGGCTATTGCTGTAGATCCCAAGAACAGATACCTCTTCTGGGCCGACTATGGGCAAAACCCAAAGATTGAACGTGCTTTTCTTGACTGTACTAATCGAACTGTGCTGGTGTCAGAGGGCATTGTCACACCACGGGGCTTGGCAGTGGACCTTAGCAGTGGCTATGTTTACTGGGTTGATGATACTTTAGATATAATTGCAAGGATCAATATTCAGGGAGAGGCATCGGAAGTGATTTATTATGGTAGTCGCTACCCAACTCCTTTTGGCATCACTGTTTTTGAAAATTCTATTATATGGGTAGACAGGAATTTGAAAAAAATCTTCCAAGCTAGCAAGTATCCAGGGAACACAGAGTCACCAACAGTGATAAGAGACAATATCAATTGGCTAAGAGATGTGACCATCTTTGATCAGCGTGTCCAGCCCCGGTCACCAGCTGAGGTTAACAACAACCCTTGCTTGGAAAATAATGGTGGATGCTCTCATCTCTGTTTTGCTCTTCCTGATTTGCACACCCCAAAATGTGGCTGTGCCTTTGGGAACCTGGAGGGTGATGGCAAGAGCTGTGCCATGCCAACAGACCCTTTCCTCATCTTTGCTTTGAATAATACCTTGGAAAGCTTATACTTGGACCCTGGAAACCATAATCCACCATTCCATGCTATAAGTGTGGGGAAAAATACTGTGGCCCTGGACTATGACAGTAGAAATAATAGAATCTACTTCACACAATTTTCAGACTCTGGACATGGTCAGATTTCCTATATCAGCTTGAATCCAGGATTCAGTTCTCCCACTGTCATTGTTTCAGGTATGTATACTCAGTTGCAATCTACCTTGGAAACAGGTACAATGAGATCAACATTCATGACTTACCCAGTGATTCTAAAATGCATATGGAGACTCATGCCTTTATCTGTGTGTTTGTTGGTATATGTCCAGATATAGGGATTTCTGATGGCATTGCCTTTGACTGGATCAATGGAAGAATTTATTACAGTGACTACACCAACCAGACAATTAACTCCATGGCTCCAGATGGATCTTTGCGCACTATGATAGCCCATGTTCCACGTCCAAGAGCAATTGTGTTAGATCCTTGCCGCGGGTATGCCATGGTTTTATTTATCATATTTATGTCTTCATATTTCTGTAGGGGATGGGACCTGAAATTATTTTATGTTCAAAATAGCCAGTATCTTATGGATTTGTTACACTGTAGCAACAGATTCAAAGGGTTAAAGAGCATGAGTGACTTTTCCTAGGAAGGATCTTCCTTTGATGCTATAAAGGTTGCCAGTATACAAGGGAATCAATGTTCTGACTCTTAAATCCCCTTTTGGCAAGTTATGTGGGTGAGGATGGAATAGGATTTCATTTGACATATATTTTTTAAAAGATTTATTTATTTTTATACAAGAGCTGGGGTACAGGCCAGAGGTGTGGGAGGGTGAGAGGATTCACCAGAGACAGAGCAGGGAGCAGAACAGGCAGAGGACCAAAATACACTACTGAGAGGAGCAGCAGGTGTGACAGGGAGGTCTGCCACACCATGTGGGAATCTCTCTGGCTGGCTGGGAATTGAACCCGCGCTGCAGAAGCTGCGGACAGCTTTGCAGTGCTACGCTCAACTTGCTGCACCACCGGGGAAGCCCTCATTTTACATTGTAATGTCAGTTTGCAGTTAAAGAATGCTGCTATTAGCACTGTTTACAATAGCTAAGCTTTGGAAACAACCCAAATGCCCAAAAATAGATGACTGGATCAAGAAGATGTGGTACATATATACCATGGAATATTACTCAGCATTCAAAAAAGATAAACACATGCAATTTGCAGCAACATGGATGGCGCTGGAAGGGATCATGCTCAGCGAAATAAGCCAAAAAGAAAAAGAAAAATACTGGATGGTCTCACTCATAGCAGGAATCTAGAAAACTTAAATAAGGGACCAGGAAAATGAATAACTATAAGAAAGTGAAAATCAAAATCAACAAAAAACTATGAACCAGAGACACTTTTAGGGGGGCAGGGGCGGGAGGGGAGGGATTGGGGTCAGAATGGGGGGGCTGCAATTGTATGGGGAATATAAAAATAAAATTTATTATTTAAAAAAAAAAAGAATGCTGCTATTAAATAAAAAGAATCCCGAGTTCCCTTGTGAATTAATTATGACTACTTTTGAATGACTAGGTACATGTATTGGACTGACTGGAGTACTAATGCCAAAATTGAGAGAGCCACAATGGGAGGAAACTTCCGGGAACCCATTGTGGACAGGAACCTGGTCTGGCCCAATGCCCTTACTCTGGACTTTGAAGAAGAATTTCTCTACTGGACAGATGCCAGTCGGTATGTGTCTGTGGTTGTCTGTGTTGGTTTTGATAAGAAGAATTCTTCCCTCTTTCAAAGCAGAGGCGTATTGTAATATGATAAAAATATATTATGTGAAAGCAATTTGGCTAAAATGTAGAATTAGTTTTAGACACTATATCATGGCCTGGTGAATGTAACTGTAAAAATTCATTTCTGGCATGAGAATGAATACTTACAAACTAAAATACATCTAAAGATGTATTACCAAATGAGTTCATCTCAATAATAACTATAAATATAATCTCTCAATTTGTAACCTACAGGTCCCACGTAACTACCATAAATATGAGTGACTTTTACATGCATACTGATATTTTCTCTGGACTTTAGCATTGTCATGTAAAAGCATTTTCCTTTTGTCTTTAACTTTTGTTCATCTTCTTAAATAGACTCTTTGTTCTTGAGTTAGCTTCTCAGACAATTCCATGTTTTCCTTAGAAACTTTTGTCAACTCTGATTTTATCAGCAACTTCTCCTGTAGTAATAGAGAATCATCCTAACAGAAGAGATGAGATGATTTTGTTTGTTGTGTTTGGTTTCTACATGTCAGAAATTTTAACTTTTCTTGCTCTTTCTATGATTTTGGTCTTTTGATACCGAGCACCTTACAATTTGGTGTTTTCTTTATTTCTTCATCCAAAACAAACTTTTGTATCTAAATTTGAATCGTTTTACGTAAATATCTCAGGAGTACTTGATAAATGACCAATCAAAAAAAGTCATTAAAGGAATGGGAAGGGAAAGGAATTAACATCTTACTGAGTGAATATTATGCACTAAACATCAAGTCCTTTGAATTATATGTATTATTTCATAACATTCTCCTCATTCTAATGTCAGCCTGATTAATTTTATAGGATTACTTGTAGGTTATATTAATATTTGTAGATCATTGATTCATACAAACCATTTTTTGATAAGCAAACTCAGATTTCCCATCACCAGTTAAAAACATTTGCTATTGTATGCTCTACTTGAAAAGAAAAGCTGGGGGCCTGTGTAAAGCAATGGCTAGGTCCAGACATTGGATTATTCTTTCTAGATTCCAGCTTTTTTTTGTTTTGTTTTGTTTTGTTTTTTTTTCTTAATTTTAGGCAGAAGATTGAACGCAGCACCCTAACAGGCCTGAATCGTGAGGTCATTGTCAACATAGTCTATCAGCCTATTGACTTGACTACCTATGGCCAGTTTATTTATTGGACCGACTGGAATATGAAAAAAATTTATCGAGCTAACAAATTTGATGGGTCAGATGTGACTGCGCTATCCACAACTTTTCCCTCCCAGCCTAAGGGTATTTGTGTTGTTCGGAAGGACCAACCACAGCATTGTAACAATCCTTGCGATCAGTTTAATGGTGGCTGCAGCCATATTTGTGCACCAGGTAAGACATTGCCCATGAAGAGAGAATCATGGAGAGTAATAACAATAACCGGTAGGAAGGCTGCAGGGATATTTAGCTCTAACAAAAAACAAAAATTGAAATTCTCCTTGATTTTATAGTAATTCATGAAATATATTTGGGGGGTTATATGTTGAGAGAAAGACTGACAGGAATCTTCTTAGGAAGACATTTTCAATTCTTGCTTGATGGAGGTAGAAAGAAAGATGGAGTGTGATATGTGCTTCATAGTGTGTTTTATAGAGAACTGCAGATTCAGAGGAAGAGGAAAATGTACTGTTTGCTTTGCAGATTTTACTGAGAAGGGAGAATCATTGATATTGTTTCAGTGTAGATGACAGGTAGTTTAGGATGAATTAGCTATATTTATTAGAAATTGGTGGTTGTTCTTGATGTAAAAATGACTCAAGATATTTGAAAGGTTGATGGGAAGTGTCCAAGGCTTGTCTGATTTAATATGGAAACTTGTGCCAGTGCTATTCTGGAAGAGAAAATGAATGGTTGCTACACAAATGTTTCACTTTTTTCTGGGTCTCTCTTTCTTTAGGTCCAAATGGTGCAGAGTGCCAGTGTCCACATGAGGGCCACTGGTATCTGGCCAACAACAACAAACACTGCATTAGGGACAATGGCACACGGTGTGAGACATCGAAGTTCACCTGTTTTAATGGGCGCTGCATTTCGGAACATTGGAAATGTGACAATGACAATGACTGTGGTGATGGCAGTGATGAGTTGGAAAATGTCTGTGGTGAGTTGGACTCTGCAAACTTTTGTAGGAGCTGACAGTGGGTCAGATGTGACTGCCAACTCTTTGTAGAGTTATGCTATTGTGTGAAAAGTTCTGAAATTTGTGCCTCAGAGTCTGGTTAGAACAGAAAAATGTTTACTCAGAGAATTCAGACTGCATTTCTGTTATGCTATGGACAATGATATTTTATTAGGAAGTACTCTTTTCAGTGATTGAAATAGATTTTTAAAATTAAGATGATAGAGAAATAGAGTGATTTGCTTAAAAATTTCATTTGTTAAAAAAATTGCTACATATTTTGCTTAATCTGACTAATTTTAAGTGTTATTTCACTTCACATGCAGTCCGTTTTGCAGCCCTTTTTGCCCTGGAAGGTAAACTCAAAGTGTTTCTTTTTTTTATTGTATCTTTTAAGAAATTAAGATGACACTTTAATCAAGTGGTCTTTTTTCAATATTTTTTGTTCCTCTTAGCATTCCACACCTGCCCTCCAACAGCCTTCACCTGTGCCAATGGGCGATGTGTCCAATATCATTATCGCTGTGACCACTACAATGACTGTGGTGACAACAGTGATGAAGAAGGCTGCCTGTTCAGGAGCTGTAATGCAACCTCAGAATTTACTTGCAGTAACAGGAAGTGCATACCTCTTCAATTTGTCTGCAATGGTATCAACAACTGCCATGATAATGATACTTCCGATGAAAAAAATTGCCGTAAGTTCATCTGAAGCACTTATGCTTTGGGGTCTGAAGTCTTAGGCCACAGGAGATGAAATCTTTACATAAAGACAAAGCCTTTCTGAAAAAATAAAAAGCAATAAGTATTCATCTGAGACATAAATTTCAATTTACTATATAGTCTACTAAATGATTTTTAAAAACAACTCTACCTAATATTTGAATTATTCACCAAAATTTATGAATCTATTGACTATTTTAACAATTGACTATTTTAACCTTAAGTTAGGGTGAGCCCCTTGACTCAATCGATCAACAGGAAGCCTCCCTTGTAGCAGTTTGTGTGATCAAGGAGATGACAGTCTTCCTTAATTTCAAAGATTTCTGCCATTGCTGCTTGGCAGAACTTTCCCCTCAGAACCAATCATTGGTGAAGCTGTCACGACAAGAGAGTACAATTTTTAAGGAAAAAAAAAACTATACTGATATTTCCATTTCAATTAAAAATATAGGTCTTTTTTTTTTTTTACTACTTTTATAATCTTGTCTATGGTTTCTCACAGTTGCTTACTTTATTCTAAAATAATCTTAAAATGCCTATAATATCTCACTAGGGATAGGCAGTCAAAATACTGATTTTAAAGATATTTGAATTTTTTTATGGTGTGCTATCAACTGGTTTACCTTTCACTTCATTTGTTACTATTACTAAATTTTAGGAATGCTCTCCATTATCTGTTTTTATTTGTTTTTATTAATAAAAATAATGTACAATGCTCCATAGTGAAAATTGACAATGTACATTCACAGAGGTTATCATCCTTGCTCTCTTCATGCTACTCCCTCCAGTATCAGCTGGACATCTCTCTTTTTATATAGATGTATAGACTTATGTTGAAAACTGAGTGTCATGGATCATGCCTCTGATAACTTAGAATATACCTTCCTTCTGGTGGTTTGAATTCTGCAATTTTGCTAGCATAGTCAGTTTTTCTGATATATATGTGGTGGTATGGTGGATGTGTTTTAAATATTTATCTGTTTGTCTTTTTCAAGCTGACCGTACCTGCCAGCCGGGATACTCAAAATGTCAGACTACAAATATTTGTGTTCCTCGCCTTTACCTGTGTGACGGAGACAACGACTGTGGAGATATGAGTGATGAAAGCCCCATTTTCTGCTGTAAGATAAATCTGCTTCTTTTTCTGTGGTTCCAGGCATGCATGTCTTGAGCTTATACAAAGATAAATGACCTGGGTGTTTGGGTTAATTTCAATTTGTCATCTCAAATTGACCTTATGCAATAGGTAGTTCCTTGAGGAGGTGGTAGAGGGTGTGAGATGGCCCTTCTTTCTGTTCCCTGGTTGGATGCTCAACTCCAAATATTTTTTCCATTGACCTGCTCTGATTCCTAACCTTCTATAGCCCCAGATCCACTTTTTCTTAGAGCTGAGAAAATGCATAATTTGCCTGTTAAACCCTTATATTTACTCTTTCTATGACTGTAGTAATCTTTTCATCTGAAATAATTTTTCTTTTTAAATATATTTCATTTTCAGAAACCTTTATTTCTTATTTAGCAATTTCTTCTACTTACAGCTCAAATTAAAAGGCCTTGATAGCTTTGAGACTACTAGTATAAATAGATGCATAATTGAAAAATTTAGTGGTTGCTGCCAGACAAGTCTATGGTGCAAGAGTGGAAGTCACTTGTAGTAACAGCAGCAAAAGGAAGCAGAATTCTGGATGCAGCAATGTAGAGGGACAGAATGGAGCTGGTATTGACCTTTCAGGGACCTCTACTTATCAATTTTTCCCTAGCAGATGATTAGATAACATGGGCCAAAGCAAGGGATCTATGTAAACCAGAATTGTAAGACTTGACTCTGCCTCATACTCATGTAACAAATTTGGAAAATACATCCAACTAGAACTACCTAAGGCTCTATGAGAAAAGAATGAATATTCAAACACAGGCAGAGTATCTCATTTATTCAAATTCTCATGTAATGAGGATGTATAAAGGAGAACTTTGTTAACTTTCTGCAGTCATGGTCTAATATAGCTAACTAGTCGTGTGTGTACGCTCATGTTTTCCTTTTCATGATTACTTTAATAGCATTTATTAAATTTTGTTATAGCAGAAAGTGTAGAACCAAGTCTTCAATTACATAATTTGCAATTTTATGTATTATAAAGATAGTTCTTTGGTAATTCTAATAAGTACAGTTTACATTTTGGAATTCTGGAATCTAGAAAAAATTTTGGAAAACTGGAGGAATATTGCTTTCCTTCCCTCTCTTTTATATTCCTCCCTCCCAATAGAAAGCTTATATAGAAGTCCATTACCAGGCCTCATTCTTTCTTTCTTGGCATCTTTTATCTAGTTTAGAGATATAAGTAGATTATTAAGATGAATGGGAAAAAGTTTTGCTCAAGGGTTTTATTTTCTTTCCCTCCTCCAGCCACTCACACGTGCACCAGTGATGAATTCCACTGTACAAGTGGGCGCTGTATTCCTAGCCATTGGTACTGTGATAAAAATAGAGATTGTTTTGATGGCTCCGATGAACCTGACACTTGTGGTAAGAGAATAAGTATGCATGAAAAGCTTTAGGATGCAAATAGAGAATCTCTTTCAACTACTTTAGACTAAATTCATGGCTACTGGATTATTCCCTGTTCTTGCTCTCAGCTGAGATCCTGACACCACTGAGCAGACGTTTATAGCTTCAGGAATCTGTGGGGGTTGCTGATTGAGACATGGAGCTTGCCGATTGCTGCTAAGGAAATAAGATTATGTTGGTCACACACACAATATTGTTTCTGGCCTGTTGAACCCAGTTGATTTTAATTCAGTCAGTCTGATTTGGAATTTCTAAATTTGGCTTGAGTGCTGACCCTTAGACCATGGGAGGATCCAAAAGTGATTGGAATCCCCAGATACTCGAGGAAGGGGCATATAACAGACATGTATTCTCTTTCTGTTCTGTGAGCCATCTATGAGGTAAGATTCCATGAACATCTGAGTTTCCCAGGAAGTTTCAGGGATTCTGTGTTGTATTCCTCAAGGCAGTTGTGCCTGTTTGTGTTTGGAGACTGCTATTTATCTTTTGCAAGTTCTAATTTATATTTGTGAATATTTCAGTTATAAAAATATAAAGATACAGTCTTCTCCATTGCTTTTTTTATCTGTCAGTATATCATGTTGCCATATTGGTGTCAGCAAACTATGACCATGGGCCAGCTGCCTGTATTTATAAATAAAGTTTTATTTATAAAATATTGCCACATATTATCAGTAGCTACTTTTGTGCTACAATGGCAGTGTTGGGTAGGCGTGACAGAGTACATGTGTCCTGCAAGCCTAAAATAGTTACTGTTTGCTTAAAATTTGTTTGATGCCTTTATATAGTCTCTACATGCCTTTTAAAATATCTGTATACTATTTTATCTAGTTTTTATAGTGTCATTACCTGCCTCCATTTAAGGATTGCTTTTATTTTTCCCTCTATTATTATTGCTGCAGTAATCATATATAAAACTTATTTGGGAGATTTGTTTTTTAGGACCAGTAGTATAGTTTTACAACTAAATTCAGCTATTTTCTATGCCTGTTTTCTCTTGGGTTCAAGTTTTGTGCATAATAGTTATAGGGTGGGGTTTGGAGCTCTTTGCTATGTACTCTTTCCCCAACATTAAAAAGTTTGTGATGAGCAAAGTGCACATAGAGTTTTAAGGATCAGTAAGGGAAATAGTTATGATTGATAGGTGAGTAGAATAGTGTGAGAAATTTGTTAAAAACATGAGCTAGCAATGATGGTGGGGAAAAAAACAGTAAGAGTCAAATCTCCCCATAAAGAAGGTTCCCAAATAATTTATGGAGGTACACCACCCTCAAGGATGGGGAACATAACTCCCACTCCTTAGGTAGGGGCTGGCATAATGTCTTCTCTCCAGAGGGAACAGCATGGAAAGGGGTAAAGAAAATAACTTCACAGGCAAGAAACCTGACACACTACCTCAACTGGGTGATTAAGGACAATATCAACAGTGGTAAATAATTTGATAGTTTGTATGTTTAATATGATCTGATGAAAATGGCACTTTACATGTGTGCTCAATAAAAGAAAAAAAAGATGAGCTGTTGGTTCCAATATATGAAGAATAAATATAGTCTCTAAATTTCTTCAATGGAACGAAAGTAACAGACAGTTACTTTGTTATCTAGTAAGGGGAGACAGATAACAGCAATTAGTACCCAACCAATTTTAAATAAAAATAAGCAAGACTCTATATGTGAACCTATTCTCATGTGAGAAGTATTATTTTTTAAAACATAATAAGATATATACAAAAAAGCAAAATTCTCATTTTGTTGTACTTCTTATGTCCCCTCACTTCCCAGAGATAATTGTTAGTAAGGGTGAGAGTGAGTTCTCTTACCTTATTCTCTGTATCCTGATACATATTTTTTATTATTTATTTATTTATTTATTTATTTATTTATTTATTTATTTATTTATTTATTTATTTATTTATACAAGCACTGGGTACAGCCAGAAGCGCGGGAGGGTGAGAGAATTCACCAGAGCCAGAGCGGGGAGCAGAACAGGCAGAAAGACCGAAGTACACTGCTGAGGGGAGCAGTGGGCGGCAGGAGAGGTCTGCGCGCCATGTGGGACCCTCCTCCTGTGGCTGGTGAGCAGCCGGGGATCGAACCGGCGCGTGCAGCTTCGCAGCCCAGCGCTCAACAGCTGCGCCACCAGGGAGGCCCTGTATCCTGATACATATTTTTAAGATGCAAAAAAATATTACTACATGTATTTTTTGTCCCCCCCCCCCGCAACCTTTTTAGCTTAATAACATCTTGTCAGCATGTTAGTAGATACAGATTTATCTCATGCTTTTCTCTGCTGAGTGTTATTCTAAAGTGTGGATGTTCCTTGTGTATTTTTACCCCTTTTCTGATGACATGTAGATGGTTTACATTTTTTCAATCTGAAAAATAATGTTGAGCTGAATATTCTTTGGAAACCTCTTTACATATGTGTATTTTCTGGATTTCTAGAAGTGGTATTGCTATGTGAAGGGGAGATGTGTCTTCGAAAGTCTGTGTCAATGTATCCTTCTCCCTTACTAGCTTATGAAAGGTCTTATATCTTTCTTTTTGTGATCATTGTGATCACAATGGTTAAAATTCAGTTTTCTTTTGCCATAGATTAATTTTGAGGGGTCCCTGGTGATTAGTTTAATAGGGACATATGGGGATGATTGAAGAATTTGAATCAGAGTTGGCTAATTTAAAGCATAAAAGATGATTCATCATTTACACTAAAAAGGTATTTATTGAGCATTTGTGTTCTAGACTTTTTCAGGCTATGCCAGTAAATACGACTACATGGAGTTTATTATCTAGTGAGGGGAGACAGGCAATTAATACAACAGATAAGTAAATTACATACTATGTTTAAAGTTTCTAAGTGCTATGGAGAAAAGGAAAACTTGCAGGGAAACTGGCATCAGGTATACTGTAGAGATGGCATGCCATACACAAAAGAGTTTTGGATGAAAAGTAGATTTAAAAATAGAAGTACATGAAATAGTAAATTACATTTTATATCCCCTTGGGGAAAAGACTATTACTTCTATATCATATCTGTAAGGATATATTGAACTTCATCCAAGTAACAAAAGGTAATTAGGGTTTTGCATTGTTAGTCAGCTCCTCAGTCCTTAGACCATGTTGTTAGTGGCTCAGGTCTCTTTGGAGGACTAGCATAGCTGTGTACAACTAGGTAATTCTCTGTTTTCCAGCCCTTGCTACGGCAAGTTTCTCTCAGGATTTCTGGACAGCAAACTTTCTTGTCACCAAAGTTCTTTTTCTCTTTTTCAGTGTATAGTGTTGCAACATGCTTGAGTGATGAGTTCAAGTGTGACAGTGGGAGGTGCATCCAAAGAGAATGGATCTGTGATGGTGATAATGACTGTGGGGACATGAGTGATGAGGATGAAAGACACCACTGTGGTGAGTGAAACCAATTAATTTTTCTACAGAATTACATTCCAGGGAAACTCAATAGATTTGTTTTTCTGTCTTTGGGTAGTATATTTGTCAGGCAGATTCCTTTTTAATTGAATGCTAGTGATAGAATGTTGCTTTTACTTTTTCAGTCTGGAATTGATATCATTCACTTAAATGCTTTGAAATGATGAAAAATGATTTTAATATTTATTTTTTTCTTTTGCATTTAGCTAATGGAAATAACATCTTACATTTTTGAGAAGATAAAGAGAATTCAGTTGACCACTCTTAATATCCACTTTAACAGTGTAGCAATTAACTGTCTCCATTTTTTTCTGTTACCTTAGAACAACTATTATTTAGGGAAATGGGTTGGAGGAGGGTTAATCCTTTTAAATGAATTATGGAACAGACTACAAAACATTTTCCATTACCAGCAGAGTGTGGAACTCTTACCAAAGGTGTCTTAGAAAAGCATCCTTCCCTGGTAGAACAATAAAAGTAATGGCTTCCTGATATTTGCATTTGATCATAACCTCATGTGGCAGTGACTGTGGGGTGGTCCACAGCTGTACATTCACTATCCTCTGAAATGGGTAGCTAGCAACACAAACATGGACTGCTGCTTGCACTTCATTTGTCTTCTGTTCATCCATATGAAACTGGATAAAATACCTGTCCTTTCATTCTCTAGGCACTGACGATTATATGTTAGCATCTCATCTTTTTCCTAACAATGTGGTGGTTTCTGAAAACTCTCATTAACGTATACATCTCCTATATACCTTAATTCTTTTTTGGGGGTGGTAGCTATAATATAGGTAAAAGCGTCCTAAAGTTGAAGGAAAAAACCCCGACTCTTTAGAGTTCTGTGACTTTGAACCATCTAATTAAGCATTTTGAGTTTCAATTTTCTCATCTATTATGCTGGCAATAAAAATCTGCCTTACATTGTGTTCTTGTGATTAAGCTTTGTAAACTAAACATTGTTACCAAATATAAAGCATTTGTGATATCCAATTAACAAAATGGGAATAGTTTTTGAAGCCCTGAGGGAAAAATATGATCTTATTTTGGAATGGTGAAAAACTCAGGGTTTTATTATGCCTATTTGTTCTGAAAAAATTAAGGTACAAAGCACTTGATATAGAATTTTTGGATTATTTCCTGTTATAATCTATTATCACAGTAATGTGACTTGTCTATTTTCCCCATATTTCCTTTAATTTTTTTGATTGTTAAATGACACTTACCAAGAGAAATAATGATTCAGCATGATCCTGACTGCTAGAATGTTTCTGATTCTGTGTGCTTCCTTTCAGAGAGTTACACCTGCTCAGGCTCTTCGTTTCTGTGTGTCAATAGTGTGCCTCCATCCAGGAGGTGCATCCCCCTGTCCTGGGTCTGTGATGGTGATGTGGACTGTGCTGATGGCTATGATGAGCATCAGAACTGCACTCGGAGATCCTGCTCTGAAAATGAATTCACTTGTAATAATGGACTGTGTATCCCAAGTGTGTTCAGGTGAATTGGGAATTAAAATATTTCCCATCAAATCTCAAAAATCCATGGAACAGTACTTATCAATTATGGGTGGTAATGCAGTGCCTAGAGCCAGTGATACTTTTAATGTACAGTGTGGTCACTAAATATAATTTTTAGCAATTTTTTGAAGGCTGCAGTCCATGAAGGCAGATGTGCCTAAGGCTCATAAAGTGCATAATGTGACCTTGCACAGAAGACCAAGAAGATAAAGTGGACTTAATAGATGAATGTTCTTTCTTGAAGCAGATGCCCCTTTTGATTTTCCACTTAGGGTAGACACATGGGTACAAGAAATCCCTCACTGTCCTCTCTTGGCTGTAAGAAAGATAATAGTGCAAGCATGATGATAAAGTTTGGAAATTAGGCTCAGAGTCAATAGAAGTAGGTGAGGTGCTAAAAGATGTAAAATGCTATTGAGCATTCACAGGAATGGCAGGAGGATCATAATGTTTTGAGAGAGAGAGAAGTTGGAAATATGGATTTTTATATAAATATTCTGATTTTAAATGCCAGAACCAAATTTTAAAATTCTAGATAAATGTGAGCATCAAACAGACTCAGCCCATAGCCTGCCAGTTGGGAAACCTCTTCTGTAGTATTATGTTTGATTTCTTGTCATTTTCTGCATATGGACCATTTTTAAAGGTTTAAACATTTTAGGTGTTCCACCTTCTCATTATCTCCACTTGGCAACTTTTTGGATATATGGGGAAGTAGAGAAAGAAACAGCAATGTGTAGTTTTCAATCCTAAAGGATTTGGAGAGTAGTAAAAGATAAGTTTGCTATGGTAGGTCTTCCTGAGGTGAAAATGTGTAGCTGGCATTTGGATACATGGAACTGGAGCCAAGCAGAGACATTGCATCTGCTCAATATGTGCATATTGAGAGCAGCAAAAACCGTCAACATACAGATGGCTATGGAAGGTGACATAGAAAATAAATGAAGCAGGTACAAGATGGGAGCAGCAGAGGTTCTGGGATCATTTGCTTAGGGCAGGCAGTCCCTTGATAGGCCCTGAGGGGCTGCTGCAATACAGTGTGGTGCAAAATGGTGTGTTCATGATGGTGGCCCAGCCAGAGAAGGCGAAGTCACATCCTGCGAAAGGAATAGGTAGTTAACATTAAACAAAACAAAACAAAAATTAGTGATTAGGAAGGTAGATACATGTTATCTAGAAAATATGCTTTTGTGGGATGACTTAGCACCCAAAAAGGCCCAAGTAGACATTGGTGAAAGGTGGTAGTTTGCATATTGAAACCCTGAAGACATTCAGGAGATACACTTGTCTCCTTTTGTAGTGAAGTTGTATGTAAATATACTTTGTCTATGTTTAACTGATATTAATGCGATATGTAGATTTTTATATTTTGTAAGTTAAAGTGAAAAAATTTTATCTAATTTTTTTTCCCACTTAAGAGATTTATTATGATATACTGCTATATGGTGCTTTTGAATTTAGTATATAGTATCATTCCTGAGTATTGTCTGGAAACCTAGGCTTCTAGGGCATAGAATAATTAACTGATTTCTCTTTCCTTCCTTTGTTCTTTCATTCCTTCCTTTCTCTTGCTCTCTACCACCACTCCCTTTTCTTTTTGCTGAGCTTTCTTAATTGCTTTAGCCAAGGGCTATTGCAGAAGTGAAAAAATATTGTTAGTCTAGAAATATGAGCTATAAGACTTAAAATATCTACAAATTCTGTTTTCCCAAAGTGCCAATAGCCTCCAGCAAGTGTGCTGTGAATGTGCATACTCTTGCCCAGTTGACAGAAGGTGTGGTCCCTTGGTACAGTGGCACAAGGGATCATTTTTCTATTGACTTTTTTTCTCTTGACTCTTTCCTGATGCTGCTGAAGAACCTGGGTAAAACAGATGTGAGCAACTTGCTGGAATACTGACATTCAATTGTGTCTAAAAACGTGGTGATTTGCTTGCTTAACTAACTTGTTTTTCCTCTTGGTCTGGCTCTGAACTAAAGGAAAGAAAAAATTGGTGTCTCAAATCATTTGGAAATGAGTTAAATATCTCCCAGGAGATCAAATGGGGCTAAGCCAGCTTGCTTTGATTACAGCTATCTTTATAATTACATACATACGTTTTTGTATAAAGCACATTGGCAGTGCCCTAGGTTTGTGGAATGCCTTGCTGATTAGCATTCTTGACTATAGATCAATTGTGAAGTTAACCACATTCACTTTTAACATCTTTTAATGCTGTGTCTCCAGTTCCTACACCCTCTGTGTAATTTTTTTCATGATTTGTCATTAGCTTTGCCAATCCTCATTCAAGATTTCTTTATCCTTATGATGATGTTTGATACTATCATGAAGATCCTCTTCCATAATCATTGTCTTTCATGGGCTCTTGGAATATTGTGGAAAAGAAAGACAAACCTGACTCACAGAATTTCAGGAAACTATATTGTCTGGGAATGTTTGGTCCCAAAACAGCTTCTAAGACTCTGAAGTGCCTTCTCTCTTTGACAATATTCTGTGCTAATAGTTTCCTCTCCTTCTCAGCATCATAGCAACTCATATCTCATGGTAGCAGGAGAATCATAATAAAAGAGGGAAGAAATGGGACTGCCTATGTAAACAATACTTGATATGAAGATATATGTTCTTAGAGGACACCTCTAATAGTCTTATCATTTATAATTTGTAGTGCTCACCCTTGGGTAAGGGCTCTTTGGCCATAAGGCTACCCAAGACATTGCCTGTGCAATGAGTTTTCTCATTGTCTGATGTATAGACTTGATGAACACCAAAATTATAAAAGTATATTTAATTAATTCATTGGGAAAAATGAATCTTATTGTATATAATGACTCTAGACCCACATTTCTAAAGTGGCAGCCAGAACCTGGGGGTGCTAAATATTTGATTCTTCTAGGGATGAAGATTCTGGGGGAGAGAGTACTGAAGGCACTGGTGGTTGAAATGGTCAATTTGGCATTCAGAGGCAGAAACAAATCCCTCAGTATGTGATAGTTGAGCATTGTTGTCAACCTTTCAAGTGTGGTACTGGGTCTCTCAATACAGGTGTGACCGGCGCAATGACTGTGGGGACTCCAGTGATGAAAGGGGGTGCTCATATCCGACCTGCAGGGAAAATGAATTTACCTGTCAGAATGGGCTCTGCATTTATAAGGGCTATGTCTGTGATCTGGATAATGATTGTGGAGATAACTCTGATGAGCTGCATGACCTGTGCCACACCCCAGAAACCACATGCCCCCCTCATCAGTTCAAGTGTAATAATGGGAACTGCATTGAGATGGTGAAAGTCTGCAACCTCCAAGATGACTGTTTAGACAATAGTGATGAGAAAGGATGTGGTGAGTATAATAGAACATTTGGGAAGAATGGGGAGACTGAATGTGGATTCTCAACCCTTCTCAGCCCATGCTGTAAATACAGTATTACCAGAAAATTACTATTGCTTGTCTACCAAAGGCAACAATTTCTTGGTAAGGTCAGTACACAAACATTATTATTATTAATTACTCAGGCTGTCATTGGAGAACAGGAGATGAAAATTTCAGGTCATTAGTACCTGAAAACATTGTTAAATAAGGCAAATAATGTTAATTATCTTTGAACCCTTGGAACCACTTGTTTCCTGAACAGTCCCTCTACTAGAATTCCTTAGCCTGTTCTTCATTTTCACACTTATGTGATTGAAGGGAAGGGTTTTAACCCCCCTCATTCATTCCCACAAGTAGACAATGGAGAATTTATAAAATATAGAATTAATAAGAATATGTTCTCTTCACTGTGTAGATACTTTTCATTTTTCATAGGAGCAGCCACAGTATACCCAATAGAGTGCTGGTCAATTCATCCTATCTTGAGAGAGCCAAATACGTGGTTTCTCCCAGCCCTTTGTTCAGAGATGTCCCCTGGTAGTCTGAGTGTGGCCGCTGCGTGAGTAGTCATACACCACTGACATGGAAGATGCTGCAAATCAGGACATTATTTATCCCAGAGACCTGTTTTGCGAGTACACTAATGACCAGACTCTTCTGTTCTCCATTCTTCTATCTCTTGCCATTGTACTTTTAAAATTATTGGTAAAACCAAGGTTGGCCAGTATAGGATTAGAAGTCAAACTCAAGCTTGCTAGTTGTATTAATTGTTAAAACCACCAGTGAAAGATTAAGTTGAGAAGGAAATTAAAAAGTAGTGACTTTGGGCCTCCCCGGTGGCGCAGCGGTTGAGCGCTGGGTTGCGAAGCTTCCCGCGGCCTCTGCGGCGCCGGTTCGATCCCCGGCTGCTCCCCGGCCACTGGAGGAGGGTCCCACATGGCGCGCAGACCTCTCCTGCCGCCCGCTGCTCCCCTCAGCAGTGTACTTCGGTCCTTCTGCCTGCTCTGCTCCCCTCTCTTGCTCTGGTGAATTCTCTCACCCTCCCGCGCTTCTGACTCTACCCAGTGCATGTACAAACAAACAAACAAATAAATAAATAAAAATACATGCCTCTTTAAAAAAAATAAAAATAAAACCTAGGGTGCAGACAGTGAGAGATTAAAAAAAAAAAAAAAGTAGTGACTTTTATAATCTATAGCTTGTAGAAGTCCCTTATGGTCTGCCTTCTTTTTGCATGACTAATGAAAAATTGGAGCTCTCTGGTGGAAATGTTAATGTTAGATGATGATGGTGACTCCATTGCTGACATTTTAGATTCTCTAATAGTTGTCTTTTATCTACAGGCGTTAATGAATGTGATGACCTTTCACTCAGTGGCTGTGACCAAAACTGCACAGACACCCTCACCAGCTTCTATTGTTCTTGTCGCCCTGGTTACAAGCTTCTGTCTGATCAGCGCAGTTGTGAGGATATTGATGAATGCCAAGAGACGCCCTTTGTCTGTAGCCAGAAATGTGAGAATGTCATGGGCTCTTACATCTGTAAGTGTGCCCCAGGCTACATCCGAGAACCAGATGGAAAGAGTTGTCGGCAGAACAGTAACATTGAGCCCTATCTCATTTTTAGCAACCGTTACTATTTGAGAAATCTAACTACAGATGGCCATTTTTACTCCCTCATTTTGCAAGGACTGGGCAATGCTGTGGCACTGGATTTTGACCGGGTAGAAAAGAGATTGTACTGGATTGATGCAGAGAAAAAAGTCATTGAGAGAATGTTTTTGAATAAGACAAGTAGGGAGGTGGTTATAAACCACAATCTACCAGCTGCAGAAGGACTGGCAGTAGACTGGGTTGCCAGGTAAGAAAACACTGAAAAACATTTTGAAAGTTAAGTTTTTTTAAAGGCATTCAAACCATGTTTTCATTGTCATAAGGCATTGATCTTTTTAACTTGTTTTAATATGTGAATACACTTAAATGCATTTTTTTTTTCCTGATACATACCTACTACTCAAACCAGATACCACAGAACCAAAAGTCTAGTGAATCAAAGAATTCATAGTACCATTTGTATGGGGAGGGGGATCACAAGGGAAAAAAGAACTCTACTAATTGGTGGCCACTCAATTAACTGGAGAAGATATTAATGGGTGATTCATGGATTTTTGGTGCATTTAATTTTTAAAATTGCTTACTATGCTATGTCAGGCATGACTAAGCGTCTAGAGTTAAGCAAGACAGACATAATCCCTGCTGTCTTGGAGCTCACAGACTTGTTTATAAGGCTCTAGTCATTCCCAGCATGCGATGGCCATGAAATAAAGAATGAATAACCTGAAACTCTTTTGTTTTGAGTGTTTTTAAGAAAGGCCTGTGATATTTTAACTAAATTTTACCAGATCAACCACACTTCTTAACATCTCTATTGAATAGTGAGTAGACCAGATACTCGGTAGTAAAAAGTAGTTGACTTTATGGTTAACAGATGTGAAGCTCAGGCACTTGGACTGTAAATATTATTGCTGTTATCAGCCTGGACTTCCAGAGAGCTCTTCTCATTTTCCCTGTTTGATTATCTTAAGGGTAAAGATCCTAAAATGGCAGGGGATGAGGGGTGTGGCTCTAGAGTTTTACCAATCACCTGATTAGCTTATCGGCCATGGGTGCTCAATAAGTAAGTGCTTGCTGAATAATAAACACTGACTATATGACTAAAGGTATTGTATATATAGTGGCTGTACTCAGTGTCAAAGCAGAAATTTCTGATTTGTCGGAACAGAACTAAATGCAGCACTGCTCCTATCTCATCCTTTGCCCTAGTGAAAGGAAAAAAATAATTTAACTCTGAGATATTGTCATTTAGCCCTCTCCCCCACAAACTGGTAGGATGATATTATCCCCGGGTTTCAGTTATTTCCCTCTTGTTAACTGAAAATAGTCTCTCAATAGATAAAGAGTTTATTAGAGAATGAAAGCAAGGATTTGTTATTATTGCTATCCTTAGACACTAAAATTATGGACTCCAAACTTGTAGCCATCTCATTCACTGGGATTTACCCAACTGAATTACTTATGCATTCTCATTCTCAAGCCTAAAAAAATGCAACTCTCCTAATAGTTGAATATTCCGATACCTACGATGGTAGGATTAAGGATTCCTTCTTGCAAGGAGACATTCCAGCCTTTTGCAAAGGAAATCATTTTCCTTGCAGTTGGAATTGACCACTAGATCCTAAATGACACTGAATTCTAGGGGCATTGAACCATTTGGATCATTATAGAAGCTTTAAGATTCTGATGAAAACCATGGATCCCTTGCTGGTTAAAAGCACTTAACATATTTTACATTCAGTTTTAGAGGATTCACATCCCCAAAACCTGGCTATCCTGATGTCAGGGTAAGAACCCTAAGTTAGGAGCCCTTGTCATATGGAAAATAAATGGATATTGAATAGCACTATATATAGAGAGCTGAAATATCTCTGAGCTAGGAGTTTCTAAAACTTCATAAGTTTAAGTAAGATGGCATAGGGTAAGAAATTTGCTTTGCCAGTCTAATATGACAGGGCCACAGAGAAGAAAGGTTTTTCTACCTTAAGGATGTCATCTTTCACAGGTCCTTTGTGCAGTCTTAATAATATATTTGACAAATCTGGTCCCTCAGCTACACCATTTAAACTGTAATTCATGGATGGCACTCTTTGCTCTCACTTGTTTCCCTGTTCCTCTAAGTCTCTGTATTTCCTGGGAATGATGCCTTATGCTGCCTGAAAAATAGTAAAGCCAGATCTGTGTGAGATGTGGTGCTCAATTCTCTATGCAACATCACTTCTAGGCAGGAAATGTGGCATACACTTGCATCTTCCTTTGGCTATTGCAGGAGGTCAGTTTCCTGTTTCTTCTTGCCCTTGTTTGGGGAAAAGTGCCTTCTCACAGCTGTCTGTGTGATTCGAGGTAGCTTGTCTAGGAGATTGGGTAACTAAATAGGCCCCATTTCACAATCAAATTAACTGTATCAGTAACTCTTGACTCTCCATTTTAGGAAACTCTATTGGGTGGATGCCCACTTGAGATGCCTCTCTGTCTCTGACCTCAATGGCCAACATCGCCGCAAGCTGGCTGAGCACTGTATGGATGTTAACAACACCTTCTGCTTCGAAAATCCCAGAGGAATTGCCCTTCACCCTCAATATGGGTATTGTCTCCCCATAATATTGGACTCTTCTTTCATGCCCTTATTCCACCTCTATTACCAAAAAGATTGTTTGTATAGTTGTCTCAATTTCAATATCTTGCTGGGATTTGTCTTTTGCTTTTCCTAACTGGTAAATGGCTTAGTATAATGGGTAGAAGCATGGTTTGTTTGAATAATATTCATCAACTATTTTTCTTTCCTTTGCCATGACATACATACTGTTTCACTGTGCAAGCTACACATTTTGATTGTGTGCAAAGGACATTTTGGTTTAAAAAAAGGCTATTTTCACTCACATTTCCATGTTAACTTAAATTCCAAGCTATTCCTGTTTATTTTATTTTTTTTTTTTTTATAGAGGCATGCTTTATTATTTAATTTATTTATTTATTTTGTTTTGTTTTGTTTTATACATGCACTGGGTACAGTCAGAAGCGCGGGAGGGTGAGAGAATTCACCAGATCCAGAGCAGGGAGCAGAGCAGGCAGAAGGACCGAAGTACACTGCTGAGGGGAGCAGCGGGCGGCAGGAGAGGTCTGCGCGCCATGTGGAACCCTCCTCCGGTGGCCTGGGAGCAGCCGGGGATCGAACCGGCGCCGCGGAGGCTGCGGGCAGCTTCGCAACCCAGCGCTCAACCGCTGCGCCACCGGGGAGGCCCTATTCCTGTTTATTTTTAAACATTTCTTATATATCATTTCTTTTAGGTTATTTTCTGTTAGGATGTTCTGTAGTATGCAAACTCTGTTTCTCTGTTTGGAAAAGAACCATGTCTTTTGTCTTTGATGTCTTTTGGTTTTAGGGACTGACATCTTGTGTTTGCTCCAATAGGTATGTCTACTGGGCAGACTGGGCTCACCGAGCATACATTGCGAGAATTGGCATGGATGGAACCAACAAGTCTGTGATTATCTCTACCAAGTTAGAATGGCCCAATGGCATCACCATTGATTATACAAATGATCTAATCTACTGGACTGATGCTCACCTGGGTTACATCGAGTATGTATACAAAAAGAATAAAGCAAACAAGGACACTCTTTATTCCAAGCATCAGGGTTTGTGTTGCCAGTGTACTATTCCCATGTAGCTTCTAACTGGTCTGTGTGTTGACTGTCACTCTGAGGTTACTTTCAATTAAGACTCTTTATAGGTAGTTCACTGAACTCTGTAGGGTGCAGTAGAAAGAATGAGAATTTTAATGTTGTACAGATCAGATTTTGTCCTAATGCTTATACTTCTGTTTTTTTTTTTTAACATCTGTAAAATGTTGCTAGCATTCTCTACCCGATGGTTGTCAGTTTAATGTTCAACTCATTCTAATTTCCTTATCTCTTTTCTTTGTCCCTCCATCCTAATAGATGATTAATAGGTTTTAGTATTTGAAAAAAGAAAAAGAGTGAAAGTGCTGAAAAGGTTTCCCCTAAAATACATATGTTAAGTACAATGAAGTGTTTTTTGTATGATAATGTAATAAAATCTTTCTAGTAGTAGAATAATTCAAAATATTTTGAATGTCATACTGTTCAATGAAAAATACTCATAAAAAAGATAATACTTGTTATTAGCCAACCAGTATTTTTAATTAGGGACATTGCTTGTTGAATTGTAGTAATGTCAACTAGGTAGGTATTTATGAACAAGTACCCAGGTACACAACCTGTTGCTGTCAAAAACATGGAGTTACCATCATTTTAAAAGGGTTTAAGAATGTTGTCATTCTATTAAATTAATTTTGTGCCAAAGTCAAGGTAGAAATTTTTGTAGAATTTAACTCTGCCTAATATCCCATTTTGAGTTAGTAGCATCAAGGTGTTCAAAGAAGCTTGAACAATTTTCTTGTTGAAATTTTATTGTCCTTTAGGTTTTGTAGGTATATACTATTTCAAGAAGCATTAGAAGCAAAAAGGAATTTTCTATCTACTTCATATTGACCGTTCTCTTTGACAAAATGTGATATTGATTATTTGTGTAGTTGAATTCTATAATTCAGGCAGTAGGTTACCATCTAAAAGTCAAATCATAATATCAGGCACTGTGATCTTGGAGTGAATAAACCTTTAATATTCAGTGAGCCAGGTAGCCCTATTGACTTGATCAGCTCTTGAAGAGGAAGCAGTGCCTATTTTATAAATTTGACTATGTAAAGCAATACATTTTTTATAAAGTATCCAGTTCATTTCTTGTGCATCTTGGGATGTACAACAAATCCATATAGCCATGCCTATGGTTCTATAAAACATATATACAAAAATATCCACAGAGTTGTCAGATCTCTATACTGAGTTTATGTAAAAACTAAAAGGGAAGGTCTCAAGAAATTTTTTTTTTTTTTAAGGAAACTGAGGATGACAAAGTTCTGGTCATTTTCCTGGACTCTCATCAACAGAGGTCAAGAAAGTCTTCAAGTTTTCCTATAGTTTCTATAAATTACCATAATTATGATAGCTTGGAAATTATATTTAATATGGCATGGCTAACATTGTCAAGTTTCTTAGTTGCAAGCTTATTCTAGCTCCTGTTTAAGTTTTAGGGTCTGTTCCAAAATTTAAAAATATTTAAATATCAGTATTTTGATATAGCCACCTAATAATTAATGAGACATGGAACTAGAAGGACATGGAAATATAGCTGTGGATGCTCTGCAACATCTTGAAATCAGAGAACCTCCTCTGGATATTTATTCATCTGGAAAAGTCTTTATTAATGGTGCCCAGGGCTTGATTAATAATGAATGTGCTGCCCGTGTGTACAGAGTTAACCCTGAAGGCCTATAATTTAACTCAGCTAGTATATTCCCCTTGGGTTATACTGAGAAACCAGCTGTCTCTTAAAACTGCATTTCTCTTGAAATGTTCATGAGAAGGCAGAAATCCAGCTTTATATTGCTATCCTCTGATTTCTTTCAATGACTTAGGAAAGAAAAATGTATTCATCTCAGGATACTAACAGGATGCTGAATGGAGAAGATCAATGTAAGAGTCTGTAAACACATCAGTTGAACCAGCTGCATCTGCAGGAAAGCAGTTGTGTTAGGAATTAGCAATTGAACTCCAATGCTATTCCTATTGCATCTTTTATATAGTTTATTCAGGCAAACTATCCTTTGAGCTTTTGTTTTAATTAGATACTAGGAATTTTGGGGAGAGTCTGAACTTCAGTTGCTTGTGGAAGGTAGAATTTTCTTTTTTGATTTGTCACCTCCTATTTCCTTAAAGGCATTAGAGAGAAGTTGTCTTCATTGAGTGACTTTCTACCTCCTATCACAGGTACTCTGACTTGGAGGGCCACCATCGGCACACAGTATATGAAGGGATATTGCCTCATCCCTTTGCTATTACCATTTTTGAAGATACTGTTTACTGGACAGATTGGAATACAAAGACAGTTGAAAAGGGAAACAAATATGATGGATCACATAGGATGGTGCTGGTGAACACAACACATAAACCGTATGACATCCATGTGTACCATTCATATAGGCAGCCCATTGGTGAGTAGATGATTCAGAAGTTTGACACATTTGCGTGCATGGTATATATGTCATTCTTGTTTCTGTGAGCATATACACCATGATTTATGAAAGGAATGGCATTAGTTGTTAATTTTCTGCAGAACATATGTTGAGAGTATAACTTTAGATTTCTTTCCCCCTATTTCCAGGAAAGACTGTTTTCTCAATACTGCTCTATTCTTAAAGATCAATCTTGATCTTTGTTTTTGATAAGGGTAAGCAGTTATTATGTTGCCATATTTACTTTATTTTTATGGGAAAAATGAAAAAGTGAGTTGGAAAAATTGTGACATTTCAACCCTAAACTTAAGAAAGCACCTTTGAAAAATAAGGACATTTCCTGTATAACCACAATAAATTATAACATCTAAAAGATTAACAGTTATTCCCCAATGCCAAGATCAATTTATTGAAATGATTGAATTAAAATAAATGTTTTAAAGACAATGACAAAACATCATTTATTAAATGTCTATTTGCATGTAACAGTGCATTATGTATTAAAATGTGTGTTAATGTCTATTTGCATATAACATCATATTATGTATTAAAATGTGTGTTATTCTTGCCATCTATAATAATGCCAAGAATAATGTCTTTTGTGAAGAGCAACACATTACAGTGTCTCATAAGTTAGGGAATTTAATGTTTATTTGCTTGTGAACTTATATTCCTCATGCAGTGAAAGAAATTTTATGCTTTATAAATAATCTAGCAAAAGTCTATAGTATACTTTGGAGATAAAATGAATTAATTCTGTTGGTCTGCTTTGTTGCCGTATCTTGCTGAAGTATCTAAACTTGAAAGGAAGAAAAATGCAAATTGGCAAAATAAAAATATTTAGTATTTTTCCCCTGAAGTTAACTGTATTCAGATTATTTAGCAAAAGTTCAAATTAGTTTTCACTTCCAAAAGGTGGCCCAGAAAACTAGTAAAGATGCTGCTTGGTTTAACCACCCACTGCATTTCTGTTGCATGTCCATAGAATGGAAGAATATAGCACCTGCTGGAAATTAAAACTTCAACTTAGCTTCTGGCATATGAGCATAAGCAACGTGTGTCCTACCTGTTCTCCAAGAACTGAGAAACATTTCTTAGCCCAAAACTCTAGAGGTTATCCTCATTCCTGGTAGCATAAATATTGGTTTTCTCAAAGCACCAGGTTGCTTATAGAACTGCCATCTGTCCTGTTTATGAACATTTGGATAATGCGTGAAACTGGGATATTGATTTTCCTTACTCTCTGAGTGGTGATGATTGCTTGATACTCTCTATGCGTGAATGAACATGTATTTTACTTTTTCTTTCATTAGTGAACAATCCTTGTGGGACCAACAATGGTGGCTGTTCTCATCTCTGCCTCATCAAAGCAGGAGGAAAAGGATTCACCTGCGAGTGTCCAGACAACTTCTATACCTTACACCAGGGGGATGACATCTGCCTGCCCATGTGTTCTAGCACCCAGTTCCTGTGTGGTAACAATGAAAAGTGAGGCTCTTTTCTTTTTCCACTGCCTCTCCATCCCTTAGACACACACCAAACTTCAAGTTTCAGGGGATGTAAGTTTTCTAAGGAACCAATATTTTGGCTGGTTAATGTGGTTCATTTGGAATACTTCAGAGTCTCCAGCTTCAGATAACTTCTTCCATAAATAGAAACAAGTTGTTGACCAAGTGGTTATGACTATGTATGCAAGTTTTTTTTTTTTCATCTGTAGAGAGGAAGCAAACTGTGTTTTATGTTTCTAATAAATTTTTCTCAGTGTCAGGGCCAAGAGTATTGTAGGTGTACACTGAAAAACAACCTTTAAGAGTGACAGAATTTCTCTTTTCCCCACATATGCCAGAGGATCCAGCATTTCATATTCAAATCTATTTTTTTTTCTTTAAATTTATTTTTTTTATTAGATAATAAATTTTATTGTTACATTCCCCATACAATTGCAGCCCCCCCATTCTGACCCCAATCCCTCCCCTCCCGCCCCTGCCCCCCTAAAAGTGTCTCTGGTTCATAGTTTTTTGTTGATTTTGATTTTCACTTTCTTATAGTTATTCATTTTCCTGGTCCCTTATTTAAGTTTTCTAGATTCCTGCTATGAGTGAGACCATCCGGTATTTTTCTTTTTCTTTTTGGCTTATTTCGCTGAGCAGCGCCATCCATGTTGCTGCAAATTGCATGTGTTTATCTTTTTTGAATGCTGAGTAATATTCCATGGTATATATGTACCACATCTTCTTGATCCAGTCATCTATTTTTGGGCATTTGGGTTGTTTCCAAAGCTTAGCTTCAAATCTATTTTTAATCATTTGTGTTTGTTATGAAAGATCACCACAGATTATTCCGTAACAATGGCCATAGGCCATTGATGACCACAGGACTGAGTCAGAGGGAGGTGTGGGAGGGGTGTGAATGCAAATCACAGCATCTAAGATTTAATGGCAGGTTATTTTGTCAATTAAATAAGGTCTCTTAGATTAAGATAGCATACATCTATCCTGACATAGGCTCTCAATAAATGTGCTTCTAGCCACTGACCTTCTCCTTTCTCCACATATGGTGGCCTCGCTCCTTTGCTAACAAACTAACACAATTGCACTGTTTGTTATGGCAATGAAATTTAATGATAATACTCAAAGCCTCTTTTCAGAAGTATTTGAGTTTAACAAACCTGTTCTAGCTCATCTGGTTATGTTTTCTTTGAGAACATACATAGTAACTGAGTTTTCACTGGTCTTCTCTTGGGCTGGCAGAGAACTCATGTGAAATTCAGTTTTGACTTCTCTCCAGAGAGCCATTGCCACTCGCCCCTGCCCCTCTGCTTTTCTAAGGGAAGTCTTTCTCTATTGTGCAGGTGTATTCCTGTCTGGTGGAAATGCGATGGACAGAGAGACTGCTCAGATGGCTCTGATGAATCTGCCACATGCCCACAGCGTTACTGCCCATTAGGGAAATTCCAGTGCAAGGATGGCAACTGCACCAACCCACAGACCATCTGCAATGCTCACCAAGACTGCCCTGATGGCTCTGATGAAGATCATGTTCTTTGTGGTGTGTTGAATTGCTTTTTGCCTCCTTGGTCTATTTCTGCAGTTCATTATGTATAACCATGATTCTGTGTGTATTTTCCGAATATCACAAACCAAAATCCTGTCCAAAGTCTTTAGGAGAAAGCTCAGAGTTCATCCTCTAACTATGTTTATAAGGTTTTTTAGACTATCTAAGATCTCCCTAAGGCAAATGGTTGAGGTAAGTGTACATTGGTGGCTCCTTACCATGGGTTATGCATGGCGTCCTCCTTGAGAACTAACATGAAGGGCACAATGAGAGTTCCCTCTTCCATTTTAGACAAGGATTCTCAGTTGTAATATTTATTTGTTTCCATTTTTTCAAAACCAAAAATTCACCGCAGTAGCTCTCCAACCTAAAAACAAAACGTGAACAGCAGCAACAAACACATAGTGAGAAAAATATACTTTGGGGGAATGTAGACAAGGGAAGGTGAATTTAATTGCCCATCAGTGATGATCTAGTCCCCTAATTCTGCATGCAAGAAAGAGATAGTGAAGAATTTAGGAGACTAATAGTTAAAGGAGTGACTGTCCCTCTGTGATACTGGTTGATAATACGTGCATTAGGACATAGGTCCTCTAAAAGCAAATTATGATTGAGGTCTTCAGGATCCGTGTTTGCACATTAGGAGCTCCTGTTTGACATCTTCCAGGCTGATAACCAAATATCCCTGCTTGCAGAGCATCACCGGTGTGAGTCCAATGAATGGCAGTGTGCCAACAAACGTTGCATCCCAGAGACCTGGCAGTGTGACTCGGAGAACGACTGTGGGGACAACTCAGATGAAGACAGTTCCCACTGTGCCAGCAGGACCTGCCAGCCAGGCTATTTTAAGTGTGCCAATGGCCGCTGCATTCCTCAGTCCTGGAAGTGTGATGTAGACAATGACTGTGGAGACTACTCAGATGAGCCCTTCCAAGAATGCAGTAAGTTCCTAGGGGAAGGATAACATGACCAGGAGCAGGTGTAAGGGAACACTAGAATCTTGGTGTCAATTGAGAGAGGATTTGGATCCCCCTGCTTCAGCCCCATGGGACACTTTCTCTTGGTTCTCTGCTATCCCTGCCCTGCAAGCCCAAGTACGACTGCATGGCTTGTAGGCTGAACCACCCCCTTTTTCTGAAGTGGTTGCTTCCTGCTCTTTATATACTAAACTATCCAGAATACAATAACAAAGACTTACATTCTGTATATCTAACACTTTATTATTTGAGCCTCAGAGAAACATTGTGAGGCAGAGAAGATGGGTGTTGCCAATTCCCATTTTACAGATGGGGAAACTGAGGTTCACAATTTAAATGATGCTTACATTTCTACTTAATGGCAGAGCCTACCCTTCAAATTTTTTTTAACTTCAAGCTCAGATTCCCCATGTCCACCCCCACCCCAAAATACACACACACAGAGTGACACTACAACACAAATGAATGATACTGAGATAGAAAACTTAAGATTCTTATCCTTTTGTTCTTGGTGAACAGATTACACCTAAAACAAACATCTGCCAGAGTCGATTTCATTCATAACTTGATAATTTCATTTATAACTTGATAATTTAGCACCATGTCCTAAATATGACAATGGAAAAGCATCTTTTGTTTTCTGGGCAGGACTGAGACCTCAGTTCTGACTTTGCTACTTTTCTATCTTTTCAGTGAGTCCTGCCTACCGCTGTGACAACTATACGGAATTCAGCTGTAAAACAAACTACCGCTGTATCCCAAAGTGGGCTATGTGTAATGGTCTGGATGACTGCAGGGACAACAGCGATGAGCAAAACTGCGGTAGGAGGGACTGCAGGGCGATGGGCAGTCCAAGGAGACTTATGCAAGTGTCATTCCGGGGAGATGGGATTGGAATTCCATGCACCTTCCCTTTGTTTATCTTTGAAGTCTATTAGATTCTATTGATTCTTCTGACAACATATTATATTTTTATAGCAGTTTATAGGGGTATTGGGGGAATTTAATTTATATAATCTTAAATGAAATTCCATCCCAAGGGATACTATAATTGGGGAAGGCATTATTAAGATATTATGAACTTGTGTAATTTCTCCCAAGTGTAGGTTGTTTGTCTAATCATATACATTGATTAAAGTTGGTGGAATTTGGGGGTGGGGTAGAGAAAATGCTTGGTATTTATAACAAAAAGGATATTTCAAAGTCAGATTATTTTTTATTTGGAGATTTTCATATTCTGAATATTTTGCCTGCTTTCCATATCTTCTGTTGGACAGCTTAGTTACCGTGGATGGGGAAAGAACTTATAGACAAAAGGCCAAACCAATTATTGGAATTTGTCAAGATTATGTATATACTCTAATTTGGATCCAAAATGTCTATGAGTGTGTTACAGTTAGTTGGAAAAGAGATAAGAAAGTGAAAGGATTATTTTTAATAACACTAAATCAAATCAACAAAAGTCTGTGTGACAAAACTCTTTTGTTATCTGGTGACATCATGTAGACTTTCTTTCCCAGTTGCAAAATACAAGCCAGATACCAATTCATTTTCTATAAAAGAGAATAAGCCTAGTTTCAAGCAGTAGGATAGGTTCAGGTTAGCTATAAGAGGAAAATTGACAGTGTTACTGACACTCTTCTTGCTAGGAGTTTCAAGAACGTGGTAGCATAACTCGCATACTGTCTCACAAGAGAGTCAAAACTACTTTGACATTTCTTAACCATTGATTTCTGAAATTCTGGCAATGACTGTGCTTTGCAGAGGAGATGACATGCAAGCCTTCAGGGGAATTCCGCTGTAACAATCACCACTGCATCCCTCTTCGCTGGAAATGTGATGGGCATGATGACTGTGGGGATCACTCAGATGAGGAAAGCTGTGGTGAGTGTTCAGGGTTCTATCATCCTGAGGTGCCACCAGAGCTGTGATTGATGTCTTCTCTTGGTCTACAGTTCAATCGTCTATGTCATTGATCCTCGAAGGGTGGGAAGACAGCCACCCGGCATCTTGATTTCTGCTCTCTTCTCTTTGACTAAAGAAGAGATACTTATAATCAAGCTTTGGGAAGAGGATGTTTACCCAAGTCTATCTTTTATCTTTTGAATTTATCTACACCCCCAAAATTTCCCAAAAATAATGTGAGGTGATTTATAATAAAGGACAAATGTAATAAGATAAATAGGATAGATATAGAAAATCAGGACCAAGAGAAGTAGAGAGGAAATGTGCTAGCCCTAGGATGCTTCATAATTTTTTGCTCTCAAATAGCCTCTGTAGCAGAAGAAAGAGATGTTGTGTTTTGGATTGTCGTGTGTCCTAGAATACTGACTATTATAGGTGGGTGAATGGTTAAGTGACAGGCCAGGTTTCAATTTTTTCTTCCAGTGAAGGCACTGACTACAAGGAATTGAGAGGTGGAGGGAAGGAAGCTGAAGGTGTGGATCACAGATCACATCAAGGAGCTAGGCCAGAATAGTGGGTTTGTTTTGAAAAGCCCTGCTTGGAACATATCACTGACTCATGATATATGTTAATTTCAGATTGACTAATATATTTTGACCTTAGTCACTTTCTGGAAGTAAGAAATGATCACTATTTGCCATAGACAATTGAGAGAATCAGGCTGTTGACTACACCTGCAAATACCAATCAGCTAAAGACTTCCTACACAAAAAGGGTGATGCAACTGGCATTTTATTGTTCGTTAAAATGTTCATGTTGAGTCCTACAGGAGATGACCTGGTGTTTCATGAACTAAAAAATTATCTTATGATTAAATCACCTTTGGACAAATAAAGGCCATTCCTTGTAGACTTGAGATTGAGGGGGACGATCTATTTTTGGGGGAAGGATAGCCTCTGGACTTGGGACATAGAAGGGCCTTGGGCACTGAGGGCACTTAGGGAAACTCACAACCCTGTCTCCTGTGTGTGATTCCTGGCACCCACTGATGACCAAGTGGCTTTCCTTTTCAGTCCCCCGGCAGTGCTCGGAGAGCGAGTTTCGATGTAATGACCAGCGGTGCATTCCTTCCCTGTGGGTCTGTGACGGCCTCAATGACTGTGGGGACAACTCAGATGAGCGGGATTGCGGTAACTCAGAGCTCTTGGGGAGACTTTCTAGTCTTATACTAGGATCAGCATATTTGACAGAAGTAGTGACTTCAAATGAGTATGGTTTTACATAATAAAATCATATTGTGTAATTTATGTGATATGTAAACCTTAGCATAAAATAGTACATTCTATTTTTTGTTTGCTTTTAACTTACAACAGTCTAGATGAATAGAGGAAAATTGTGAAAGATTAAAAAAAAATCTCCTTTTAACTTAAGTGTTTTCTAGGAGCAGTTTTTAATCTGTATTGGCCTTGTAAACAAATAAAAGCACCAGTCTTCCTACTGTTCCCTTAGAAAGTGACCTTATAGGGTATATTACTATAGTTTCCTGGTGTGAGAACACTAGAATAGGAGTCATAAGCCACCCCTTCCAACCCCCTACCCCAACTCTTTTTTATAACTCTTCAATGATTTAAGACTGGGTATGAGGAAAATCCAGAAATATTAAAAGTTAGGGATTTCAGATGCCTAAGGAAAAGCTTATGAGTTTAGGATTATGTAATAGAGGACAGCCAGGTCCTTCCACCTGCATATCATGAATAGGGCAGGTGTTTGTTTGAGAGTGTATTCATTTGCAGTGAGCCAGTCACAGGGTGTGGATAGGAATGGGATGGAATACTTACCTATTCCATGGAGATGATCCCTATCTGAGAATGACAAGGCCTCTGGGAATGATAGTCTTTTCTTTACAGACATGAGGACCTGCCATCCTGGATATTTTCAGTGTTTGAGTGGACACTGCGTGCCTGACCATTTGAAATGTGATGGAATCGCTGATTGTCCTGATTTCTCTGATGAATCTGCTTGTCGTAAGTTTTTAGACACTTGTGGCACTCTTTGTCTGAAATATATTCATATAGCATTTGGATCTCATCTCTGTTATCAGCCACCAGTTCTTAGATTAAAAGGTCGTAGATATATTCTATTTTGCATTCATTAATCAGTTCAATTGGGGTCAGAGTTACCATAGCCATGTATTTCATAATAGTCATTAAAGTATATTGCATTAGGAATATTTTATTTTATTATTTTTTAAAGATGTAGTTTTAATTATATATGCATACAAGAACTGGGGTACAAGCCAGAACTGTGGGGGTGAGAGGATTCACCAGAGACAGAGTGGGGAGCAGAACAGGCAGATCTACTGAAATACACTGCTGAGGGGAGCAGCAGGCAAGACAAGAGAGGTCTGTTGCACCATGTGGGTTAGCTCCCTGGCCAGGGATCAAACTCATGCTGCAGTGGCTGGCAATAACTTGATAGCACTGAGACTTTAACCCCTGCACCACCAGGGAGGCCCTAGGAATATTTTAAATAGAAAATATATTAAGTGTCTGTGCTAATAAAATATTTATATATTATTAGATACTCTACAAATCATTAGTTGACCCAATGGCCTAAGGTGATGGACTCTGGGTGCCTTAATGATGGGGAGTGTTGTGGTGACATACATTGAGGTGTAAACCTCTTCTCCTAAATCATATACAATATTGTAAACCAATGTCACCTCAATAAAGAAAAAAATCAGTAATTCAATAAAGATATTGTCAGTAAAGAAGAATATTTGAGCAATGAATAAACAGCTATAAAAATGATTTAGATATTGGAACATACTTAATTTATAGCATAAAAATTTTTCTGAATTGCAAGATGACCTATAAAAAGTTATGTAAAATATAAAGTCAATATGGTCGTTGATATTTTAGTCCTTATTAGTCACCAAATAAATATTAGCGGTTGATAATTAGCCTTGGCGGAATTGTTTTTTTTTTTTTTTAAAGATTTATTTATTTATGCAAGAACTGGGGTACAGGCTAGAGGCGCAGGAGGGCAAGAGATTCACCAGAGCCAGAGCGGAGAGCACCAGAGCCAGAACAGGCAGATAGACCAAAAACACTGCTGAGGATTAGCTGGCGAGGCAAGAGAGGTCTGCCGTGCCATGTGGGAATCTCCGTGGCTGGCCGGGAATCGAACCTGTACTGCAGAGGCCGTGGACAGCTTCACAGCGCTGCGCTCAACCCGCTGTGCCACTGGGGAGGCCCTTAATGGAATTGTTGATCATGTTTCAACTGGGTTTCAAAGGGCTGTACAAATGGATGGTGGGTAAAGCCTACAGTTGAATTACTTGCCTAAAAAGAGAAAGTCCAGTGCTACTCACAGTACAACTCATGTCATTGAAAACAGGGTTTGGACAACTGTCCTTAAGAAGTATCCTTTACAATTTCAGACGTGTAAGACCACAGTACATCTGGATGAATAAGGAAGAGCAGGCTATAATGGAAAGAGCTATAGGAGAAATAACAGGCCTTCCTAAACTAACACATTTTTTATAACAATTTGAATATGTCTCCTCTCCACCACTAGCCACTCGCTTTCCCGGTGGTGCATATTGTCCACGTACTATGTTCGAGTGTAAAAACCATGTTTGCATCCAGCCAAATTGGATATGCGACGGTGATGAAGACTGTGGCGATGGCTCTGATGAAGAACTTCATCTGTGCAGTAAGAAGGGGAGAATGGAGCAAATGGGAGTGGTGTTGTCTGGCAAGATCTCCAAGTTTCTAACATGGGGCACGTGAGCATGGAGGACAGTTGTAATTTTTGAGTTCTAGCCCCATGATGAGCATTACTGTGATTTCACTTGTCCTTCTGGCTTCGTTCTTTATTTGGAACATGAGGAAGGTGGACAAAGGTTTTAAAACATTTTACAGTTAAGAAAACAATTTCTTGCAAGCAAATCTTATTTAGAAACCTAATGTGCATAAGTAGAGGCAGATATGTAGTGATTGAAGTGAGTAGGTGTAGGGGTAACTGTCACTCCTGTCTCCATTCCCCTCTCTGTACCCCTTGAAGAACCTTGTCAAAACTCCTAGAACTTCATAAGACACCTTAGGAAATTTTAAGATGCGTTAATTCTGAGTCACTTCCCTTTACATCATTAAGTCAAGGCCATCTAGTTCCCTTCTGTTGTATAATGTATATTAATTTTTTAAATCAGTGACTCAATTTGGGTACTCATCAGAATCACTTGGGGAGAGCTGCGCCATAATCCTTGCCCACCCTGGGCTTGGGCCTAATGAGCCAGCATCTCTAAGGATGGGACCAGGGTAAATGTGTATTTAAAAAGCTCCTTCCTTAGCTTTTAGTTTAGTCATCTGGTTGAGAACAACTGATTTTAACAAAGTGAATGAATACAGTTAATTTGTAGTCTGTATGATGATAGAATGAAAATTCCATTACAAGGACAGTGTCTTTCTTGTTCCCAGATGTACCATTTGATTGATAATGAGCAAGGGAATAGATCAGCCCAGCAAATCTGGCACTGGTGTGGGTGCATTTTAGATATTGACACATTTTCTACTTTTAACCTGTACTTTTGCTTTCCTACCTCTCCTTTCAGTTAATGTTACATGTGAGGCACCACAACGTTTCCGGTGTGCCAACAACCGCTGTATTTATGGTCACAAGGTGTGCAACCATGTTGATGACTGTGGAGATGGAAGTGATGAGAAAGAGCAGCTCTGTAAGCAAAAATGAAAAGGATGAAGGGAAAACTTGGGGTCCCCAATTGTCTGCAGTTTGCAAAATATACTTCTGGGGTTTTAATTGTTCTGTAGAGGTTTGACCATAACTGTGACTACAGATTTCTGCTGATATAATTGCTTATTAGAGCTTATAATTGATGTATTACTCAGGTACAACACTGCCTGCTTATTCCAATTTCATTTGAGATGTTGGCAAGTCCCTTAATTTTTTGGTTTTTGATCAAACATTCAATAAACTTTACTTTCCTCTTTTGCCTAAAGAAATGAGACCACTAAACACTTGTTGAATCACACATCACAAGTTAATAGTTTATTTGTTTTTAAGATGAATTTTTGTCACTTTTTAGCTTAGAGTTACTAATTGTTAATCTAGGGATGTAGAGTTCTCAATATCAGCTGAAATTATAGTGTTAAGTGAGCACTGGTGTTAACAGAGCTTATCTAACATTCTTCTTTAAAATGAAAATTTAATAAAAAATAAAATAAAATGAAAATTCATTTCCCAGAAAAGAAAAATGATAGATTACTTTAAGATAGAAGTTTCAAATTGACTGCATTTAATGTTTTAGATATTGAAAACTCTGTTCCTTTCCATTTTGTAAATGCTTAAAATTGAACCATTGAAGAGGAGAATTGATTAATTATCTGGGCAATTTAATTTGTCTAGAAAGATGTTAGTGAGGAAAATGATTTCCCCTGACTCCAATTGTTTTTTTTTTTCTTTTAAAAAGGATATTGTCTGGGAAAATTTAGATTAATGCCTAGATTTCTGTTTTCCATCCCTTATATTGATTGATGTGTGCTTAGAATGCTCACTGCCGGCTTCCATCCCACAGAGACTGTATGTCAGGGAGTATTTCAATGCTACTGTGATGTTCAAATTTGTACCTTTTGTTGTTCTTGCTGGAAATGAACCTGTGGTTATAAATTTGTCAATATGTTTACTTGACTATATCACAAAAAAATGAAAATCTAGAAATAAAATATATTTAAAACATTTAAGTTGGGGGTCTCCCTCCCCCTCATCTCTTTCCTTTTCCCTGACTACTGGCACCATTGTTTTATGGAGCAAGATATTGGTAGCATGTGGTCAAATCCCAGAATGGAAAACAGGAGAAATAATTGTTTATTCTTCCCAAGGAGTGGGATGTTGGTCCCTGGAGTCAGCCTTGCCACACAGCAGGCAACTGTTACCTTTTAGTGGCTCAAAACAGCAGGGATTTATTTTTCCCTCATGTGAAGTTTAGTGAAGGTCAGACAACTCCACTCTGTCCTATAATAATGCCCTCTGAACACCTTGTCTTCAAGATTGGCAGGGCAGGAGAATAAAGAAATGAAGAGACACACAGCTTCTTACTTCCTGGCCTCGAAGGGACAGGTGTTACTCACAGTCCTTTGGTTGCAACTAGTCATGAGGCTCCAACCTAACTCAAGGGGGACTGGGAAACACAAGGAAACGCATGGATGTTTTGCAAACACCTCTTGTTTCCACCACAGTGTACCCTTGTTTCACTAAAAGCCTCTTTATGCTTTTCTTCCTTTTCTTAACCCTTCCCCAAGATCTGTAACTCATAGTCCCATTCAATTACTGAAATCCCAGTGCTCTGAGGGGTGGTCAGTAGTCATGGCATCAATTCCAGATGTGGCTCCTCTTGGACTGGAGACCCATAAACTAGTGGATTTATTTCATTGTGCCACCCACCTCTGTCCTAGATGGGTAGTGCTAGAATAGGAGAAACACCATAGAAATAAACAGTCCTATTGGGAAGGAAAAGATACATCCAAATTACCATTTTGTAGCAATTCTGAAATATCACTGGGCTAAGGTGACAGACATATGTTCGTCCATGGCAGTCCTGATTGCTGTCGTCCTTTGGAAATATTAATTAGTCCCCCATTCTCTCCCCAAAGCATACTGGCTTGGAGAGTAGATGATGTGGTTACTGAGTGTAGCCACTGTGAGGGCCGCATGATGGGAAGTGGAGATTGGTAGATTAGGTCAGGACTCTGCTTTGGGAGAAGTGCCTACTCCATTGCTCCCACCATTTGGGAGGGTTTCCTTGTTTATTTTCTTCTTCAAATAAAGAGGGAAACCTTCCTTGGGGGCTGCACAGTATTCTCAGTCAATCCCTGTTTGCAGAAGATGGGAGTCCAAAGATTTTTTAAGTTTCAGTCACAGTATTTTGGTCTATTTGATCATATATTTTGATCTATTCACTTCTAGTCAATTCTAAAAGTCAATAACCTCCCTCAGTGTTCCTTGTGAGACATAGTTCTTGAATCTTTTTTATTTCTTTACTCTGTTTCCTTCCTGCCCCTTTGTTTCAACTGACTATCACTATATTTAGGTCATTGAGAAAACAGGTGAGCAGTCATTTCACCCGACTAAGAGGTTTCACTGTACATTTGTGTCTCAAAGCCTTTTTGTCTCAAAGCCAAACCACACACTCTTACTACTTGAGGTCTAAATGTAGTTGACTTTTCCCACACTGCAAAATTTCTGGATTTTGTTCATTTCTGCTTGTAAATCAACCCGTTCTTCCCCGAGGTTCTCTTTTTCATACTACTTTGCCAAACTCAGGTAATGGCAACCGATGTACATTACTAACATTCTGTTTTCTAACCTCTTTCCCTAGATTGACAAGTTCACTAGGCATGTGATCTGCTTTCCATTTTTTCCAAGGTGACAGCTTTACCAAATGCTTTGCCATTGCATCACATGGGTCTCTATCTTTCCTGCCTCCAATATCAGTTTCCTCATGCTTGCCTCTTGACTGTAAAGCCAATACTAAATATTTTATTTTTCTGTAAATGGATGGACCCTACTTTATATTATTTACAGTAATAAATAACTAGATTCTGCAACCAACACACCCCAACCTCTCACTGGGGTGATATAAGATAGACTTACTTTTCATGCATGTAACAGCCAACACAGGCTGCATGGCCTCCTCCATCTTGTAGCAAGGTGACCTGAAACACACAGCTTGCAAGGCTGCCAGAGCAGGGAGGCACACTGGCTTTTAATAGCTTCAGCCATACTGCAAGGGAGACTGGGAAATGTAGAAGCACGTGCTTGGATAGTGAACAATAACTGTCTCTGCCACAGAGGGGAACAGAAAATGCTTTGATATCAACTTGTTCTTAAATTGCAGGTTTACCTCCAACCCCTAGACCTTGTAGAGAAGATGAATTTAAGTGTAGCAATGGACACTGCATTTCTCAGCACCTGGTATGTGATGACGTCAATGACTGTGGTGACAATTTTGATGAAACAGGTTGCAGTAAGTAAATACTTATTTTATACTTCATTGTATACTTCATTGTAGTAACCTGGGTTTATTTTATGAAAGCATGGAATAGCTTAAAGGAGATGATAAGCATGATTGCCTTTAAATGTTCTTTGTGCTCTGAACTGCAGTCCTGCCTATATCCTCCTGCTATTGAGCATTTATGCTCTACCAGACATTGTGCTAAACACTACATGTGTTATCACATCTCATTCTTGTAATTACCCTATGAGTTAGGTATTTCTCTTTCTCAACCTCTTTTTGTTAACCTTATAAATGAAAACTTGTCCTTTTGTCACAAAGTTGTTGAGTAGAATTTGAACTCTGATTTAAATAACTCAAAGCACATCTTCTTCCCAGTTCCCTGGGTGCCTCTTCATGTCTTAAAACTAGATATTTTATTAGTCTGCATGTTTTTTCATCTTAAGCCAAATGCAGCATCTTTGGTGCTTAGAGGAAAAGGTTTTAAAGGAAATTGGTGCCCTTTCCGCTCGGAGAACATTCCTATCCTTCCTCTTGTCTATAATTGAGTACCCATTTGGGACCCCTTTCTGCTCAGGGAACTTTTCTGTCCTTCCTACCTATCAATAAATCTCTTACTTTTCTGTAAAAAAAAAAAAAAGTTGGTAAATATGAGAATGCCACAGTAATCTTGGAATGAATAATTATTTTTAAGGTGAAGGGAGACCTTTATGTAGGAAAAGGATGCGGCGTAACCAAGGAATAGAATTAGCTCAATATTATGATAGAAACGTCAGAATGACTGTTTATACCTCATACCTTTGTAGTCGTTTATCACTTTTATGTGGTGCTTTTGCATACCTTGTCAAATTTGTCACTCAAGTTAACCCCATTGTCTCACTTTTTTTATGTCTGTCTGTATGATAAAGTACAGAGAGCTAAGGAACTTGCTTGAAGTTATACAGAGTGGCAAAGGCAGAGTTTTTGCAGTCCTGACTCCAGGTTGGCCTGTAATTCCTCTGTCACCATCTGTGGCACTTTGGTCACATACTCACCTCTCCTATTCTCAGATTCTTCATAAAAAAAGAGGGAGTTCACCACAGTCTCCTGTGCCTTGGGGAAGGAAATTCTATGGGGACTCAACCTGAGGGGCGTGGGGGAAGAAAATATTGTTTAAAAAAATAATTTAAAAATTAAAAAAAAATCATTTACTTATTTATTTTGTTACTGCTTCTCTCCCCTCATTAAACTATAAGTACAGACTAAAAAAAAAAATAATAAGAGGGAGTTTTTCAAACTGGAGGAGTCTGTGACTCAGTTATCTTAGTTGGCTGTTTGTGCTTTCAGCTTCTTGGACTTCAAATGATTGTTTTCTGAGGCATCCCAAGGGTTTCTTGGCAACTTCTTTTTTGTGTAGGTTACGGGATGAAAAACCTGTAGAAGGATGAATAGCTAGTCATTGCGAGCTGACTTGCCATTTATTCCATATACTTTCTCAGTAGATTTGGAGTTTTTGACGTAATAAAGTGACATGACAGGATTTGCAGGACTGAATGGTAGATTTGAGTTCTAGAAGTTTGGAGAATTTCCATATACTTTCTCAGTGGGTTTGGAGTTTTTGACAGGATTTGCAGGACTGAATTGTTGATTTGGGTTCTACAAGTTTGGAGGATTTCCAACTTAGGACTCAGTCAAACAATACTTTCTTTTTTAGTTGCTTGTGCCAATAAAAAAGGCCCAGAATTGATGGCAGTAGTTGTAAGTCAAATGCCATTTAATTAAAAGCAAGGTTTATTTAAAGGGAGTAAGTAACACAGGGATTAATTTAGGTATGAAAGCATACCTTTTTAGAATCTAAGTGGATAGTAGAGCAGTTAGATCCTCTGAAGGTGAGACTGGCAGTGGTAAATATAATAGGAAAATTGACTCAGGATCGAACATTACCTAGCATACATTTGTGTAAATTGTATTCAGGCTATTGCCATCCTATTATCATTATCATTATTATTATTAATTGAATTTTTTTTTTACATTATTGTAGTCCCCATATTTCTCCTGCCACCGTATCACCCATAAACCATCACCATATACCCCTGTGTTCTTCCCTCCCCAGTTTTCAGAGGCCCATAATCCTTTACAAAAGATTATGGAAAGGGGATCATGTCATGATGTCCTGTCATTGGCTATTGGTAGATGTTGCTTCTGATACACCACTTAATGTTCATTTGTGACTGAACTACTCTGATTTTATTTTTCAGATACAGGAAAAGAAAGATCATGTGCAGAAAATCTATGTGAACAAAACTGTACTCAATTAAAAGAAGGAGGATTTATCTGTTCCTGTCGACCTGGGTTCAAAGCCAGTGTTTTGGACAGAAACTCCTGTGATGGTAGAGTAGATTTCCTCTAATTCTTACTAGGGAACCTCGTACCTTTTGGGTTCTCCTCTTTCCTTTTAATAAACTGCTATATAATTCCCTTAGTGGAGCTAATCTCATGATTTCAGCTCATAAAATTGCTTAAGGATACCTTTTGCTTTTCCTCATGCCTTCTTACCAGTACCTCACAGAGCAGAAGACAGCTCATCCTCAGTAATATCTTTGAAATTGATAAGACTTATGAAGGCCTTGGTGATAATAGCTGCTTATTATATCAGTGTGTAATACCAAATTTTTTTTTTCTTTGACAAACACAAGTCTTATTTTTTTCATCAAGCCAAACAACGTGTATTTATCACACACCTACTTTTGCCAGACATAAATGAGTTCTAAGGTGTGGAGTTGCAAGGTAGCTTATCAAGATGTTAAGTGATGAGTATGACTTTAGATGTCCTTTAATATTTGAATTTTTTCTGTGTATGATGAGCCATACACAGATGGATGGAAGAGTTTTTTGGGGAGTTGAAGTTTAAGAAATCAGTTGAAAACCAAATCAGTGATTCCCATTCTTGAAGCTAGTTAGTATAAGGGGAAGTGGTACCAAACAGCAACAACACAACAACTGCTTCCCCAAAGGGAAAATTTTGTTCTGCTGTTGTATAGTTTTGATCTTGTCATCACTTTCCAGCTTTGGACTTTGGGTTTAATCATATTCCATACCTCAGAGAGTATGAAAGGCATGGGAAGCAGTATCTGAAATTTAGTAACTTTCAAGCTGACAAAGTTTGGTATCATTGTTTATTTTGTCTGCACTCTTCTCAGTCCTTATTGCTTGTGAATATGGCTTTAAACCAAAGCAGAGTCTCTGAGGATGAATGGGAGCAGATGTTGCAATATTTGGTTTTATTTTGCCTACAGACATCAATGAATGTGAGCAATTTGGGGTTTGTCCCCAGATCTGTCATAATACCAAAGGAAGTTATGTGTGTTCCTGTACTGAAGGCTTTAAGTCTATGAGTGATCACTACGGACAACGGTGCGCAGCTGATGGTATGAGGGGCTCACGTTGGAATTGACTTTCAGAGAAATAAATGCTGACTATTACCATATACCAGAAAATGAACCCTAAGAGTATTAATTTTAACTCACCTGCTACTTCTCTTCCCACATTCATCCAACCTCTTCTTCACTTTCCTCCCCTGCCAGATTAAAACAGTAACTACAATCCCCCAACACATATATGGGAATTAAAACAAGAGTTATTTATTACTCTGAACTTTTGTCTTCTGTCCACCTTGGTTAAAAATTCAAAAAGTGGACAATATGTTACTCTCCAGAAGATTCAAACAAAAGCTTGTCTCTACATGAGTCATGAGCAGAAGGAAAATAATGAAGGCTTGCAGCCACCGCTCCATGAGATCAAGGTTCGAGGCCCTGTAATCCAAGATGATCACAAAACAGACACATTCAGTTGGGCCAAATCAAGGACTTTCTATTCAGAATTTGTATTTTATTGTTCATGGACTAACTGATCACTGACTGAAAGAATCTGGCTCATTCATGACTTCAATTATTAGTTCTACATTTTAGTACCAGTGTCAGAATCAAAGCTGATAAAAAGCAATAATAAGTACAGCTAGAAATGACAAGAGAGAAGTAATGTTATGCAGTATTAAGGTCAAAATTTCCAGAAGGCTGATCTAAATTAGCATATTCCTGTTGAGGGATATATGTTTTAATGATCTTACAGATTTGAATTTGAAGCTTGTGTTGGAATTTAAGAAACTTGATAAGAAAATATCATTTTATTTTGAAAATTAGGGGTAAAATGGCAATTTAATTTCTTAATTGAACTTTTAAACTTTTGAACTTTTAAAGTACACATTTGACTAGCATGTTTAAGTATTTTACCCTCTAAAATTTTTGATACTGAATGAAAACTTGGGTAAAGGCATTTGAACAGTTGGTTTGGTAATTAAGCAGTAAATTGAAAAATGTTTAAATCTTTTAGCTAATGAGATAACTGAAGTAAATTAAAATGTTCATATAAAACATAATGTCAAGATAGAGAAAATACATAAAATGAACTTTTAAAAGTTACTTAAATTGGATTCAATTGACATTATGCAAGTAAATAAACTAAAAATTAATCTAGGCAATCCATCCCAGGATGAGTTGTCATTTAAATAGCTACTTTAGGTAAAAAAAAGAAAAAATTGAAACCAAGAACAAGCTGCTTTTTGTCATTATTTAGAAGCTAAATTGGGTCATGAAGTTGACTGCCTCCTAAAAGAATCATAAAATTTGTCAGTAAGAGTGAAGAATGCATTTTGCCTTGCTCTAAGGTGTTGCCCATTGAGGACAAAGAATACAGAACTGATCACATCCGTAGCAGAAATGTTAGCTTTTCACATGAAATGGAGACCAGAATACCCAGTCATGGAATTTTGAACCAGGTTGGATAGTCAGCTCTATTGATTAGCAGGGAGAGCCATATTCTAATCAAGTTGGGGTAGGATACCTGCTATTTCATATCCTATTTTATATAAAAAAAAGTTTGAGTAGAATTCAGACAGATAAACCAGCCTTTCATTTGTTTATAGGTAACCCTCCTTTGCTATTATTGCCTGAAAAAGTGAGAATTCAAAAATACAACCTCTCCTCTGAGAAGTTTTCAGGTTTTCTTCAAGACAAGGAACGCATTCAAGCTATTGATTATGACTGGGATCCTGAGGGCATAGGTCTCAGTGAGTATGAACTTTTGCATCTGCTGCTGATTCTAATTGAATTACAAGGTGATGAACTCTGGGGAATTTATTTTTTAATGAGTGAATTTTCTTATATGAGTGGAAGAGGAAACCACTGCTATCCTGTGTGTGCTCCACGTGGCTTAGAGGCTCTGGTCCCAGCCAACCTTTCCAGAGTAGCACCACCTCATATCTCTTTTTAATATCTTTGTCTTTGCTTATGCAGATCTTGTTCTTCTCTACCATTGTAGACTTGCAAAACTTCTACTCAAACTAGAAAGACCCAGTTCGAATGCCATCTCCTCTATGATACTTCTGTAATTCCTCCTGGCACAGCTCCATGATTGCTCATCCATGAGATTTATTTATTTATTTATACAAGCACTGGGGTACAGTCAGATGTGTGGGAGGGTGAGAGAATTCACCCGAGCCAGAGCAGGGAACAGAACGGGCAGACTGACGAAACACACTGCTGAGGGGAGCAGCGGGTGCGGCAGGAGAGGTCTGTTGCGCCATGTGGGACCCTTGCTGGTGGCGGGGGATTGAACCGGCGCTGCAGAGGCTGTGGGCAGCTTCGTAATCCAGTGCTCAACCGCTGCACCACCGGGGAGGCTTAAGTTTAACGCACATTTCCCACTTGCTTATTCTATTTTCCTGGCTGAAGCTCCCTACTCTTGGCCATGACAAATGAGTTCATAATTATACTAAAGCATGTGTTATGTTGAGTTATAGCTGGCTCTACACATATTTTTCTCACTACCCATTAACTGTGTGCTCTTTGGAAGCAGAGGCTGAATCCATTGATAATTCATTTTTACATGCCTATCATGTGACTAAACATCTAGTATATGTGGGTGCTCAAAAAGTTTAGTTCAGTGAATGAAGAGATAAATAATGCTTATTATTGTTTCATAGTTCTGTGTGGTATGTGGGAAGTGGTAATAGAGAAGGTGTCAGAAAAGCTGCTTTTAAAGCCTGTTGCCATCTACTAGTTCTATGAACTTCAATAATTGTAGCAATTCTTTGGATCTCCATTTCTCCTTTTCTTAAGAGTAGTAATCTCATTTTGTCTGCCTATCTCTGAGAGTTGTTTTAAAGATGAAATGGGTTGATGGCTGTGAAAATGCAATCTGTCAATAACTATGCAATGTAAGATTTTTGTGCTTTCACATTTGATTATGCAATACAATAAGCTTTTCAAGAAAAGTATATACCTACAAAAGTGTTTCTTTTTTTTTTTAAATGCCTACATCTACTTTCCTTTCATCTTTACATAAAACAGGACTTCTCATCTACATGACTCCTTTATTGCCACTCTTAATGAGTATGATTTCAAATTCAACAGCTTGCCCCTGGTTTATACATTCATTCTGTTTGGAAACTAGGACTTAATCTTAACAAGGGTAAATAGGGTTTTGACCAAAATATATTTTGTTAGATTAACTTCCAATAGAAACAACTAAATTGAACTGTTTGTACCTAATTGCTCAAGTAGATAGGCTTTGAGGATTAATTGGCATAATTGAATTTTTAATATTATTAATATTATGAGGAGGCAGAGATGTTAATAAATGAAGCTTGGCACTTCACTTGACTAGTTCTGTGTGCTATGTGGGTAATGGTAATAGAGCAGGAGTCAGAAAAATTGCCTTCTTTGCCTGTCTCCGTCTACTAGTTTTATGAACTCCAACCTGATTTATGTTCTTAACATGAAACTACCTGTGTCTCTTGCCTCTGCAGGTGTTGTATATTATACTGTGCTAGGACAAGGCCCTAATTTTGGTGCTATCAAACGTGCCTACCTCCCCAACTTCGAATCCAGCAACAATAATCCTGTAGTGGAAGTTGACATGGGCCTAAAGTACATAATGCAGCCAAAGGGGTTAGCTGTGGACTGGGTTGGAAGGTAAGTTTATTTTTTTTTAAAGATTTATTTATTTATTTATACAATCACTGGGGTACAGTCAGAAGCATGGGAGGGTGAGAGAATTCACCAGAGCCACAGTAGGGAACAGAACAGGCAGACTGACGGAACACACTGCTGAGGGGAGCAGTGGGTGCGGCAGGAGAGGTCTGTTGCGCCATGTGGGACCCTTGCTGGTGGCGGGGGATTGAACCGGCGCTGCAGAGGCTGCGGGCAGCTTCGCAATCAAGTGCTCAACCACTGCGCCACCGGGGAGGCCCAGAAGTTAAGTTTACCACACATTCCCCACTTGCTTATTCTATTTTCCTGGCCGAAGCTCCCTACTCCTGGCCATGACAAATGAGTTGAACTGGTTGAGATATGAGTCTACTCAACCACAGGTACAGCAGGCTTTGCTGGGCTTGTTTCTAGATCTCATAACTGCCTCTGCTTACTCCAGTGTGCCATTAAACATTATCATATCCTGTAGTCTATATTTCAACATTCCTATATTCTGTGTGTGCCATAAAAATTTTGGAAAAGCACCAAGTCAAGAGAGAGCATTCTTGCCAACAGAGTTCTAGATTCCAAAATTAACTTTCAGTTGGCACATTGTTCATTTTGTGAAGAAATGAAACAGCCTTATAGTTCTAGGAAAGCAATTTTGAGAGGAAACATTTTCCTGTCTGTGGTGATTATTTTGAGGAGGAACATTTCATATTTCACATCTTGTATACATTTAGTTATGTTGTCTGAACAGACTGGAAATTTGACTTCTCTTTAATTTTTGCTTTTTGGTTCATTGAGCTGTTGGCTTGGTTCTACTTTTTTAGACCTTCTAATAACCCTAGGACCAGAGACATACATTTTAGATGATATTAAAATAAGAAGCTTAAGTAGCTTTTTCATCAAGTAGAGGCATAAAATGGAAACTGATATGGAAAAATCAGTTAGCTTATTTAAGGAAGACTCTTCAATTGGAGAGACACTGTTATCAGAGTGGACAAGTGATTATTCCCCAGTGTCTTTGAAAATAACCTAATAAAGGAGAAATGTTTGCGAGGGAAGGTCCAGGGCTTGCTATCCTTTGAGAGAATGGAGAATCATTTGTACTATAAATTAATTTTACCTTTTAACAAACTTGTCTGGTAATCCAAGAAGACTTGAGGATCTCTGAAGAAGTTAATTAGGTCCCACTGTGCCTCAGGCTGCTAGAGACTCATGTCAGCATCTTCTGTCAGGAAACAAGACCTCACAAAGTCAAGAATGAATGAATGAAGAAAGGGATGGAACTCTTTTTGCTTGTAAGATACTGAGGCCACCAACCTTAGAAGAGGAATAAGAGCAGGACAGCCTGACGGAGTTAATTGTTTTGAAAGGCTCTTTCTTCTTATCCTTGGACCTGTTGGCAGATTCCTACTGATTTTAAAAGGGTTTTTGGCTGAGGAGGAAACAGACTCACAGGGCAGCCAGAACTTAAGGGCCAGGGCCACAGTGCCTTATAACTCCTACCTGGGAGTGCGTGTCACATAATAATGTCAGATGTGAAAGCTGTCGTCATTACTGATTCCAGCTGATTCAGTCCCCTCCATCTCTCACTCCTCTATTATAACCTTCCATAGAGGTCCTTTGGGATGACAAGCTTGAAGCAGGTCTGAGAGAGAAATGTTTGGATTCTTGATTTCTAAGTACCTGTCTTGCTGGCTGGAACCTCTAAACTATTCTCTCCAGAAGCATTTCTCCAGAAATGACCAATTTAGACATTCAGTCGTATAATTTTGTCCCTGTAAATTCAGGCACATTTACTGGTCAGATGCCAGCAGTAAACGGATTGAAGTAGCAGAACTCGATGGAAGGTACAGAAAGTGGCTGATTTTCACTGAACTAGATCAACCCGCTGCAATGGTTGTGAATCCCAAACTGGGGTAAGTACTTGGAAGAGAAATATTTACTTTTCTGAATATTTCCCACTGGATTCTCCAAAGACTACATGTTTAATTACTTTTTTTCTCATTGTACTTAAGTTGTTCTTGGACTTTTTTGTAGTGGCATCTATAACTATGTTCAAGACTTTAATGTGCTCTAGAGAACACTTAGGACCAACCAGACTTCAGGCAGCACCATGTAAGGGAAGGCCTCTGGCCACCATTTTTTTCAGGGCCCAGTTTGTCTAAAATCCGCACATTTTCCCAATAGAATATAAGGATCGGTCTATACCTTGTTGGTTTGCCATGTAAGCTGCAAGTGGTGACTAGTGAGGTAACTATAAGCCATTGACAGATTTGACTTGAACTACACAGGGCTTTATTTTTATTTTTTTCTAATAAAAAATCTAAAATCTGTATTTTTGACTTGAGAAACTAAAAGAGCTGGGAAGCATACCTTCCTTGGTGCAGCATTACCTGGATCTTACTCATCCCAATACTTGATATCCATAAATGCTCTATCCCACTCATTGTATTACCTGTGTGATCTTTTCTATATATTTGAAGTGGTGCAATTCTTGGTCTACACCATCCTTCAATGCCAGGTTATCTTTGTTTTAATAAACTCTCTTCAGTTAATTAAAATTTGAAATTGCCTGCAAAATAATATATTTTAAGAGTTAGAATGTAAGCTACATGAAGGCAGGGATCTTCGTTTTGTTTTCTGATCCATCCCAAATACAGAGCATTGCATCCCACACAGTAGACATTCAATAAATATATTTTGAATAATGAATGGCTTTTTTGTAAATATATCTCATAGGGTTGGAATGTTTGTCCTTGGAAAGGGCAAGCCAGTTTGTACTGAAGAAGTCCAGTTTTCAAGAAAGATAGGCCGTAGATGCACTTGCCCACCCCACCCTTTCTTTCCTTGTCTTATGCAACATAAAAGACAGCATCACTTAGCAGCCAGGCCTGTCTGAAAGGTAGCTGATTTCCCTGCAGGAAGGTCATGCTCTGCTTAAGTGGAGAATTTCCACTAGATGAACTGTTATGAGGGAATCTTTTGTTACAGACTTATGTACTGGACTGACTGGGGTCAGGAACCTAAAATTGAGTCTGCCTGGATGGATGGGCAGCATCGGACCATCCTGGTTCACGAGGATCTTGGTTGGCCAACTGGCCTTTCTATTGATTATTTGAATCATGACCGGATATATTGGAGTGACTACAAGGACAACACTGTTGAAACCATAAAATATGATGGGACTGATAGAAGAATCGTTGCACGTGCAGGTTAGAAGAAAATTTGAATTTAATATATTAAATTATATATTAATGTATTTCCAGTCTCTATCAATTTTCTTAAGAAGGAACCTGACCTTAGGAATTGGTCCTATCACACCCTCCAACTCCCAGCTGCTGATCTATATGCAACTGAATTTATGGGCAATAATTCAAATCTTTTTTGTCATTTTTACATAATTAAAAAAATGTACCCAGCAGCAGATATTGAAGTGACTCGATTTCCTGTTGGGTTGCTCTGATAGAGGACTGGCTCATGTGCACTGGTGGTGATCCATGTCGGACAGCGGCTGGACACGCCTGTTTTTATTGTGCTAGATTGCTTGTGATCCACAACTGGAATCATCTAGGAGAGGAGAATTTTATCTTCTTATCCAGAATTGCGATGATCCATTGATCCAATGATTTTCCTGCCTGAGCAGTGGTATCATATGTTCTAAGAAAAAGATAAAATTTCTGCCATGTAAATTGTTTTGCAAAAATTAAATCAGTAACTTGAAAGTGAGTGAGCGAGTCCTCTACACTGGATGCCAGCCATTAAGCATTAACCTAGTTTTATTTTTTCATCCTGATCACCCTGTACAGCACACTTTTGTGGTCACATGTACAAAAAAGTCTGCTTGAATGTTCTTGGAATTGCATTGTGTTAGGGATTGAATTCATGCAGAATGCATCTGACATAGAAGTAGAACTGAGATATTTTCTTTTCAATAACCTTGATTTATCTTGTTTTCCCCCTGCGGCTAAACAGCAGTTTCCCCTTATAGTCTGGATATCTTCGAGAGCCAGTTATACTGGGTATCTAAGGATAAGGGAGAGATATGGATGCAAGATAAATTCGGGCGAGAAGAGAAAGAGAGACTGATGATAATGAGTCCTTGGCTAACTCAAGCTCGAATCTTTCATCAATATAGATATAATCTATCAGGTAATGGCCAACCTTGGAATAAGATGTCCCTTATTATCTGGAAACCCTTTTTCAAATTAATGACTCTATTATTATTAGAAACCCTTTTTCAAATTAATGACTATTATTAGAAAATGGTAGTGGATAATAATAGACTGATCTCTTGATGCATGAAAGGCATCTGTGTGTTGTATGTGTGTATTTTACCCATTCTGACCATGCTGGAGTGGACACAATAGGTGCAAGTATCACACAGGAATTGGCTAGAAATGCAGATTCTCTGGCCCCATCCCAGTCCTTTTGGTCAGACTGTGAATTTTCACAATCCCCCACCACCCCCCGTGATTTCTCTCACATTTAAAGTTTGAAAAGCTCTGCTCTACAAAGCTGATGAAATGGTAATGGGGCAAACTTTTAGTGATCTTACTAATTGTATAGCTAGTTATTGTCTATGGTTACATTTTAAAAACAGAGAATCAGGATCACAGAATGTTAATAGCAGAAGGGAGCTAGAGATAATCTAATCATGGATAAGTTGTAATATATGCTAAGATGGAATTCAGAAGACTCTAGGAAGAGCTTTTAACAGTCCATCCCAGACCAATTTAAATCTGATTTCCGTGAGTGGACATAAATATTTTCCAGGTGGTTATGATAATCATAGCTCTAAATTTTGTTGTGTTGCAAATAAGAACAATGGGTGAAGTCTAAAAGAAAGTTCTCTTTGGAGGGTGGAGGTGGAAATCACATCCCATATGTGCTTTGGGTGGACCCTACATGGTGAGATATCAAGATGTGGATAAATGACAAATCTTGATATAACCAATGGGATCCTACTGGCCATTTGAACCAGCTCAAGTTGCTTAGATTAGATTTTGAGTCACACAATAAACCAAACAGATACCTACTTTTCAAATAGAGGAAAGAAAGGAAGACAATGGAACATGTTGAATGGTATAGAAATGGGATGGAGAGCAAGGCAGTGGGGGGCAGAGGGCAGATGGCATCTCTTGTGGGGTGGTGGGACATGGTAATAGAAATGAGAGCAAGTCGCCCAGTGGCACATAGCCTAAAATTATTGGGCTCTTACCTGACAGTGTCGCAGCTCAGTTAGTTGGTGGACAAATCTTTGGTGCGCGTATTCATTCCCTCCTCAGAACCTAACTACTGCTCTCTGTTTTCCAGTGCCCAACCCTTGTAAAAATGTCTGCAGCCATCTCTGTCTCCTGCGGCCTGGAGGATATAGCTGTGCCTGTCCGCAAGGTTCCACCTTTATGACAGGGAGCATCACTGAGTGTGACGCAGGTAGGGGCACTGCCTGGGCAGCCACTGGGACCTGGGAGAGCTCCTCTATCTTCTTACAAGCTTCCCTACCTGTACTCACCTGCCTCGGAAGCCTGAATAATTCCTGTGTACTGGCTCCTCTGCAGAATAGAGTGGGGATGGCTAGAAGGTGGGATGAGAGATGTGGGAAATGTGAACAGCTGAGGGGGACTTACAGGGCCACAAAAAACTCAGGCTGCAATGATTTCTAAGGATTATTTGCTAAGATCTGCAGAGATATCAGTCCAATCCCCATAAATCTACTCTAGTTGTTTTGTAAAAACATTTTGAAGAGTGAGTTTTCTATAAAGTTTCTTCTTTCTTTCTACACCCCATACTAGATTTCTGTCATTCCAGAAGCCATTCATATTTAGCCTGGAACTGGAGTTCCTCAAGGTGGGGAACCAGGTTCCTGAGTAAGGGGGGTAGGACCGACACAGTCCGGGGGTGGGGGGGGAGGCTCACTGTATTGAGATCATGCTCATTTCAAAATTTTGACACCTGAAAAACAGGCCATATTTTTAAAGGTGCCTTATGATATACTGTTGCAGGCTGGAGACTGGAATAAGGAAGTAGTGGTTTAATTCTCATCTCAAATGCTATAGATGAGCTGTGTTCAATAAGACCTTTTTTCAAAGATTCTTTTATTTTTTTAAAACCACAATATGAATTTATTGGAGGAAGTATGATTTACAATAATATAAGTATGCAATTCAACTGGTATTAAAAAAATGAACCTCTTAGCAAAGTTTGGGAGATGTAGATGGGGTGGGACCATGTCCAGAGAGTTCCTGGTATCTGCAGAGAGAGGAGTGTCACTTCTTAGTGCAAGAGCCCCAGTGACTCTCACTGAAATTTCGAGAAAGCTTTGTTAGTAAGGGCATGATGTCCATAAGCATCTCAAATTATTCTAAATTTGGTGCCTATGTGTGTACCACTTTTGACAGGCACGTTATAGAAACACATATTAGTTTTAATTTAGGAGAGGCCTCCCAGTTATACAGCCAGATTTTTATCTGCCCTTGCCTTCCACATGTCTGTTCCATCAGTGTCTTCACAAATAAGAGATTGCTTTTTAATTAATACTTTAATTAACTCAGTAGTCTCCACTTTTCCATCAGTCAAGGTCATTATGATGTAACTACATATAACATCTCGATAAGCAGTGCCTCTTTTAAATTAAATTAAGCAGTTAATAAGTCTTGGAGGAATAACTAGTTCCTAACTAGTGCCTAGTGCTTGGAAAACATGTTTTAAAAAATGCTGTAGCAGCTCATTTTATGATTGGCAAGTTTGAGGCCTTCCCTCAGTTTTAGCCAATGGGGAAATGAAGCGGCCTAACCATGTTTTACCACCAGGGGGAGCGCGTGGTTAAATAAGACACGACCTTTTGGACTCTTCCCAACCAGGATGAAGAAGTTGGCAGGTTTGAAGAATGAACTCAGGAAAAAACTACTTTCTGCCTCCCTTCCTTTATCCCCACTCTCATCCCAGTGCTACTGAGTAATATTGTCAAGAAGACAATAATTTGAGCAAATCATAGATTTCAAACTTTTGAGATTTGTTCCGTGCTGTAGATAGAATCCTCTGCCATTTATTGCAATTTCACATTGTTAGAGTTGTCTGAGTTGTCATCTTAACTGCATTTTTTACCACCTGGATTATATTAATATCCTCATTTAAAACAGCTTCAACCGGATTAAAGAACTAGACATAAGACCTGAAACCATAAAATATATAGAAGGAAATATAGGCAAAACACTACGTGATTTGCACATCAAAGACATCTTTACAGACACATCACCCAAAGCAGTGATAGTGAAGGCAAAGATAAACAGCTGGGACTACATCAAATTAAAGAGCTTCTGCACAGCAAAAGAGACAATAACAAAAACAAAGAGAAACCCCACCAACTGGGAGAACATTTTTGCACCCAACACTAATGATAAAGGACTGATCACAAAAATCTGCAAAGAGCTGATGAGACTCAGCAACAACAAAGAAAATAATCCAGTCAAAAAATGGGCAGAAGAGCTAAAAAGAAACTTCTCTGAAGAGGAAATGCAAATGGCCAACAGGCATATGAAAAAATGTTCAACATCACTTGTCATCAGGGAAATGCAAATCAAAACTACCATGAGATACCATCTTACACCAGTGAGAATGGCACATATTAAAAAAACTAGCAACAACAAATGTTGGCGAGGGTGTGGAGAAAAAGGAACTCTTCTGCACTGTTGGTGGGAGTGCAAACTGGTCCAACCACTGTGGAGAGCTGTGTGGAGATTTCTGGACCTACTAAACATAGAGCTTCCATATGATCCAGCAATTCCACTCCTAGGTATTTACCCAAAGGACACAGAAACATCAATTCCAAAGAACACCTGCACCCCTATGTTTATAGCAGCACTGTTTACAATAGCTAAGCTTTGGAAACAACCCAAATGCCCAAAAATAGATGACTGGATCAAGAAGATGTGGTACATATATAGCATGGAATATTACTCAGCATTCAAAAAAGATAAACACATGCAATTTGCAGCAACATGGATGGCGCTGGAAGGGATCATGCTCAGCGAAATAACCCAAAAAGAAAAAGAAAAATACCGGATGGTCTCACTCATAGCAGGAATCTAGAAAAATTAAATAAGGGACCAGGAAAACGAATAACTATAAGAAAGTGAAAATCAAAATCAACAAAAAACTACGAACCAGAGACACTTTTAAGGGGGCGGGGGTGGGAGGGGAGAGATTGGGGTCAGAATGGGGGGGCTGCAATTGTATGGGGAATATAAAAATAAAATTTATTATTAAAAAAAATAAAATAAAAAAATAAAAAAATAAATAAAACAGCTTCAACCAAGTAAGCACATAAATGATGATGGAATTCTGGTTTGTTCATTAAGAATTTACTGAGTGCTTACTGTAAGGCACTGTTCTGAGTGCTGGAAATAACAGAAGTAAACAAAATGGACACAATCCCTTCTCTCATTGAGCTTATCATCTAATAGGACAATAAATAGAGAAGCTAACAATGTGTAATGTCAAGTGATAAAAGGAGAACATGAAAGCTGGGTAAGAGGAATGAGTAAGGGTGGGGGCAGAGTTGTTTTTTAAGATAGAATTCAAGGAAGGCTCTTTGAGAAAAGACTCAAATTGTGGGACTGAGCCAGAGGGTATCTAAACTCTTTAAATAAATACATATGGAATAAATACTTCACATTTTCTAGGCATATGACACTGAAACCCTAATGGCCCATCAGGCACATTCAGGGCGTGTTACTTGGGGGCTGAGCTAGAGCAGGGACCCAGAGCAAGAGTAACTTGAGAGAATTTTAAATATGAGTTCTCTAGCCAGTTGTCTGTCTAACTCTGTGTCTGTATGTGTATTTGTTGATCGCTGATGGAAGCTATAGTTGAAGTTCAAAGTGTGTGTAAACTCTTGATTTTAATTGAATTTGCATAGGAGAATTCAGAAAACTTCATGTGAGACTGAATGGCCTTGCCACAAGTTCCCTTTAACTATTAATGTATGTCTAGAACCTCTCTCCACTGTTCTGGGAGGGTGAATGCTACAAACTGTTTCTTACTATCAAATGTATGTTAGGCTTTAAAACCTTATTATTAATAATGAAATTTATCTGACTAAGGGGAGGTAAAGTTTTGATAGGGAGTCTAATTAACTGACCTTGCCTCCCCCACCTCCATTCCCACCCCCACCTCCACCTTGGGCCTGAGGCTGGTTTGCATGATTATGGGTGCTTTGCCTAGTGTGGCTGACTACTAACAGGTGCATGGCTTTCCCTTTCTGCCCTTTCTGCAGCCATCGAAAGTCCTATCATCATGCCCCCCCCATGCAGGTGTATGTACGGAGGAAATTGCTATTTTGATGAGAATGACCTCCCCAAGTGCAAGTAAGTCTGAATGCTGAGGTCTGTGCTGGAGACCTTGCTTCTTCTGGGGGAATGTGAAACCTTAATGTAGCCAGAAATGCAAGTACAGGATCCCTGCCACTAATTTCACATCTTAACCCTTGGGGGATGTCCACAAGGAACTAAATAAAGTCTTTGCTTCTCAAACTGTAATGTGCATAAGAATCACCTGGGACCTAGATCAGTGCCTGTTCATTCACAGGGATTCTGCGTTTCTAACAAACGCCCTGGCGAAGCCACAAAATTGTGGGCTACACTCAGGAGCAGAGAAATGACAACTGCATTTTCCTACTCACCTGATATTAATCAAACTGTTAATTACAGTTGGATTGTGGGGAGCAGTCAAGTCTTTTGTGATGAGCAGAGGGAGTGGGTAAAGATTTGAAAAAACAGGATTATTAATAAAATTAACAAGATAAATGGAGGCCTTTTAAAAGTATTTAATGAAAGCATGTGAAAGGAAAGACCTTTTTACTCTCTAACCTCTTTACTCTCTAAGGAAGAATTACATGGATTAGAGAAGATACCAGAAGGTTAATTTGGAGAGGCTGACTCAGTAGGTGCCACAGCTATCTGTTGAAAGTGAATTTCCCAAGTTAGATTACTGTTCTTTCTGCTCCTTACCTCTTGGCAGAATAAACGAAAGTCACAGAGGATTTTCTCAGTCCAACCTTTCTTTACTCGGAGATGTGCTTATAAATTGTAGTAGGAGCTGAAAAAACAGCTCACAGGTGACTCTTCTTTCACTTTTAGGTGTCCTAGTGGCTACATGGGGAACTACTGTGAAATAGGACTTTCAAAAGGTGTCCCTCCTGGAACAAGTAAGTTTTGAGAATCTGAAAAACCTGACATGCATCATGGCTCCTAAATTGAATGTTCCGAGAGCCTGTTTAGCCCAGTCTTTGAAGAATGAATGGTTCTAGCCCCCAACTTTCATGCTATGTATGTTGGTTCTGATATGTTCTCTTTTCTTCTCTCTGACAGCTGTGGCTGTACTGTCGACACTAATCCTGATCATCATAATTGTAGTTTTGTCAACTTTAGGATTTTTCCACTATAGGAAAACGGGCTCTCTTTTGCCATCTCTGCCCAAGCTGCCAAGGTCAGTGTCATTTTGTGGAATGATGATTTTAGAAGTCTGCGCGATGTGACCAGGGGAATAACTTGAATTTGTTTTTTTTTTTTTCTGAAGTTAAAAAAGCAAAGTACACAGTTCACATATTCTGCAGAAACAAAAAGCAGTGAAGATTTCAAGCAATCACTTCAAGTCATAACTTTCTTTTTTTTAATGTTTTTTTTTAAAGATTTATTTATTTATGCATACAAGAGCTGGGGTACAGGCCAGAGGCATGGTGGTGGGTGGGGTGGAGGTGAGAGGATTCACCAGAGAAAGAGTAGGGAACAGAACAGGCAGATTGACCAAGGTACACTGCTGAGGGGAGCAGCGGGCGAGTCAGGAGAGGTCTGCTGCGCCATGTGGGTTGCTCCCTGGCCGGCCGGGAATCAAACTGCTGCTGCAGAGGCTGCGGACAGCTTCATAGGTTGCATCTTAACCCTTGCGCCACCAGGGAGGCCCCAAATCATAACTTCTTAACCAGTGCTTCTCTGAAGCCATTTGATATTCCAAATGGTTGTGTGTACTGGTGGGTGTTCAGGTTAAATTGGAGAGGAGAGTCCACTGTGTGATGGAAGGGGCTTCATTCTTGCCAGTGCCAAACTGACCCTCTCTTAGTTCTGTAGCCCTCAGGAAGGTGCATTAGCACTTGAGGTAACTAAGGGCAATTACTACCTGAGTTGATGTGTAAATTCAGGGGTGAACTGAGCACGTGATTTCGTTTAAGATTTAGCAATATGCGGGAAAGGGCACTATTATAAAAACTCATTAAATTAATGACACTGATTTCATTATTTCCTTTCAGCTTGAGTAGTCTTGTCAAATCCTCTGAAAATGGAAATGGGGTGACCTTCAGATCAGGGGGAGATGTTAACGTGGATATTGGAATATCTGGTTTTGGGCCCGAGTCTGCTATTGACACTTCAGCGGCGTTGGTGAGTGTGTTTTCCAAGTAGTCATTTGAAGGTTGTCATTTTCACTGTTTCATAAAAGACAAACTTTTTGTAAAGAAAAATTAACCCAAGAAATGAAGAGTATGCCTCTCACAATAAAATCTTCACTGCAGAGATGAAAGTTAGGAGACATTAATAAAATTGAAATTTATTCCTGCTTGAAACCACAATATTCAAATGGAATCATAGACAGTCTTAAGTGTCTCCCAAATCTTTCATTTATCCTGCTGTCTGAAAGTACAGGATTATCCATTCTTTCTTCTTGTCCCCTCCTGCTATCTTCCTCTTTGCTCTTCTTCCACCATCTATCCTTTCTTTTATTGTCCAAACCTAATCCCTGAGTGAGTCATTTGTATTATGGAACTATAAAGAATTCTAACATAGGAAGAGAGTTTTCATTTTCTTGAAACAACATGTATGTTGTTTTATTAATGGTTTGCCGTGTGGAAGTCTTATCTGCTGGAATTTTGTTCTTTTTTCTAAGTTCTTTTTGGGTTAATTTGGCATAGCCCCTAGCATGCCTCCAGGCGCCAGGAGGGAATCTTCCTCCATGTGTGATCAGTATGATATGATCTTTTTTGTTTTCCCCATCAGAGTGAACGCTTTGGCATGGAGATGGGGAAGCAGCCCATAATATTTGAAAACCCAATGTATGCATCCAGGGACAGTGCTGTCAAGGTGGTTCAGCCAACCCAGGTGAGAAGTCACATGGTGCTTTCTTTCAGGTGCTGCTATTGCTGGATCTCATTCCATTGGATATTGCCCTCTCAGAGTCTTCCTAACTTTCCCTTCAAAAAGGAGGCAAAGGTGTCCTTTCATCTGCTTTAATATCTGCAGGAGCAGATCTGACCCAAGCACATAAAACTAGAAAACTACAAAATCTGTTTTGTTGTACACGATTTGACTGTCATTCCAATAGTACAGATCCAGAGCCTTTTCATCCCTCATGATCAGAGCAAGATATGAGTCAAATACAGGGCTTGACACATAGGTTCTCCTTAAATGCATGTGAAGTGAACGAGTGAATGATTACTTGGTCCTTACGCAGAGATTTGGGGGACAGGGTTTATGCTCAGGATTCTGGGTATCACAGGAATATGATTTGAGGGGACTTCTCTATGTTTGCTTTTCTCATACTTTTCTGAAAAGTACAAAGATCTCCAAAAGTTGACACACAGAGATCTACATTTCCATGTTACCTATTCATCTTTAAGAGGAGCAGGGAGATGAGCTACGAGTATGGATGAAGGGAAAGAACTTTTCATTAGCTCCAAAATACCTTCCAGTTTCTCTCACCTGTTAACTGTATTACCTTTGTCAAAATAACTATGGCCCCCGTGAAATATATTTCATTGTTAACACCTAAACTTCTTTTGAACTCACAAGATAATGGCACATTTTACTCTGAGATAGAAATGTTTATTTTATGAATAGCTTTCTTAAGATCATAAATTTCGTGTTCTTGAAAGCATTTTTCCTGCTCCTTTGGCATCCTTAAATTTTTTTTTATCATGTGACTACAGAGATTTGACGTTTCATTTGACATTTTCCTTGAAATAAAATGAGGTCATGTGTGCAAACACACACCCAAATTAAAAAAGAAAAGAAATGGTGAATATAAAAATATAGAAAAAAAATGAGTTTCTATCTTATAAGTTATTACTTATATATCCATGGTGATTTAGGTATAAAACAACTTAGAATCATAAGAATATTATGCCTCATGTTTAAAAAATTCAAACTCTGTGAGTGAAGCATGTGCATGTGTGAAGTATAAAGTTGTATTCACATTATAGCTATGCAAGTGGGTGACAAGCCAATAAAATTTGAATTAAAAATGCATTCAAAATTCAGTCTCTTTTAAGCAGTTCTGAAATTTTTATTTATTCTAAATATTCAAAGATAAGATTCTCAGTTAACCAGTGATTTGGGAATAATTTGTGTTGTTTTTCTTGGATTTGGCTTTTATCCAAAAATACAGTTCTCAGTGGCAATGAGAGGCTTGGAGAGCGAAGTGGGCATTGTGTTTACTAAGTGCCTCCCACTTAGATGACTTAGGGGTTGAATTTTTCCTGATTTGGGGGAGATGGAGTGGTGTCTTGTCTTGGGCTAGCAGGGCAGCCTCATAATAAAAATGGTGCCGTACCATGTCTGTGGAAGAGCAGAGTCTGTGAACAGAACCAATGAATTGGGAAAGGGCTTCATCTATTACCAAATTCTTTCAAAATTGGATAATGGCCTTCAATTTGCACACAGGTGACTGTGTCTGTATCTGAAAATGTGGATAACAAGAACTATGGTATTCCCATAAGCCCTTCTGAGATAGCTCCTGACACAAAGCCAACTTCCACAAGTGCTGATGGAACTCAGGTAATATTGACTGACTGCTGAATGACCTGGGATTTGGAAAGAACTTTGAAATTGCTAGGTTTATTAGTCCTAGGCAAACTAGGGCTCTCACATCCAAGGTGCATAGGCATTAATAAAGATAATTTTTAAAAATAATGAATTGAAAAACTTTCCACCAAGTAAAGCTACATTCTAATGCTGAGATGGGATTGATATTCCTTGGTGACCTGGGAAGCAGTGGACAGAAAGGCCAGCAAGACTTCTGGACCCAACCTCTTCAGTCCACGAGCATTTAACTTGAGAGAATGGCTTAGTATGAATGAGTGTCAAGGATACATACAGGAGACTCTTTCTTTTCCTGTGTAAGGTAATTTTTCTGCTGTCTACATTTTGGTTCTTTTCAAAATGTGTAATGTTCCCAGGTCTACAGCTCTTACCTATGTTTACCAGCAGGGGGCACTAATTCCCACCTTCTTCCCCATCTATCCATTTTCCTGTCCACCACCCATCTGACCATCCAACCAACCTTATTGCCCTCAATGTGCCAGGCATAGCATTTAATACTGGAGATTAAAAGAAAAAAAGCACTAAGTGGGCCTTTTCTACCATTCCCACAGGCCCTTTGAAATTGGTAAACATTCGAATTTGGTCTACAGAGAAATTGATAAATTTGATATAAAACTTTGTATTAATGGATAACATATAACTACTTTTAATGAAGAATGAAACATATGAAGCTATATAAAATATGGCTGTTTGATTCTGGGCAAACTGGTATACCTCTGGATGCTAGCGTTCTTAGCATTTCTCATTGTGGGCACTGTTGCCATATTAGTGTATAAAACTGTCTTGTGCATTGCAGAACATTTTAGTATTCTTGACCCTGTCCACTGGCTGCTAGTTGTGTCTCCCCCAATGCATTGTGATGCCAGAAATCACCTTACTGCTCTACTTCCCACTTGCAGTTGAGAATAGTAGGATCTGGAGTGTTTTAGCTTGAAGATCTATGATTTCTTCTGTGCAGTAATAGAAAGAAACAAGAATTTAACTAAGGATAGTTAGAAATTTTATTATTTTATATAATCCTTATTTTTCAATTGACATAATCTATAAACAGAATTGGTTATCTGCAAGATTAACTTGGAAGTCATGTTGGATTTTTAGCACCTTAGACATTGGTTCTTGTTCTACTTATTTTGTCAAAACAAAAATTGAATTAAATTGATACTAATAGTAGGAACTTACAGCAAAGCTCTCTTTTTCCACTTTCTCATATACCATTTAGCAATTCCTTCTTCTCCTGTCATACACACATGTATACATGAAGGTTGTCTTAAAAAAGGATTTTCAGTTTCATATTTTTTAAGGTACTAATTTTTTTCCCTCTAAGCTACATTAAAAGTAGATCTTGAAGATTAGTTTTTCACAGACTCCAGGATACTTGAATGCCACATATTTGATTCTCCAAGGTAGTGCCTATTTATTTTATGGCATCTTGGCATCTTTCTCAGTTAATTTAGAGTCTAGTGACCCTTTTCCTAGACAGAGCTCTCTCCCAGCCTGAGGGGGAGGTGACCACGATGGGGATGTGGGAGATGTGGTGACTCTTCCCTGCACCCCAGTCAGCAGAAATACAATGACCACACACAAACTCTCTCGCATGAGAATAGATCTTCAACAATGATCTTTTTTGTCCTTCTCATCTCCATTTTTCCAGTATGTTGTTTCTTCTTCCATTTTTTTAACCAGTTGAGGCTGAAGCCCTTTCAGGTTTGTCCTCCTGATATGACCAGGAATCTTCCTGTATCTCTTGCCTTCTGGGCACTGAGATAATAGCTGGTGTGGTTGAAAGCCGTAAAAAGAAGCACTTGGTGAGATCACCGAGGTCAGCATTAAAGTGCCAGGGAGTGTCACCAGTTTCTCATTCATCAGTAAATCTGCTCAAAGTGCAATGAAGAATTGACCACATGGGCCTGTTCCCATGGCCCAAGGTTCCAAATTGTTTTTCCTTCAGTAAGAAAAAAATTCAAATTTACCAAGAGGGAGGTAGCCCACAAAAAAAAATTGCATTACTGAAAATCTGCATTTCCCCCATTTTATCTAGGCAACAAAATGGAACCTCTTCAAACGAAAACCGAAGCAAACTACCAACTTTGAAAATCCAACCTACGCAGAGGTAATTTAACTATTTTTCTTAGCACAGACATTCTTATGTGGAAGTAGCTTGCTTTGTGACATTGGCCATACACACACATAATTCTGAACAAACTGACAAAGACCTGTCTTCCTCACACAAAACTGTTCTTAGTCCTGTTGGGGGAATGACTGGCTGATGCCTGTTTTGTTGTGGCTTCAGATGGAGGGTGACCAGCAGGACAGTGCGGCTGAGGCCCCAGCTTCATTGCCTTCTCCCCCTGCTAGAATTCCTCCACGAAGAGACCCAGCTGCAACCTACACGGCAACTGAAGACACTTTCAAAGACACTGCGAACCTTGTTAGAGAAGACTCTGATGTATAGCCAGGCCAGCTACTTAGGTAATAATTAGAAACATACCTTTGCACATATTTTTTACAAGCAGATGAAAAAAGTTAACATTCTGTACTTTATAAAAAATATATATTTTCCTTGTCCATCTGTTGTTGCGAGTGTCTGTGGAAACTCTACCTTGTGTGTCTTTTTTTTTTTAAACATATACCATCTCATATTTTTACCATTAATTATCACAATGTCTATAGGTATATCTTTGCACTGAAGCTGTCTGAAGGCAATATCTTGTACATTTATAAATTCTGGAGAGATTATCACATCATTAGTTTTGCTAAGTATCTGCTGAATTGGTTGGTGATCACTGCAGTAAAGAATCCGATGAGGAAACTGGTTGACTTGGGGCCTCTCGCTGTGTCTGTAGAAGAGGTCCATTCATGTTCCCTAGAGAACTATACAGGAAAGAGAGCCAGGCCCCATCTGTCGGTCCATTTTGATGCATCAGCACTTAATGTTCACTATTACATGTATCCTGATGATAAAGTGTATTGATTGAGGGCGTTGTGGATGCTTCAGATAATGTAGAGAAGCAATTCAGTTTCATCCTCCTGCCTGTTTGCCTTGTCTAGCCATGCCGCTTGTGTCATGGTGTTATCTCACTAGCTGCCAAGTCCACGTATTTATTTTAATGTCTGTGAGAAGATAGCACATCATTAAGTGCAGGTGTCCTGCAGAAAGTTTGTAATTAATTGGGTGAACCCCCACTCAGTGGAGTACTAGGGCCATTTATGTCTGTGCCTGGCATCTCAGGTGGTCACCTACTCTAGCAGCTGGAGGTGAAATACTAAAACCAAATCTGTGTCTTCATAAAGTAAGGTGCAAAACAAATACTGGTTAAGCAAAGCAAAACCTCTACTGGGTTTTTGCTTCTCTGTGTGAAAATGTTATAACCACTATTTATTTCCTAAGCTGAACATGACTAGAAAGGGAAATCATTCTTATTGAGCCTTTTTTTAAGGTCCTTTGGCTAAATCATACACTTGTATCAGAATGTACTGTCGAGCCAAGCTCTTCTCTTAAACTAGTTGGTGACGTTTCCACAATGGAAACCATGGCTGGAACTTACAATTTCCACACTAAGTAGCATATTTGCCTCTCTGTGCTAATATTGCACATTTTCAAAATGATGGATGGATGCATGGATGCATGGATGCATGGGTGGATGATTGGATGAATGAAACATGTACTACTGATTATTTTATTCCTGAGTTCTCAAAATATCTGTATTTTGAGTGCTTATTGTAATTACTTTGAAATGTACTTTGATTAGAAAAGCAAATGGAAATGATGCTGCTGAAAAATTTCTTAATAAATGAGTATTTTATCAGACTTCTTCTGTGTGCTTCTTAAAAGTCCTGGTTGTGAATCACTTGTATTTTGCTCTGCTAAGAGTCTGGGGCCCTGAATCCTGGGCAGCCCAGGAAGAGGGAGAAGGTTGGACTTCACAGTTTTCAGCCTGAATAGGCCTGGCAGGTGATCTCCGGGGAAGGAAGCTCCTGTAGGTTCTCACCTGAGCTCTGGTGAGCAGCCCTCTTAATTGCCTTTCTAAGTCAATTTCCAACCCCACTTTGCCTCCCTAGGCCCTTGGCCCTCAGCCAGGATTCCCATTTCAGGTCTAATCTTGTTCCTGAACTCAGAGACTGAAGTGCCTCGGCTGGGCGATCTGCTGGTGCTGAGCAGGGAGGGTTTGTTTTGGAACTCTCATCCATCAGGATGTTTTCAGGTATATTAACTCTGGGATGTAAAAGGGCCAGGAGAACCTGTACCTGAAAATGGTGGTCATTTCCAGCTCTGATAGTTCTCTCGGGCCTTATACTCAATAAAAAATTGTTCTGGAGAATCTCTTTCATGAGAATGACTTTTTCTGCTTAGCCTCATTTCTCTTACCCCAAAAAGGAATCAGAGGGCCTGCTCACTGTGTCCCGGCCTTTCCCAGGGGCACTGGCACTTGGGAATTCAAGAGTGAGAGCCACACTCCAGGGAGCCCTCCTCGCTCTCGGGTTCTGCCCCTGCCCCACTCTCTCCAGCCAGAGGGCCATTCTGCCAGCTGGAGCTCCCAGGAGACAGGACTGAAAACTGATATTGTTCCTCATTTCATCACATGCAGCGGGGGCAGTTTCACCAGCTAAACATATATTATACTACACAATATAAAATCACAATGACAAGAAGTCTGTACTACACCATTGGGCTGGTCAAGTATAGACTTAAGCATCCCAGAAAGCCCAGCTGGGAGTCCTAGTTTCATTCTATAACCAGCACCTACTTGGGGTGTGTTATTTAATTGGGCCCCTAGGATTTTTGTTTTTTTTTAACTGAGCAAAATGGGGGCATTACAGTAGCAGACTCCTAGGTTACTAGGGAAACTAAAATGAGCTAATGCACCAGAATGTCAGCTCCATGAGGACAGACATTTGTGTCACTGGTCTCCTAGCCCTCATGCTCATGTGGTTATTCTCGCTGATTCCTTTTTGAGGTAAAAGAAATGAGGCTAAGCAGAAAAAGTCATTCTCATGAAAGAAATTCCCCAGAACAATTTTTTATTGAGCATAAGGCCCGAGACAACTATCAGAGCTGGAACTGACCACCATTTTCAGATACTGGCTGAATAAATGATGCAGGTAAGCCACCAAGCACAGGCTGGAGCACAGTCAATCCTCAGAGTGACAGAGGGGTGGTTTTCCTTCTGGGGCCACCTCCCTGTACCCTGCTTCTTACCCACCTGCAGGTCTACCAGGCCTTCTACACTCCTGGGAGGGTCAGTCACGAGACTGGGGAGAGCCCCAGTCATGAGCTGGTTCCCCTGGCTTCCTTCCATGGTTCCCCTGGCTTCCTTCTCAGCAAGAGGGGCAGATCCACCCGGAGGGACGGTGGGCAGCGGTGGCAGGTCTAAAGTTGGCGCCTGGAGTCTGGAGTCCACCAGCTTGGGTGAGAGCTAAGCTGAAGCATTTAAAATAGCAGAGGGACTGGAATGCTTGTGGAGAGTCCTGGGGTGCGGCAGGAAGCCAAAGATGCAGTGAGCTCAGTGGGCTGTAGAGGCTTTCCCAGGACGGGTGCCATAACCAGGAAAGCAGAAAGACTTTTTCGCTTTCTTTTTTCTATATCGTCCCTCTTGATTGTGTGGATGCTGTTGCCAAACCCCAGCACGGAGTCTAGCACAGTTAGTTCGACAGCTGAGCCACGTTTTGGGTTCAATGGGCTGGCGGAATGGACCAGAACCACCACTTGACATGTTTCTACTAGAAATTCATTCTCAATTCCAGATGATTCAGGGGGCATGTCTCGGAATGAAATCCACTCTGTGCCCCATCCTGGAATCCAGACAAATCAAGGCTTATTTTTGGTGGGGGGCTTCGGGGAATTTTGTTTGCATAATAAAGACCTTGCAGATCCCAGAAAGAGTGAAGGTAGATTTGGGCTCATAATCCCAGTATGGAACAATTCTTAAATCAACTGGAGGGAGAACGAACTGGAGGCCACAGTCACTTACGCTATTTAACATTCTAGAGAGCGATCGAGGAAGGGGAAGAACTTAACCCAAAGAACCCGGGGAGACCCGGGGTGCTGAGTCTCAGCAGCAAGGAATATCTTGAGGGACCTGAATGTCCATATTCTTTCCCAGCCAGGCTCCTAAGAGGCCTGGGCTGCCCACCTGAAGAAAGATGATTATTAAATGAGCAGAGAGGAGCAAGGAAAGTATGCAACATTCAGGGTGTTAAAGAAACTGACAGGGAAGTCATTTTTCAGGTGTCCCATCACAGGTTTATCGTGCCGGTGGGAGGCGTCCTCTCACCCGAAGAGCAGGGGTGGAGGCCACAGGGGGTTGGGAAGGGAGGAGCCTTCAGAGCCAAGGCTTGACCTGGGCACCAAAGAGGTGCAGAGGGTTGGGAAAGGAGCCCATGAGGAGTGAGCGGGACTGTTATGACCTCCTCCTCCTGGCTGCCAGAGAACCCAGAGCCCCACCACCCCACTGGGCTGTAACCTTCTTGTCCACTGTCACGGCCAGAGCTGCTCTCATGAACGGGCTTTGAGAACATATAGTCTTTGAAAATTGGGGATTTACCCTGTGGAGTTCGGCTTGGAGCCTCTCCCCACCTTCCCTCTCATGAGGGAGAGAGAGCAGGTGGGGCCTGGGAGGGTTGGTTGCCATCCATGCTCGTTGCGGGGTCAGGTTTCACTCGACCACAAAGTCACCTTTCCCCAGCTCTTCACTGGTAGTTGAAAGGCAGTCTTTGCCCCCTTCTCCTGCCCTATATCCCAGGGCACCAGTCTGTAGCAAAAACTTGCAATCCCCTGATCAGTGCTGATACCCGGGCAAAGAAATGTCTGTGAACCTCTATCCCTCTTCAAGAGAACCAAGAACTTTGAATGTGAGTGTAATTCATCTTTTTTTTTTTTCAGCAAGGATGAATGCTTTATTCCCCCAAAATTCTATTCCAAGTGGTTAGCAGAACATTATTTCGTATTGTTTCCAAAGCCTTGATTCTAACACTTATTAGCCAGGTGGCTAATGAAAAAGGACCATCTTCTTTATGCCTTAATTTTCTCATCTATAAACCAGGAATAATGCCATTTATTTGCTTCTGTTTCTCCGAGTTTCCAAGGTTCCCAGAATAGGTTAGTCCAGAGTTCAAAAATCAAGGAAATGCAAGTTAAGCCAGCAGGTGCTCTGTCTAGCAGTTGGCACCCATCAAAGAGGAAGACCGCACTTTACATCCCAGTTCACAGGTCACCGGTACCTTTAGGAAGAAGAGAACTCAAACTCTCCTCAGACCTCCGATGACCTGACAGTCTCCAATGTGTCAGATTCAGTTTCTGAGTCCTTTGATTTCGACTCTTTCCGCTCATATCTCATAGCTCCAGGTGGAGCTCATAATCCCTAGTCTGGTAGTAAACGCATCACCAAGAGACAGGCTTCTGGCATAGCCCAGGGAGACTGTCTCTCTTTAATAGAATTACTTAATTCTATTAAACTATATATAAGCCACTTCTTGAACTCGAAATACTAGCTCTGGATTTTTGTGAGAATAACATGAAACAATGTATAAAAATGAAGAAATGTATTTGAGAGTAGTAAACATTAATCACATACATATAATTCATTATACAGATAATCATTTTAAATCTGTAGGACTCATTCTACAGATTGTATAGTCTTGACTAATTTAGGATTTTTAAAGTGCCTTATTAAATGACAAAACTATTCTCAAATATAACAAATTGAAGCAATTTACACAGAATGGCCCAACCCTTATGGAAAGTGATATGAATGTGGCTCAAAACATTAAAAATTGATCTGCCATATGACCTAGTAATTCCACTGATAGGCATCTATCTACCCCCAAAAATTCAAAGACTAATTTGAAAGGAAACTTGCACTACCATGTTTATTGCAGCACTATTTACCATAGTTATGTTATAGAAACAAGTGCCCCAAAACAGATGAGTGGATCAAGAAGCTGTGGTGTATGTACACAATGAAATACTACTCAGCGATTAAAAAAGATAAACTCATGCCATTTGCAGCAACATGGATAGAGCCAGAAGGGATAAAGCTGAGAAGTCAGAAGGAGGAAGATAAATACTGGACGGTGTTACTAATATGTGGAATATAGAGAAACTAAACTAAGAGTCAGGTAAAGACAAACTTAAAAACTAAACCTTGAAAGTTGACTACACAACTGAAGCATCCAGAGGAGAGAGAGGGAAGGTGAAGGCTAAGAAGCAGAGAGAAGAAAGCACAGTGCACTCTAGTGGTGGACCATGGGGGATTTGATGGTGGCTGCACTATGGTGGCAATACATGATGGGGGTATCGCAACTAAAAAAAATAAAAAAGAAGAAGAAGCTTATAGAAATGAAGTGTAATTTATCTTCTAAGGATGAACAAGGTTTTCTGCTGCTGCACCATTCAGCTGTTTGTATTAAGTTTGGTCTGACAGCTGATTTAGACTTTCCTTACATTTGTCCCTTTCTGCTTGGGCAGGGAGGGATTTCCACGGGGTGGGCCAACCCCCGCTGTGTGCCTGTCCCCCCCCATCCTCAGAGTGGGGGGCTGGAGGGAGCGCCTTACCACATGCCTTCGCATCTCAGGGAAAAAAAAACCATGGATAATGATGCAAAATTCTTTGTAATTGTGTTCAGCCAGTAAATTCCCTGAACTCATTGTCACATCTTGTTATAGAGATGTGCCTGCCTGCGAGGTGCCTCCCTCCAGGCTCAACTCGGGGGAGCAGGCAAGCGAACCCAGGAAGAAGCATGGACGCCAAAGTGATTCCTGGGACCGAGTGACAGCACGGAGAGACTGCGGGGAAATG